CACGGTCGCGCACCCTGGACAGGCATGCGCGCCACCTTCTCCTGTGGTCTCAGGGCAAGTTCCTTTCACTGAGGGCAGTCCATGTTCCTGGGATCCTGAACCTCGCAGCAGATTTTCTGTCGAGGCAGAAGCTCAGGTCGGGGGAATGGATGTTGAACCGCCGAACAGTTGCCCTGATTTGGGAAGTGTTCGGAAAAGCAGAGGTGGACCTCTTTGCATCACAGGAGTCGTCCCAATGCCCACTTTGGTTCTCCCTGAGCCCCCCAGCACCATTGGGGATAGATGCGTTCGCCCACCCGTGGCCAATGCAGAAACTTTATGCATTCCAGCCTGTCAAGTTGATCCAGGCAGTTCTGTCCAGAGTGAGGGAGAGCGGAGCCCGTCTCCTACTTATAGCCCCATTCTGGCCCTCCCAGCCGTGGTTCTCGGAGCTGGTTCCTCTTCTGGAACTTCCCCCTTGGGAGATTCCGGTCAGGGAGGATCTGCTGTCCCAGCTTCAGGGCAGGATATGGCATCCTCGCCCCGAAATTTGGAAGTTATGCGTATGGCCCATCAGAGGCCGCTAGCTTTGAGCTTCGGTCTTCCCGCTGACGTCCAGGAGACCATTGCGAGTGCAAGAGCCCCTTCCACGAGAAGGTTATATTCCTCCAAGTGGAGGGTTTTTGAGTCGTGGTGTTCGACACACGCTACGGACCCAGTCAGCTGCCCAGTCGGTTCAGTGCTGGAATTTCTACAGGAGAAGTTTGCTTTTGGAGCGGCCGCTACTACTCTGGGAGTATATGTGGCTGCTATTGCCGCTCATAGGGAGTCGGATGAGATCCCCCTAGGTAAATTGAGGTTAGTCTCAGCATTTATGCGTGGGGTTAGGCGCCTGAAACCAGTACGCTCCCCTGGAATTCCCTCTTGGGACCTGTCGGTCGTCCTGGAGGGCTTAACGGAAGCTCCCTTTGAGCCCTTAGAGTCAACTCCAGAGCGGATTCTGACTCTCAAGGTTACTCTTTTGTTAGCTTTGGCTTCTTTGAAGCGGGTTGGGGATTTACAAGCTCTTTCTGTTAGCAAGACTTGTATAGACTTCGCTCCTGGTCTTGTCAGGGTGACTTTGAGACCGAAACCGGGTTATGTGCCCAAAGTATTGTCAACAGCATTCCGGTCTCAGGTTATTAACCTTCACTCTTTCCATCCTCCTCCTTTTCTGAGGAGGACAAGAAGCTTAATTTGCTCTGCCCTGTCCGAACATTGAAGTTTTACGTGGATCGCTCTGGCGGTTGGAGAAAATCCAACCAGCTCTTGGTATGTTTTGGTGCTGGCCGCCGCGGGCTTGCCGCATCAAAGCAGAGAGTTTCCCACTGGGTTACAGAGGCTATTTCACTGGCATATGAGGTGCGCGGTCTGCCTTCACCTCTTAGCATCAGGGCACATTCCACCAGAGGCGTGGCTTCCTCTCAAGCACTTTTTAGAGGTGCCCTCCTGGAAGACATTTGTGTAGCGGCAGGCTGGTCCTCTCCGCACACTTTTGTCAGATTCTATAGTTTGGATCTTGACATGACTCCAGGTTCCCAAGATTTATCTGCTTGAACCAGTCGTGTGAGTTATCTGGTCTTTGTACTAGTTACGGCAGCGCTTAGCTTGGCGAGTTTGGTATTTCGTTCCCACTGCGTCCTAAGCTACGCAGCGTTGAGTGAACCTATGAAAGAGAACGTCTCTGGTTACTGGTGTAACCTATGTTCTCTGAATAGGGAACGAGACGCTGCGTTCGCTGCCAAGCTCCTTGTGCTGCCGACAAGCTCCTTTTTCGGCAGAGAAATCTGAGGAGCAGATGGCGCGCGCGCACTAATATAATGTGACGACGCAAGAGCGTCGGGGCGGCGCCCGCGCCATCAGCCAATGAATTGGCGTGATTCTATAAGGGCTTCAGACAATCGGCACACCCAGAGGGCGTTCCCACTGCGTCCTAAGCTACGCAGCGTCTCGTTCCCTATTCAGAGAACATAGGTTACACCAGTAACCAGAGACGATCTCTAAGGTTATGGGGGGAGTACTCTGGGGTCGGGCCGAATTCTGAGCTCGGAGCCCTCCCCCCGGACAGCAAGCCAAATACGCATTATTATATTACATCAGATTTCATTAACATGTAAACTCGTGAAACTTTTATTTTATAAAGACAAGTATTTTTCCGTCTTACTTCAGCAGTTCAAAGAAAGTTCAATAGCAATACAATAGGTATTTGTACATCTTCACTGACCAGGACAAAGGGGATCCAGGAAGCTTTCACCGGAGGGAAAGCACGAAAGATCTTCTGAGTCAATGATTGTTATTGTTGTATATGGTGTAAAGGGACATAGATTTAACTGGTATAACAAACTAGCCAGTGTGGTAAACCTGACCTGACAGCAAAAGACCACCTAACTAGGATTCAGGCTCTGAGGTAAATACCAGATCTCACCACAGTTCACAAGCTTTACTCAGCAACCTGGAGTAAATGTATATCATGTAATTTATTGAGATATGTAATTTGTAGAGATCATGTAATTTACATTGGAGATCGTTGACGTCACATGTATTCCATAAAGATCAACGCTTTTATCGACTTTTGTTTTGAAAGAGTTGGACTTCAGGAGAAAACAGGCTTGTATGATTATTATAGTGGCCAGTAATAATAATTTACTAATATAAAACTTTTTGCATGACTTAGCCTACCTTTCATAATCAGGATGCAGCAGCTTCTTTGTGTTTACTGTCTGTCACTGGACCGTTAAAATTTGAACCGTCGCTGCGGAAACCGTATAGGCTATTTAACCTAACAGTTGGGTTGTTAGGCTACTAGAAATTTTTAGAAAACGATTTTCAGAATGACCCAATATTTTTTTTAAATAACCCAACATAGTGACCCAATATGTGTAACCCAACGTTGGGTTAAAAAAATAACCCAACGGTTTTTTGTTTTTTTTTACTGTGCACCGTTAGAACAAACAGTTTCTTTCTTATTCAGGGTTGACTGTCATCAGGACAGACCTCCACCAGCTGCAAAGAAGTGAATCAAAACATAGAGATATGACAGAAAACAACCTTCACACAGACTTATTGAAACAGAGGCTCAAGGCACAGCTGTGACCTTGTCTCTATGATAATGTGAAGGTACTGGAAACTGTCAGGCTGATTGGATCAGCATATGCATTTGAATGACACTGTTATGCTGATGAGATCAATCAGGGCTGGGGAAATTCCGGTAACGGGCTGACTCCTGTACTGCATTTGCATGCTTTGTTCAGATTGTCTCCACCTCTATGTAATCCCTCCCCACTGAAAGGTATAAACTGTGCTGAGCTATAGTCAGACTTGGATGACTACAACAACGCACAGCGAGTCCTCAATTAACTTACGCTTGAAAGATATCTCAACGTCTCCTGGTCTCTGCTTCGACGAAGAAAAAGTTTACAACAAAACATTCTCCTCATTAATGTAGCATGAAGCCATGAATCAAGCGGATAAACCTGAAGGAGTAGCTAAGAATGCAGAGGGAAAAACGTTTTTCCCATTGATTTAAGTTTTCTGAACCCACTGGCAGTTTGTTTCTTTTTATTTCAGGCATAAACTCACTCACTTTTAATGATTTTTCTCAGAAAACAAGTCTTAAGTAAATGTTTCTTGATTTAAGAATTTTTCGATATTTTTACTGCAAAACAAGACAAAAATACTGAGTAAGAAAATCTTTTTTTTTTTTTTTTTGCAGTGCATGACCCCAGACATAGTTGGACTATACAGGGGTTAAAAGCATTCCTCTGTTGGGTCACCCTCAGGTCGCCCCTCAGATAAAACATGGCATGAATGAATGCACTTAAGAAGACTGTGATTAACTAGACTAGGCTATATAATAAATATAATTTGGTACCTCTCAAGTGAGTTGTATCATCTGCTTGTTTCTACCGGTAATATCTGTGTGTCATCGACCTGCTTTCCAGTTCTGCCTGGTTAAGCATGATGCCTGGAAACATATGTCTTAAGAATAGATAAAGAGGGAAGTGGTACAGGCCTCTGAGACAGATTAAAGAAATGCTCATTTAAGAGATTCATGAACTGGTTATTAAAGTAGCAGTAATTATTTTCTCTAATCCGCTGACAAGGTCACACTGGGCTTCAGAGAGACAACACAGAATTTGGGGATAGTTTATCACTTCCTCAGCCTTGAAGGGGAAGGAGATCACATTACAAATCACACTAAATAAATAAAACTATTCATTCCTAAAATCTTAATCCTAATCCTAAAAAGACAATGCATAAGATGCAAAGTATTAGAAATAAAAATATTGAATATTTAAATATATATGTTAGATAAAATTGGATATCAGAACGAAGTCAATGATCAATGCAGAGTAGAACTCCACCGTCGGGGAATAAAGAATGGCACACACTCAGAAGTGTAGTTCATTCAATTGTGCTCGTGCTATAGTTTATATAGCAAGTCTAGAGCGTAGGCTGAAACCAACAAATAAAATAACAAGTCCAGAAAGAAAGGAGACTTTCAGCTGAGCTGAAAGAGTCCATAGTCAGAGAGACAAACAACTCCATTCATGATTATAATACAATTGCTCTTTATGGATAAGTACATGTCTTACGAGCATGTGACTAAACAGGATGTAGGCTACAAGAAATCATTAGATAGACAGAAAAGGAGATGCAACATATTATATTTATCCAACACCGGCCTTCAGAGAGACAACACAGAATTTTTGGAATGGATAGTTTATCACTTCCTCAGCCTTGAAGGGGAAGGAGATCACATTACAAAACACACTAAATAAGTAAAACAATTAATTCAATCTAAAGACAATGCATAAGATGCAAAGAATTAGAAATAAAAAAACTTATTTAAATATATACAAAGTGTATGTGTATTGATTATTTAAAAAACAACAACAACAACGAATGCAAATTGTGCAATTGTGCAGTGTGATTGAGCTTGCTTCACATTTTAATTCTTTTTCAGCTCTTTAAAGTTTGTCTAGAAGAGTTTTGTTTCTTCATTCGTAGTTTCACCACAGGAAACAAGATTCGCGAGCATGAATATACACGAAGTAGTGCTGACGTGTTAATGAATATTCACGATTCTAGCACACCTCCAAACCTCTCAGCATGAGCGCGTGCATTTACCTCACAGAAGAATAAAGTACAGGTAGGCACGCGGATTATCATTAACCCTTTGATAAACCACTTCATATCTGTTTTTGTTTACAGAGTTCAGAGTTGTATCGGATTGTAATCGACAAGCTAATCGCACGTGTTTTTGTGGTAACGGTACGTTCAGACTTTTACGTCTCCATTCTCCTAACGATGAAAACGCATCGATTGCTTGTAGGCAGTTTGCCGTCATGTTGGGTTTATGGCCGTTTTCTCTTTATTAATAAACTAAAAGTTCTAATATTATGATTAGAGTAAGAACAACCAACGATAGGTTGCAATTACTGATATGTTAGTTCGCCAACATCAATATCATTACGGTTTAGTGAGAATCCGTTGATTTTTTTTAAACAACGACAGCAAACGTCATATTTCGTCCGAGTTACTGCATACTACGTAGTTAAAATAGTTTGTAAAACAGTACACGTGATCAAAGATAAACATATTATTTCAAAAATTGGCATACTCCACACAGTATACACATACTGTACACTGCAGATAAAGTAAGATTATGATGTTAGTATGCTATTCTGAATGTACTTGTTGTGGATAGCTTGCAAGTTTACTCTGTTTTGTCGTTTCTCTCTTTCGTCTTCATGTTGTTTCTTAGTATTTTCGTTTGTTGTCTTCACTGCAGCCCAGTTATGTTGTCTTCCAGCAGCTCGGCAGGTTTGTTCTGACACTGATTCTTGCACACTCACACTCCTGCTATTATATTATATTATATATTATGCCCTAGTTGTATGTCCTAATTGTAGTGAATTGTGTTCCAGGGTGCCAGAGTCAACTGTATAATGCCATACGTTCATATCTGCACAATCAGAACAGAGAACAGCCCATCATTGGTGAGAGACATTCCAACATCTAAAAAGATTTAGGGTGTGTTCACGTTTGGTTTGATTAAAACTGTAAGTGTGGCATTGTTTTGGATGCTCGGTAAATTCCATTTTGAAATATACAGGTGAAACTCGAAAAAATAGAATATCGTGCAAAAGTTCATTTATTTCAGTAATTCAACTTAAAAGGTGAAACTAATATATTATATAGACTCATTACATGCAAAGTGAGATATTTCAAGCCTTTGTTTGTTATAATTTTGATGATTATGGCTCACAGCTTATGAAAACCTTTTCACAATATTCTAATTTTGAATTTGGGTTTTTCATAAGCTGTAAGCCATAATCATCAAAATTATAACAAATAACGGCTTGAAATATCTCACTTTGCATCTATAATATATTAGTATATTAGTCTATAATATATTAGTTTCACCTTTTAACTTTAATTACTGAAATAAATTAACTTTTGCACAATATTCAAATTTTTCGAGTTTCACCTGTACATCATAAAAGTCAACCAATCAGGTTGTGAACATATCTCTATGCTTTTAGGTTCGGTATCTTTAGTGTTAAAAATGCCGATTTTTGGTCCAGACCAAACTAACCAAGCAAAATGAACTACAAGTGTGTACACATCCACCCTTAGTTAAGAAAACATCGGAAATCTGCTTTATATGTGTTCATTTGAACCTGTTTGGATGTTTCAGGTCTGAACTCCATCACTGAGGTGTTGACGCACTGTCAGCCTGCACTGTACTTTTGTGATGTCTGCTTTTTGAGAATAACCAAGCCTGACATCAGAAACCACATCATGGGCAGCATTCACAGATACAATTACATAGTAAGATATTGAGATTTTTATATTTTAAAGGTCTTTAACTTGAGATGACATGTTCTTACAGAGTTGCTAAAGGGACATGGTGAAAAATAAAATATGAAATGGGAGGAAAAATAATAAGCCAAAGCTTTTGCGAGCGAACACAAAGTTTCTCGGGGGAATACAAATGTTTTTGTGAGCGAACGCAAAGGTTATTATTAAAAGTTATTAGACTTATTATTTTTCCTCCCATTTCATATTTTGTTTTTTATTATTATTATCTTTTTCCACCACCATGTCCCTTTAAGGGCTCCGTACTTTCTTCTGTTTCTTCTAAATTTTATATATAAGGAAATATGAAAATATATGATTTTATGTTATATAATTTCCTTTCGTTGCTTTTCTTACATTAAATATCATTATTAAGTATGTTTTGATTTGTTTAGAATATTTATTGTTTACAATTATTATATTTATTGTATAATTTTCTTATGTGCATATTTTTGTTTAGATTTTGCTCAATGCACTCTTAATTAATTTACTCTCTTTTATGACTCTTCTTTAATACTGTGCACAATTCTCTTGTGCTTGCATGGACCACTTCTATGCAAAAGTACAGCATGTTTTTATTAGAAATACACTATATTTTGTAGTATGGATTGGGAGCAATATGAGCAGAATCAAGAAACTGCCACTCTATCCACTGTACGAGAATATTACATCTGCATATATTCTTCTTTAATTTGTATTTTCTAGCAATATTGGAATTTTTTTAAGTGTAATCTTGTAAAGAGAAATTATAATTAAATAAATATATATATAAGTAATGTTATGTGTGCCACCATTGAAAAGAAAGCAAGAAGATAATGAAATAATTGAAGAATAGGAGAACACCTGTGAATGAGGTCAGAGGTCATGAACTGCATGAAATAGAAGTTGCGATTGGGATCGGTCAGTTTTGTTTAGGCTTTTGGAAACTCCCGGACTGAGATGTCTTTTGAAAGAGAGAAGACTTTCTACGACAGAAGCTACAGTAGTCAACATTTGAAGTGGATCAAAACCTTTCTTCAAAGTTATTGGCTACATGAATTTTGAACAATACCCGTTTTTGTCTTAGGTGAACAACTTTGCTGAACTTTTTTTGATCTACTTCAAATGTTGACTACTGTATAACACCTTTATGCAAATCTGTAATTTGCTTTTAAGTTTTTTATTGTTGTGGTTAGCAGTGTTGTGTGTAACGCGTTACAAAGTAACGCGTTACAGTAACGTAACTACTTTTTCGGGTAAAAAGTAGTGTAACGCGTTACTACTGAAAATTTGGTAACGAAACGTAGTTCCTTTTTCAATTCCGCACAACGTTACTTTTCCCATGGACAGATTTGACAGCAACACACTGTCTCCTCTGCTGCGCGCTTGCAATAGTCACAAGCTCCACATGGAACGTGACAGAGGCTGGTAGCAGAGCAATCAATTCTGTGAATTACACTGCGCAAACCAAAAGTAATACTCCCACCGGATGAAGAAGGGTTGGCTCTCCACAGAACATAAAATATTAATTGTATTGAATTTTTCGTGTTCGCATTTATGAGGAAAGAAACAATGTTATGGACGTAACAGTTCTTCGGACTTGACCGCTCTGAAAGCGGCACTAAAAGACTGCTTTAAATCTTTCACAGAGACCTCAAACATGCATTTAAAACACCAAATATTAAGGATTGGCATATCAAGCAAAATAATATTCGATGATTGCTGGAAAATCGTACCTCTACCCCCACATGCTTAGTAAGACGGCGTTCGCTCAAATCCCGCTCCGATATTAAATTTCTCTGTATAGACCTGCGTGTTGTAGCCTAGTCATTAAAGAAAACGATTTAGTTTCATATTTCTGTTTAAATAAAATAATTTATTTTTTAATTTCATCAATGTTGATTAAATGAAAAGTGAAAAGCATGAGTAAGAGCATGCGCAATCGGGAGACAAATAGAGTGGGCAGACATGATTTTGACCACTTCATTAAGTTTGTTTTTTTAGAAAGCCTTTCTTTAAAGTGAATTTCGTTTTGTATTAATTGTATCTTAATTTTAATCAATGTTTCATCAACCAATTGTCTTTAATAAATAAGCAGTAAATATAGCAGGCAATATAATCAGGACTTCTCAGGAGCTCCGTGCCGGCGCTTGGACTGAGCTCGTCTCATAAATGAGCCGAAACTTAGCGCAAGCTACTTGCCTCAAAGATCTGAGAAATATATAGAAAGCTTGAAATGTGTACTTTAAAACAAAACTATTCAAAACGAGAGAAAACAGACTCTCTGCATGTAATCCATATGAAATGTGCATTTCTCTCTGGCGCGTTCACTACTGTGAAGATCGCGAGTCAGCATCGTCAACTTTATCTTTGCAGCCGACACTGACTGACAAAGAAAACACTTGTTTATTAATAAACAATTGAAATGTCTCCTTGCTATATTTGATATTCGATATTCATAATCATTTCTTTTGCCGGTTCTTTGTGACATTTTTCATGAACGCGTCACCACCGCTCAATAGTTAATATTGTGCTTTGGTGTTCAGTTTATACAGGTTTTTCAAATGTTATTTAAATAAACATATTTTATTTTTCTATCTCAAAATCTTTCTTTTTTTTCTAGTTTTTCAATAAGTAGAGTTCATAGTAGAATTTTATGTAGGCCTACACATTTAGGAACAGATATTGGGTTCTGCCCAAAGTCAAGCAACATAAAAGTAACGTAAAAGTAACGAGTAACATAAAAAGTTACTTTCCAAAGGGGGTAACTAAGTAAAGTAACGGATTACTTTTTTAAGAAGTAACGAGTAACGAGAAAACACTACTTTTTAAAAGTAACTTCCCCAACACTGGTGGTTAGAATCTAGAAACTCCAAGTCAAGTCAAGTCACCTTTATTTATATAGCGCTTTTTACAATACAGATTGTATCAAAGCGCTTCACAGTGATAACATGAAAACAATATAACAAAGTTTGTTTCTAAAAGAGAATTGCGTCAACGTCCACCTTAAGTAAGGCAGATCAATAATATTATTGAATATTAAGTGTCCCCAACTAAGCAAGCCAAAAGCCAAGGCAACAGTGGCAAGGAACCAAAACTCCATCAGGTGACAGAATGGAGAATCACTCACGGCATATTATCATTAGTTTTATCAATATAATATCTTGTAGCTTTAAAACTGTGCTTCTTTTCTTCTCTTGTGCTGTTTGCTTCAGATGTCTTTGTGTTTATTAACTTAAGATAAGTAATTTTTACTTCTGTCACGATAATGATTACTTGTCATACAAATAATTGTGATTAACGATTTAATTTTGTTTTGTTCGTGTCACTTACAGTGTAAGCCTTATAGCCTACATAATTTTTTTTCTTCGGAATTGTATATAATAACAAAAATTATTAATAATTTTCGTAGATATTTGTCTATCTTTACAACAGTTAATATATATATATATATATATATATATATATATATATATATATACACTCACCGGCCACTTTATTAGGTACCCCATGCTAGTAACGGGTTGGACCCCCTTTTGCCTTCAGAACTGCCTCAATTCTTCGTGGCATAGATTCAACAAGGTGCTGGAAGCATTCCTCAGGGAGTTTGGTCCATATTGACATGATGGCATCACACAGTTGCCGCAGATTTGTCGGCTGCACATCCATGATGCGAATCTCCCGTTCCACCACATCCCAAAGATGCTCTATTGGGTTGAGATCTGGTGACTGTGGAGGCCATTTTAGTACAGTGAACTCATTGTCATGTTCAAGAAACCAATTTGAAATGATTAGAGCTTTGTGACATGGTGGAAGTAGCCATCAGAGGATGGGTACATGGTGGCCATAAAGGGATGGACATGGTCAGAAACAATGCTCAGGTAGGCCGTGGCATTTAAACGATGCCCAATTGGCACTAAGGGGCCTAAAGTGTGCCAGGAAAACATCCCCCACACCATTACACCACCACCACCAGCCTGCACAGTGGTAACAAGGCATGATGGTTCCATGTTCTCATTCTGTTTACGCCAAATTCTGACTCTAACATCTGAATGTCTCAACAGAAATCGAGACTCATCAGACCAGGCAACATTTTTCCAGTCTTCAACTGTTCAATTTTGGTGAGCTCTTGCAAATTGTAGCCTCTTTTTCCTATTTGTAGTGGAGATGAGTGGTACCCGGTGGAGTCTTCTGCTGTTGTAGCCCATCCGCCTCAAGGTTGTGCGTGTTGTGGCTTCACAAATGCTTTGCTGCATACCTCGGTTGTAACGAGTGGTTATTTCAGTCACTGTTGCCCTTCTATCAGCTCGAACCAGTCTGGCCATTCTCCTCTGACCTCTGGCATCAACAAGGCATTTCCGCCCACAGAACTGCCGCTCACTGGATGTTTTTTCTTTTTCGGACCATTCTCTGTAAACCCTAGAGATGGTTGTGCGTGAAAATCCCAGCAGATTAGCAGTTTCTGAAATACTCAGACCAGCCCTTCTGGCACCAACAATCATGCCACGTTCAAAGTCACTCAAATCAACTTTCTTCCCCATACTGATGCTCGGTTTGAACTGCAGGAGATTGTCTTGACCATGTCTACATGCCTAAATGCACTGAGTTGCCGCCATGTGATTGGCTGCTTAGAAATTAAGTGTTAACGAGCAGTTGGACAGGTGTACCTGATAAAGTGGCCGGTGAGTGTATATATATATTAGGGCTGTCAAATGATTAATCGTGATTAATCACATCCAAAATAAAAGGTTTTTTTACATAATATATGTGGGTGCATTGTGTATAATTATTTTATGTATATAAATACACACACATGCTTGTATATATTTAAGAAATATTTTCATGTATATACTGTATATAGATTTATATATAATTTATATTATATATAAATATAAATATTTTATATATAAATAATATTTTTTTCTTAAATATACATGCATGTGTGTGTATTTATATATATACAAAATAATTATACACAGTGCACCCACATATATTATGTAAAAAAAACTTTTATTTTGGATGTGATTAATCGTGATTAATCATTTGACAGCCCTAATATATATATATATATATTCTTTGGCTAAATGTGATTGAAATGTAAACTGCACAATTAATGTGGTTATCGCAAATATTTGGGATTAGATCAAATAACCATGATTAATCCATAATCGCGATAGGCCTGCTTGATTTTTGTATTTGCTTCAAGTAGTCATTGATTTAACTCGTTGTACATTTTTTCCCACCGTATGTCATCTCATCAGTTTTCTTATGTAATTGTTTTTTTGGGAAATTTCCGTAACAGAAATATTACCATGCATGTGGGTGGAGAGCTTACACAGACCTGACTCTTCTGGCTCGGCCTCTCATGGATATCGCAAAAATGGTTGAAAAGAGGGAGGGAACAGGTGATGTACAGGTAAAATAAAACTCTGGAGTATCAAAATAGTTTTGTTATATATTAAAATATAGCTTCCCCACTAACCTTCTATTTTCTCTCATAAGGTTCTGTGTGTGGATGAACTCATCTACAACACGATGACATCATTGCCTGTCACTGATGGTCTGTCTTTTATGTCTTATCTCATTGCTCCAATTCGCCTTCATTAAACACTTAAAATGCCTGCATAAAAAAAAATCCTAATATTTATATTTTTCAAGCAAAGCTCTGAGTAAAATAAGAGTGATCATCTCAGAAATATTTATCTTGGTTTTGTGTTGTGTTGAATTATGTTGTTTGAAGCCTGTTGATACAGATTTAATGTAGATTACATTTATTAATTTAGCAGAATCTTCTATCTAGAGTGACTTTTAGTTCAGCATTGCTGTTTACAGTAGTTCACATCAGATTTGGCCATTTTCACATTTTGTCACTTGGTACTAAATGCTTTTTCTGGACTCTAAACATTATTTTTGACATGTCTTCCTGTATTAACCCTCATCACACTCTTTCCTCAATTTTCTTAGCTTTTGCTCAGATGACGACAATTAAGAATCAGCGAAACAGCCCTTCTGAAGGTATGCATACTGTAATGTGTTTAATATGACTTATACCATGGTCTGGGTGAATACTCGATTCTGATTGGCTGCAGGGTGTCCATTAAAAAGTGATAGAGGACACCTAAGCTGTGTCTGAAATCGCCCCCTATCCACTATATAGTGCACTATATAGGGTGTCGGCCATTTTGTAGTGGTGTCTGAATTCTGAGTGAACTACATCATTCCCTACATTCATTCACTACTTTGACCCACAATCCTCTCTGATTTTGAGTGTACATCCGATGTACACTTGCTGAAGCACTATTTCCCAGAATCCAATGCGTAGAGTACTGAGCGCGCGTGAAAGTGCAAACCCGAAATTACTTTACAGCTTTGTTTCTACCTTTTTTTTATTAATCATTACTTGAATAAAACATATTAAAATATTATATAGATGAATGTTAAAATTAAAATGAACTGATATTAATAGGGTAAATTATATAGGTATATATATATATTTTTTTTTTATTAAAATATATTATTTAGGCATTAACTCAGTTTAATATGTTTTACTATTATGCCAGGTGTTTTAATAATTTGTGGCATTGTTGTTAATTCGTTAAACTGTAATGAAGGGATGATAATTTGGTGGATGATTTAAAAATATTCGTTAATCATCTGTTCATTCGAATGTAATCATAACGATCGCCTGAGGGCGCTCAACGACCACGTCTATGTGAGCGTGAGTTTCTAACAATTTCAATCGATGAAACTACAAAGCTGGCACGGAGGTATATATAATTACAAAACAAAGTCATTATAATTGTTATTGTTGTTAATATTATTTTATAAAGTAAGTAATGTAAGATAAAAGGAGTTTTATCACTACGTGTGACGAAGCCGTTTCTGCGACAGCTCCAGCTCTCCAACGCAAAGTGTAACCGTCAGCGTCCGAATTTACTCACTTCATTTCATTCACTCCTTGCAGATATAGTGCACTCAAATGCCATACACTATATAGGGATTAGTGAATGAGTGAACGAGTGAGCGGTTTCGGACACAGCCCTAGTAAAGGAGTTCTGGTGAAACTGACTGTTTACCGTTCGAAATTAATAAATAAATGCGCTGGCTACATCAGCTGTGAGTAACCATAGCAACAGGCAGTCAAAGTATCCGTTTACAATTTATTGTATCAAAACAAACATCTAGTTTGCCGTTATCCACCTTATTCCTGACGACCTTACTGCGTTTTGAATTATGGGTGGCACTTCCGGTTTGGGGAACTTCCATTCAAAAAGGCTGAAACGAAGCATTTCAAATCATAAGGTTGCCCTACAAATAAAGCTGATCCGTCAGTTTGACTGGATGAGCTGTCAATTTTCCTTCATGATTTATTTTCAGACATTATGAGAATAACGTTATACTTGGTATTTTAACGTGACATGTTATAACAAGAATATCTATGGCAAGAGCTCTTTTCAGTCGCTGCTTTATTTTCCTCGTGATGATTTTTATTTTTTCCTTTGCAATCCGCTGTAAAAGTATGAAAAAGGACAACATATACGGCACTTTTGTGGTCTGTTCTCCCGAATTTAATTTATGATATTCCATTAATAATTCTCTGGAATGGACGAAGAATCTCTCGTTATTCTCCTAAAATCCTCACGTCTCTTTCCAGGTTTGTTTTCACAGGTAAATGCAATTTATAATCTGTCAAAATGACGGAAATCACTTTGATATAGTGTCACGTAATGCTGAAGTTAATGAACATTTTTGATTAAGGCTTGTTATACAATACAGATCGTATATTTGCCTGTGGTATTTAACCAAAGACTCGTGCTTTTGGGGCTATTTATAGTCTGTTGAAAGTATAGCTTGTTGATTCTTTTAAACTGTTAAATTTCATTTTAATGTTCGATGGTTGAAGGGTGAGTCGATTAATGTCATCTCATTGTGACACTTTTTTTTAACGTTTTTTAGCGTTCATACATAGAGTGAGCCTTTCACTGATTGTTTAGATTGTTTACAGAACGGAAGTTACACCCATAATTCGCGCAAAGCGTCATGGGGCGTAGGAATACGGTGGATAGAGAGCCTAAGTCCCTCCCCTTCCGGTCGACCACCATGGGACCTTATTTCGGAAAAATATTATATGGTTGTCAATGGCAAGAGACAACAAATATTTTGATCTCGTTTGAATTGTGCCCTGAATTACACAAATGATGTTTGTCAATTTAAAATATACATTTTAAAGTCAAGAAAGTCGCAGTTTGATGTAAAACTGTTGAGGTATAAGACTGTGAAAATACATAATTACAAAGACTACAAACCCAAAAGGCGCACATTTTCTCTTAATGAATGAAGCTAACTTTACTGAAGCTAACGTCTGTCATTTTTTCTATAGTCTTATAATCGTAACGTTACGCCGTCATGCCTGAGTGTTTTGTACCAGACTGCACACACACGAGCAGCGGATCTCGCTCGTTGTTTTGCTTCCCGGGAGATGTAGTTCATTGAGCGATTTTCACATGAAACTAAATGTTACTCTTCTGTTTTATGATAAACTGCGACTTTCTTGACTTTCAGAATTATTTTTTTTAAATTGACAAACATCATATGTGTAGTTCAGGGCACAGTTCAGACGGAATAAAAAGATAAGTTGTCTCTCGCCATTGATTACCATACATATTTTTTCCGAAATAAGGTCCCATGAGCCGGAAGCGAAGGGGAGGGACTTAGGCTCTCTATACTATGCCTACCTGTGTGTTTTAATTATAGGTAAAAAAAAACGAAAGTGTAACGCCCATGGCTAGACAAGTCTAACTTACATGAAAAAAAAATACGTTAACTTTCTGGCTCGTAAGTTAGCTAAACTGAAGGGTTGAGCGGACTATAAATATCTCCGGTTGCTAAATAAACCGTCAGGTGTAATCAGGGAAACCAAGTTATTGTTTGTAAAACCTTTGATTTCGATTGTAAAACTAATTAAAATATAAACTAATGTTTTAAAAATGTGTTATTTGGCAAGTGACCATGGTATAAGCGGGTTAATGCCCTTCGAGGTGTCCATTGTCTAGGTATTAATGGCCTTCGGACGGTTCACGCCTCGCCGTCGTCCTTTAATACCTGACAATGGACACTTCGTCGGGCATTAACCCTTACTTAATCTGTTCTGATATACTGTAGTAATTAGATATTGAAATATGTTTGGTATATTTTAATGTATCTACAAGGGCAGCGAGAGTCAGGATACACAGATGGGACTGCACAACTTCTATCTTCAGGATGTTTGTTCCCGACACAATCTGGATCTACAGCACCAAATATGATTGAACCTCAAACAGTCTCAACCAATCCAACACTAAACGCATCGCCCCCTAGAACCGCAGGTCCTGTCAAACCATTTCTCAGATGCCAGGAGGCATCTACACATCAGAGTCTTGTGGATTCCCATGTTTCATCTACAATATCTTGTCTAGAAAGCTCCCCATCTCCAGCCTTCAGCCAACACGTAAATCAGGATCAACCTCTGATCGCAGACAGAAATCAGGGTCTACAACGATATGTGATGCCATCTGAAAACCACTCTCTAACTGAAACGAGGACAATCACTGTCGTAAGACCACCAAGACAGTGGAGCCCCATTAGATTTGCTTTCCAGAATGACACTTTGCATGCTAGTGAAGAAGATGGGAATAATGTCATGCATTCATTTGGAGTCAGCTATGAAGCACATCCTCTGCATCTGGCCCAAACCCCGCCTTATGAAGCCCAGCGGCAAACACCAGTGAGCAACATGGTACCAGAGATAACCCAGAGTCTAACAAGCAGGCATAGATTTTTCATAAATGAAAGCTCACCTGATAATCCAGAGCCTGTCAGGAATGTGGAGATTACCAGTGTTATCAAGCTCATCAGAACCCAGATGCTAACAAAAGCATTGGAACCCGCTGCAACGCACGATTCAAATCAGTGGAATGATGAGGCGAATCCAAAGGAACCAATCGCCATCAACCGGGTAGCATGTGGTACTGTACTTTTTTTTTTTTTACTCTCATTACAATGTTTTGATTTGCACTTTATTTGGAACTTGCTATATTTAGATTTTCTTTTGAAGAAATTATTACTTTTATTAATTAAACAGTCATTTATAATGTTGCAAAAGATTTCTGATTCAAATAAATGCTGACCTTTCTTGGTTTGCATCATCATTTCCACAAAAATATTAAAACTGTTTTCAACATTGATAGTAATGAGAAATGTGAGCAGCAAATCTGCATATTAAAATGATTTCTGAAGGATCATGTGACACTGAAGACTGGAGTAATGATCCTGAAAAAAATTCAGCTTTGATCACAGAATAAATTATATTTGAAAATATATTAAAGTAGAAAACGGTTATTTTAAATTGTAATAATTCACAATTTCACTGTTTTCACTGTATTTGTTATCCAATAAATTCAGGCTTGGTGAGCAAAAGAGACTTGTAACCCACAGCTACAATAATTGTGTAACTTAATTATCAAATATACTTTAATTTAATCCCATGGTTTTCCCAATGGAAAAGTGTAATTATAAATGTATAAGTTACACAACCAGATACTAATTGTGCTGTTCTGATTTCTTTAGTTGAATATGATCAATGTTGCGGCACATTCTTATTGAGCATATATTTGACACTATCAATATATTTTACTTTATTTCTTTTCTTTAATTCTCATTTATATTTACAGTGGAGGCTCAATCAGACAACTTTGAAGAAGAGGACATCTTTCTGTTCTCACAAAACCCAATTGCCCAGTCCCCTCTTGCTCAGACTCAAAGCTCTTCTGATCGAGTTGAATCCCTTGAGGATTTTCTAGAAAACTACAAGGGTCGAAAGCCTCTTATCGGTGAGTGCAGCCACATAGTGTTGTGCGATCTCAGTACACCCCAGATGAAATTAAGAATAAACTAAATGAATGAACTCACTTTAGCTCAGTAGTAATGTACAAAAGATGATGCCTTGATTCAAATTCACTGCACTAAACTGTGTGTGAGCATGTTTGTCACAGGTCTACAAGCTGTTATCAAGTGCCAGAGTGTGGACGGGTATCCACCTCCATGCTGTTACCTGTGTCAGTTGTGTGCTTTGAAGCTGAAGAAGAATAAAATATTCCGCCACTTGACTAGCTTTGACCACCGGCGAAACTACCTAGTAAGTGTTTACAGTGCTTCCTTTAACTTGTGAAAGTTAAAGGAGTACTATTATGTCCCTCCAGCGGGAGTTATTCTCTATATCAGTGTCACTGTTTTTGAACTCCCTGAAACGCCTCCATTGTAGTCTTGAGTTTTCTTCCGGGAACAAACACGTCACAATATTCCTCATTTAAATAATTCATACGCAGAATAAAGGGGCGGGCCTGGTTGAGTTGGTTAGTAGTGTGTTGAGACGGGCAGTTATGGTAAGGGGCGGGACATTTCCCAAACAACACTGGAAGCGTTTGACCAATCACAACACACTGGTCTAGTCGACCAATCAATGCTTTTCGGAAGGAGGGGCTTCATAGAGACAGGAACTAAACAGAGCGTTACCAAGGGGGTAATCCATCCGCCGGAAACTGAAGCTGTCTCCGGGAGCCGCCATTGTAGCTGGCTATCACCTACTGTTAGCATCCCATTGACTCCCATTCATTTTGGCGTCACTTTGACAGCGAATAACTTTACATCTGAGGCGTCCAAAGACTCAATTTGTCCATTATTTATTTCTTAAGAAACGGGACAATGGATAAAAGGCTCCATTACTTTGTATCTTATGTTATGGTCCCGTAGAAGCTGTTTTTGTAAAAATAGGCTAACGATTGCGTCATAACCACGGGACGCTCTGTCGCACAGTAGAGAAATTACCGTATAGACTAGGGATGGCCCGATACCATTTTTTTTTTCAAACCGATACGAGTACGAGTATTTACATTTGTGTACTTGCCGATACCGAGTACCGATACCGATATTTCTACCGCAAAAGTAATAGGCTCCCAGAAAAGAAGACGACTATTTTAGAACACAGGTCAGAAGACTGTTTTTATTTTCTTCTCTGCTTGTTTTAACAAGTCTAAAAAAATAATAATAATTGTACAATAATAAATGTATTAACACACAAACCACTGTTAATTTAACATAAAAGCAAGCAGGCTACTGCGTGCATGGGCATGACTGAATGCGCGCAAAGTGCGCACCCTTAATAAATCCTAAAAGCTGACAGTTCATCGCGATCTCACACATCTCTGTTATTATCAATGAAGCTGACTGCACAATCAATCTTTCATAATATCCACACTTTGTTTGTTATAATTAGAGGATTTGCCAGCATACAGAATTCAGCACTGAACAAAAAAGTCCGTTTTGAGCAGTGAGGGGAGTCTATCTTAAATGCTTCTGATTGGCCATTGCGTTCAAGAAATCAACACATATGTCTGTGATTGGCTACATCGGCCATCAGATCTATGATGCGTCTTCAGATGTTTAATTAGATTGCCGGTGTTAAACGATGTACTTTCTTTCCCTCCTCTCGACACCTTAGCTGAACATAACTCACAGTCTGCCTTGCTGTTGTCATCATCCCTTATCTTGAAATGAGCCCTAACCGCCGACATTATAGGCTACTTTCCTATGCCTCAGTTCACCTCGACAAAGCTCTCGCGGCGGCCAGTTTCGTTTTGCAAAATGTACGTGGTATCGGCGAATTTTTATGAGTACGAGTACGAGTATATGAGGACAGTATCGGCCCGATCTCCGATGCCAGTATCGGTATCGGGCCATCCCTAGTATAGACAGAAGTAGAAGCTCGTAGGCAATAGTTTACTGTCTATGAGGCAATCGGGTGGACATTGAGGCATAAAGTCAAGGGAGAAGCCCATAGATAGAGAGTTCATAAAAGCAACGGGACAAAAATATTTCAACAACAGATTTGTTTCATATTTCAATTCAGATTTGTCTCGGCACAGCTACTAGAAGGTCAGAACGGTTGCTCACGTGACATCTATGTCGTTAAGCTCAGTTTGAGCCTGCGCAGTGTGCTTGGCTATCAGGAAGTGAGTGCTTTTATGGGCTTCAACTTTCTCCGTTGAAATCTATGGGGTCGCTGTGTCCATTTCTTTTACTGTCTATGAGCGTTACAAGGGCTGCGTTCAGCCCCGACAAAAAGTTGCAAAACGTTTTTTAAACGTAAACGGTGGTGCGTTGAACACCCTGTTCTGGTGACGAACGAGTTGCAACTATGGAAGCTGAGAAGGCCATTCTTAGTGTTCTTTCTTCAGAAATCGGTATAAATACGTGTTTTATACTGCAAAATACGCTCGATGTTACAGACACTGCCCTTGCCGTCTAGAATAAAAGAGAACATCCCAATCGAGTGAAGGGATTTGTGGAAACTGTATGTAATTCCTAATTATTGTAATCCAACATTTGCCTCGCTATTCAGGATAAAAAGACAAACATTTCAGGTGAAGGATAATCCACTTCTTACCTCCGAGACTGTGTTATGATCTATATGACCTTATTATTTTTATTGTGAGTATTAGGCTTATCATTATTGCTGTTGATAAGAGTTTTCTATAAAACCATTACGACAAACATGTCTTCTAATATCTTCAATAAATTACATTTTAAAATATATTAAAGTAAGAAAACGGTTATTTTAAATTGTAATAATTCATAATTTTACTGTTTTTACTGTATTTATCCAATAAATTCAGGCTTGGTGAGCAAAAGAGACTTGTAACCCACAGCTACAATAATTGTGTAACTTAATTATCAAATATACTTTAATTTAATTCCATGGTTTCCATTGTTTTTCAATTGTATACCGAGCTACAGCAGACACATTTGTAAACGACTTTACTTGGACCCATTGTGCGTGCTGTGTCTTTAATACCGCGTGGTTTATATACATGTTGCTGCTGATTGGGCTGACATTTTTAACAAACCCACCAAACGAGAGAAAACCTATCTCAAACCCTGTTGCACACCGTTTCCAGGAAACATGTCGTTCAACCCGGAAACCGTAGCAAAACGTTGCGCACCGGTTTGAGCTTGAACGTGCTCCAGAGATTGTCTTATAGCGAGCTGTGAGGATCTTTATCTCTTACCATTGGAGAAAGTGTAACGGCTAACTTAAGGTGATGATACACAGGGCCCACGACTGATCTAAATCATACAGATAGAAATGTATTGCCCATTTTCAATGGGAAAGTGCCCAAGCAACAATCGTTCGGCAGGATTGCCCAGCAACATTGCTCAAAAAGTTGCCCTGTGTATCATCACCTTTAGATCACGTGAAGCATCTCAGCCTATCGTGTAATGGCAGTCACGTCAAGTGCCCGCAGTTCAAAGTTTAATGACAGTCAGTTACAGTTCACGTTAATCAGTTTCTTGTGGATTATTAGCGCGTTGGTCTTGTAAATAAACGTTGTATATTTGGTTTTATATCACTAGGACTGCATTGTTTATTTATGGAATTGCTTTACTGCGGAAAAAGAGTGCAGATATATCTATTAGCTGAATAAAACTACATCTAAGATTACACTAAAAGCTTTTGTCATAAATTGTCATTTAATACATATTTAACTAATAAAAATGATATGTATTTTTTTTTACCATTTATTAAAAGTGTTATTTGTTATATCATCATCATTAGGCACACAGCAGTCATAAATCATTACAAAACAAGACTTACCTGGCAGCGATAGAAAGAACTCTTAATTTTTTTTTTTCTTCATTAAACAACATACAATATAACACAATATTGATAGTTAAATTTTTCATTTTGTCTTTATTCATTAATGCATAATATCAGCGTCGATATGCTTACATGCAGTTATAATAGTCATTACAATTCTAATTTTATCATAACTGGTAAAACCTGAAAGACAAAGAAAGAAAACTTTTTTTTTTCTTTTTTTTTTGTGACAATATACAATGTCACTCAATATTACTAATAAATACTATGGTAATGCCGTAAATGAGTCCTACCTGTCACGACATTCCCTTCTCTATCTTCTTTTATAGAATAACCTTTTTGTTATAGTAAAATCTACATATCGTTCCCAACAAAAGTTTTGTTTAGCGTAAAACATGTTGAAGATTAGCCTACAGGCTGTCGATTACTTAAATGAATAGGTGTTTCCTCACAAAAGCGGTTTATGTAGTGAAGCCTCTCCTCCATTGACATGCATTCAAAACAACAGCCTCTAGACTCCTTCCCTGCGCACAGCCGCAGCGTTAGCATTAGCCGTTACGCTTTTTTGGCTAAAGGTTTCAGGCTTGCCTTCTAGTGGCTTTGGCGTTACTGACAGACTGGGAAGAGAGGAGCTGCAACAGTGGAGAATATGTGGAAATGAAGGTGTTGTTTGAGCATTCAAGCATGAAAAGGGGCAGGAGTACATAAGTTTTACTTCTTCCTACTCCTTTTTGTACATGTAAATAGAGGGGTTTTTTAAGTACTGGAAAGTATGGAGTTTTATTTTGTTGTTGTCGTGGAAATTCTTTGCCTAGATCTCAAATAACAATACGCTGATTTCACGCAGCCGCCATTTTGAAATCGAAAGCGAGGCTCCGGTGGGAAGAACCCCGGAAGTACAGATAGACAACAATGCCTTGGACTACCAACCTGAAGCTGCTGCCGCGATTTACACTATTGGATGTTAATATCCAATATAGGATATGTATATAGTTTGTTCCTGCTTCTTTTTTTACGTTCTGAATTATATATATAAAAAAGAATTGTATTTATAAATGAATTTCACTGTATATAGTCTAAAGTATGAAAGAAATGTATGTACATTTTTAGAATAACTAATTTCTACATTAAACACAACAATACGCCATCGCATTCGCGACTCTCCTATGATTAAAAGCGACACTTCCGGTTTTCTTCCCACCGGAGCCATTTCAAAATGGCGGCTGCGTGAAATCAGCGTATTGAAGAACAAATGAAGATCTCGAAAGTCATAAGTATTAATTTCTTGCAAGAAAGGCAGTTGAAGTTCACACACAGACAGACTCTGATATGAGAAGGGCAAAGGTCTTCTCATTTTACACAGTTTATATACTAAAGAACATCCTCCAAAACGTACCCCTCCCTTTCTTATCTTCGTACAAGAGCTTGTGTTTTTCGTGCATAGTTCTTAGTTCCCCATATTCTAACACTTCTTATCTATGTATACCCGCACATAAACACACATATGTCATTTCAAAAACAACTAAATATATGTTTTGCTCTTGGTGCAAGCAAGCTTATTTATTTTTGAGAAGAACAGAACATTCTGTCCTTCTGCACACGTTCCATTGACCCATTTGTATAGGAGATAATGCATCTTACAGTTTCTTTAACACATCTATATTTTAAAGAATACACAAACAAATATATATATATACTGTATATATATTTGTTTCAAGAGATATATATTTAAAAGAAAAATTTCTCTTACATTGTTCATCTGTTGTTGTTTTTTTACCATTATTTTTTTCCTGATTTTTTTATTATTGTATTTACAGGTTAAAAATAAAGAAAAGACTAAAGATAAAGAAAACCAATTTTAGTAGAAGAGCATAATAGGTCTTCTTTCATGTCTGGCAGCAACTAAATAAACTCCTAAATAAAATAATGTTACATGCACAAATATACATTTCTAGTCTAGTTAACGGTGCTGAAACTCCCCAATAATGCCTGTGAATCATTTGGATTATAGTGCTTTAATTATATATATATTATTAAAAAAAATGCTTTATGTTTATACCTTTATATACCGTATGCTTTATACTGGCACCATATGTGTAGTTGCTGCTCATGCAAATATCTTCATGTTGGCAGAAAGTTCTCCACCCGCAGCTCCTGCCTATAAAGCGTAAACGCTGCAACACAAATGAGATGCTTGAGGATATTGCTATTCAGCTGGAGAAAGAGGACGGAAGAGGACAAATAAAGGTACTACCTATGTTCATATTATAAACTAATGTGATTTTTATAGCCTTATTGGAATTAGATGTGATTGTGTAGAGCTGTTTGGTAATTTCATCTTGTTCTGAAGGTGATGAGGTTGTCCGCATGTCTCATAAGCGATGTACTGCTCAAGGATTATCAATGGTGTAAGTATAGCAGATGAAAGCAAAATACATTATAGTTTGTCAGTGAGAGCCAAAATTCTCCTTTCTTTACCAAAAAGGTATGAATGTGTTGAACTGTGGAGCTGGTGTGGAGTGGAGATCAGATCTGCTGTCTTTCAAGGATAGAACTGACAAAACCACAGGTGTGTGTGTGTGTGTTTTGTGTGTGTGCGTGATACCTAAATCAAGTTATGCGGTTTTTGACCTGTGAATATCAGACATGCATTCTTTGTCCATCATTACATTTACATTAGCATTACATTTTCATCAACTTACAGGTTATAAAGTTTATTGATGCTATGTGTAGTCGCTCAGTTTCTTCTGTCACTTGACCAAAATCTCATGTTATAAAAGATAAAATGGTATTTAAGACAGTATTGGCTGTGACTTGGCGACAAATGCTAGACTAAGACACTCTTTCTCTGCTCTTCAAATACATAAAACATCAGCCTTTATATATATATATATATATATATATATATATATATATATATATATATATATATATATATATATATATATTTAATCACATCCAAAATAAAAGTTTTTTTTACATAATATATGTGGGTGCACTGTGTATAATTATTTTAGATATATAAATACACACACATGCTTGTATATATTTAAGAAATATTTTCATGTATATACTGTATATAGATTTATATATAATTTATATAATATATAAATATAAATATTTTATATATAAATAAAAAAATTTCTTAACCCTCTGGGGTTGTTCGTTTAACAGTCACACTTGGGGTGTTCGGGTCCAAATGGACCCAACGGGCAGGATTCATATTTTAAAAAAAAAATCATAATTTTTTTTTTTTACTTGTTTTTTATAAAAAAAATTCTTTTCTTTTTTGGTGTTTTGAGATATTTTATGATTTATAATTAATATTTATGCAATAATTATGACCCATTTTTTCCCATTGAACATAATAGATTTTTTTTTTTTTTTTATCAAAGCTGTATTACATTTTAGAGTGAAGCCTAGGCCTCATGAAAGCAATTTTTGAAAAAATATAGATGCCATCTGGTGGACACACTGAGCATTTTTATCACGCAAGAGCACATTTTTACCACTAGTGGATTTACAGCTCTCTGTAGAAAGGCTTGGGGATTCTAGTGATTTTTGCAAATATATACCCATTTTTTTTCAGGTTGTTGATTTTTAAAATATAATAACAGATTCTCAAAGACTATTTTTGTCTTGTTTTTTGTTTGTTTGGTTGGTTTAAATGGTAATTTGAAGTGCCAGTTTTACTTTATAATACAGATTTTTATAAATATATAATACTGTGTGTGTGTGTTTTGCACTCTTGATGTTTTAGAGATTCACCCCTTCACCGTTGAGTCATTTTTCTGCATTCTGGCTGATTTGTATATTGTATGCACAAAGAAACTGTTTTCATATTTTTGACAATTTCCCATTCATTTCCAATTGGGGTCATTTGGACCCGAAGGTCCTAAGTGTGAGTATTTTTTTTTATTTTTTTACAACCACTTAGACTATTCAGATCCTGTCCCCAATTTTTTTGTGTGTTCACATACCTAATACCATAAAAGTCACCTGGTTTCGTAACATTCCGATTAAGCTGTGATTTTTAAAAATTCAAAACAGTTTTATGTAATCTGAATTTATGAGTGTGTATAAAAGTGTGTGTGTGTGTGTGTGTGTGTGTGGATGTGTCTGTTTTGCACTCTTGATGTTTTATAGATTCTCCCCTTCACTGTTGTGGGCTTTTTTTATGGATTGTGGCTGATTTGTAGATTGTACGCACCAAAAAACTCTGTTTTTTTTACATTTTTGCCAATTTCCCATTCATTTCCTATGGGGGTCCATTTGGACCCGAAGGTCCTGAGTGTGACTATTTTTTTTACAACCACTTAGACTGTTCACATCCTGTCCCCAATTTTTTTGGGTGTTCATATACCAAATACCAACAAAGTCACCAAATTTCGGACCATTCCGAAGAAGCTGTGATTTTTAAAAAAAAATTATTTGGATGATTCGGGTCCATTTGGGCTGAACAACCCCAGAGGGTTAAATATACATGCATGTGTGTGTATTTATATATATACAAAATAATTATACACAGTGCACCCACATATATTATGTAAAAAAAACTTTTATTTTGGATGTGATTAATCGTGATTAATCATTTGACAGCCCTAATATATATATATATATCGTGTTTCTAAAGTAAAGAAAATTTCGTACTTATTCAAACAACCAGTTGTTTATTCTCCTTCTCATTGCAAACAAGCAGAGATGCTCCAAAATGTGTGTGGCACTTCATTCATGATAGTGGTGGTTGGAGTTATGAGGTTTGACTGACAGTTTGAGGATCCAATGGAGTTACAAGGTTTAGTCGCAAGCTCTTTTTAATACTTTTCATTGGTTAAATATTTGCTAAACTCACAGACGGACGCACAGTGCGACCAATAATAATGATTTATGGGGGAAAAAATTCAAATGACAAAACATGGAGATTCAAGGTTTCCACCCGGCAGTGACAATATATATCGATCTCTATATTTCAGAGAATATAATGTATCTTATATTCAGTCTAAATCCTTATTCCTTGATTTAAGCATAAATCTAACTACAGTTAGTGAGGTTTATGCTTAAAACATGAAAATACTATTTATCATTGGGGTAAGAAAAAAGAAAAAAATAATTCAAGTATTATTCTAAAATCGAAAACATGCTCCCTTTTTGTAAACAAAAGTCTTTAAAAAAAGGGGGGAGAGTCACTTATTTATGGGTATGGGTTTTAACCAACACCAACAAGATAAAGAAAAATATTCCTTAAAGATAAATAAATATATAAATATTGTACACAACTGGATAAGTAAGTGCCTTTTTTCTTCTTCATTATTATATCTAATATTACTCCTGAAGTAATTTTTTTTTTTTTTTTTTTTTTTTTTTTTTAAGGATCTTGTGATATTCATACTGGAAAACAAGACAAATAAAATGTTTACAGGCAGATAATAACATATTCATCTATTTCTAAAGGTCCCAGTCAGACTCTTAAACGCCCAGCCGAGTCTCTGCGGCCCCCTTCTGAGAAATGGCCTATTAAAGCTCATGATGGACCTCCAACTCATCAGATGGCCAAAAAAATGAAGAATGACCATCCTAAGCATGTCATGAGCACTAACAAAGTAAAGAACCCTGTGTTTAAGGTAAGCCTGTCTCTGCAGGAGGGACCCGTCGTGATTGAGAGAACTTCTCTAAGAGACACGGTCACAGTGGCGCCTGAGATCGAAGGCCAAAGCCGTGCGTCAACATGTGTGGATGATGATGAAGGTGATGTGACGAACACACATCCTGAGGGACGCCCACACACAATACACTGCGAGAATACACAGCAGCAGTATCCTGAAGGAGATGTGCTCGCTCAGACGGACATTCCCACACACACGGAGGTGGTCTCACACATAGACAGCCGTATGTTTGAGGATCAGTTCATGAATCCGGCTCAATATGCGTACTCAGGGCAGTTTGACCAATCTCAAGGCATTCAAAAGATTGACCCCTATATCAGACCTAAGGACTGTGGTGCGGCGGTGGAGGAGGTGGTCCCCATCACGTATGCTGATTGGCCGGGGCAGGACTGGTCCTTCTATAACAACGAATGGATTGCGATGAGGCAAAACCAGTATGGAAGTGATCATCGTTGGTGTGAAGGTTACATGCAGTACTGATGAGAATGAGTCTTCCAGCACTTAAGCGTCAGGAACAAAGAGTTTGAGCATGTTTTTGAGAAGTTTTTGCATCAGAATTCAGTCCAAACTGTATGTCTTTTTTTTCTTTTCTTTTTTAAGCAGATTTTGTGCCGTTGGTTAAACAAAATTGACTGAACCATCACTGAATTATTAAGCTTTATTTAGTAATTCGAAGGGGGAAAAAAAACACAAAAAGGGCTTCTACTTCATTCATACATATCGTTAGTGCTTCTTTAGTTAGTGCAGGTTATTCCGATGAATTTGTCTTTTGATGATGTGAAAACCTAAGCTTTAACTTCTTTTTTTGTAGATTTTTCATCAACATGATTCATTTAACTTCCTTTATCAAAAAATCATTGATTATTTGTTGGTTAATACCTGCCTTTGTAGTTGTCGTATGAATTATTTTGAGATATATATGTATGGGTGTGTATACACACACACACATATATATATATATATATATATATATATATATATATATATATATATATATATATAATGTATGTATAAACATACACACCCACACACACGTATATCAAAATAATTGATACGACAACTACAAAGGCAGGTATTAACCAACAAATAATCAATGATTTTTTGATAAAGGAAGTTAAATGAATCATGTTGATGAAAAATCTACAAAAAAGAAGTTAAAGCTTAGGTTTTCACATCATCAAAAGACAAATTCATCGGATTAACCTGCACTAACTAAAGAAGCACAAACTATAGAAGCCATTTTGTGTGTTTTTTTTTCTTCAGACTTCTAAATACAGCTTAATAATTCAAATAGTTGTTGTTTTGGTTATACATGTAAAATGCATGTTATCCTTGGTTCAAATGTATGTTTTAGAATCCATGAACAATGGATCTGGTTTACAAGCATTACATGTAATTCAAGTTTATGTTCTTTTGTAATTATCAGTGTTACTGAAAATTCATATTCTTTAAAATTAATTTAGAGAGACAACAGTTGAATGTTAAGTCAATACTTTATTTTTTGTCACTGCTGTCATAATTGAATTTTAAGTTCGTTATCACAAGTACTAATATCATTATTTTTATTGTAATTGATTGTTTTAACAGTAAATTCCTATTTCTAAATAAAAATCTTGTTTTCACAGACCTATCATTTTTTTTGTATGTTACATATTTAGTCTGTATTTTATAACCAAATTGATGATAGTTTTTGATACTTTGTAACATGGACATACTAAAATAAAGTATAAATCAGTGTAATTATACATTTAAGTACTGAGTAATAATAATTAACTACATGAACTTACTTTAAAGGATTAGGATTAGGTAGGTTTAGTTTTATGTGCAATTTATAGTAATTATATACTATACTATAGTAACTAAATGTAACGTGCAACAAAGACACTGTAAAATAAAGTGTTTCTTTAGTTTAAACAAATCCCTTACTAGTCTGATTCAACACTTGCTTAATCGAACAGTAGTTTTCCATTAAAACGAGTACCAAAAGGACTCAAGAAAAGAGACTTGTAATTTGCATATTAATTTTTATTCATAATTCCACGCTGCGTGTAATTCCATGCTTCACCAGGTGATGGCGCCAAATTACCAATTTACAACCAAATGGCGTAAAGAGTTTAACAAGAGGCCTGTAATCCCTCTATATGTTGCTAAATCAATATTGATATACATTTAAATTAATTAATGAAATTAAGTTTAATTCATAATTTTATATATATGTTATATAGGCATGGTTTAAGTTTTAACGAGAATACTCAATAAAATTATTCAAAAGACAGCTGCGCGTGAACAGCAGTTGGAAAGTGCGCGAGGAACATCAGATATTCCAACTGACAACAACAAACGACATTCTCATTAACATATTTATTACTTTACAAATTTAGACATATTTCGTTGTATTTAACACATAACTGGCGTCGTAATGAGTCTGATACTAGGTGGGTTGTTGTTTTGTTTTCTTCTTTGTTTTTGTGTAGAGGTGTTGACTAGTCAGCTAAGCAGGTTGAGTTTGATTTTCGAGAATTGCAGCTTGCTAAATATTGTTTTGTACAGAGTCATCATTCAGCATTGAAGATATTATAAAGACACCAAAAAGCCCAGGTATGACATGAATCACTATTTTAAACAATAACGTTATAGTTAATTAAAAAATAATTCCTGTTTGTTTTGTTACTTCTCTTAGTTTTTCCCAATAGAGAAGGCCTCACCCATAAACCAGATCTTTAATGTTTGTCCACTCAATGGGACTTAATGCCTTTGTATTTCTTACATAACATTTGGTATTGTTTTATAGGCAAGCGAACAGAACCGAGACCAGTGGAGCTGTTAATCAAACTCAGGAATCTGCAACAAGGTAAATTGCCAATTGGCATCTTTAGACTGTAAATTAACACTAAAAAGCAAAAAATCAACACCCATATTGATTTCAGCCAAGAAAAGCCTTGAAGATGAGGTGAAGGAAACCAAACTCTTCATATGTGCTAGAAAGGAGGAGGAAGATACCTGTATGTATGCTTGCATTATACCCTAAAAGAAAAGTTGGCCCAAAAATTGGCATTACTTACTCCACCTCAAGTTGTTCCAAACCTGTATGAGTTTCTTTGTTCTGTTGAACACAAAGAAGATATTTTAAAGAATGATGGTAATCAAACAGTTGACGATAGCTCTTGACTTCCATAGTAGGAAAAAAATGACTATGGAAATCAATGGCTACTGTCAGCTGTATGGTTACCAAGATTCTTCAAAATATCTTTTTTTGTGTTCAACACAAGAAAGAAATTAATACAGATTTGAAAACACTTGATGGTGGGTAAATGATGACAGAATTTTCATTTTTGGGCGAACTATACTTTTAAATGGCAAATGACCATGAATTATACATTACTATTCATTCAAAGTATTTTTTTTGTTTGTTTTTTGTTACAGTAACTGCTGAAGCCTTACAGTTAGAGGGAACATTAAATGAAAAGGAAGGTGCTTGTCTAAAACCAAATACTGAGGGATTTGCATTTATAAAACACTGTATATATCACACAAATAGAATGATCATTACTGTACATGAAATCACCAATAAGTTACATTTAAGCCTTGTTATCAGATATATTTACAGTGTTACCACAAATATTATTTTCATACAGAGTTAAATAGATCTATGCAGCTCAAATGTGAGGACATCCAACTAGAGGCACAAAGGTAGATATCCAAATAACACTCATGGGTATTTAAGCTCTGAATTACTGCACACTATATGGAAACTGCTTACGTGTAAAACACAACATGAGTCACCTAAACAATGAGCTTCGGTCTCGTACAGGGTGTGTATTCACTCAATGCCAGTACACAAATCGTATTAAAAATAGGATGACGTTGAGAGCAGAATTTGTTCACACAGAAATGTTTGGGGTGTCATCATCTTTATATCTGATTTAAAGTCTAACTTTTAACTCTAGGCAGCTTGAGCAGAACCATCAGAAAGAGGAACTGGTAAAGCAGTACTGCTTTCAGATCCAGGAGACGAAACTAAAGCACAGAAAGATTCGGTATGACTCACTGTCTATAACAGTGAATGGAAACTCCTCCTCGCATTTAAACATTACTATCTCTTAAGATATCAGAATTAGATATGAGATGTTGTACATACTGTACATTTTTGCATGTATCGCTAGAACATTTATTGTAATGCCCATATTCTTAATGAAATGCGGAAACCTACTAGTTCAGCAGCCGTTACTGATGGTATCGGGATTAACAATTGTAAAATAAGAGCGTATTGAATATTGAAACAAATTTCTATCTAATTTATTTTAGAATGAAGTTTGAGAATCAGCTTCAGCAGTTAACGGAGCAGCATAAAAACCTGTCTACTGTCTTTGTAAGTGGTCTAATAAAATGGATATTAAAATAAAAACAAATAAGCTTTCTCTACTTGTAAAATATAAACGGCTTTATTAATTACAGATTGGTAGCATTTTACGTTCCATTTTCTTTTCTTTTTCCAGACTCCGGAAAGACTTCCAGCCGAAATACAGTCTGCTGAATACACCACTGAGCAGCTGCTGAAGGCTGGTACGTTTTGTTCATTTTGTTCCATTGCTTAAGTTTTATGGCTCTTTCCAGTATGACCAGTGTGTAGCTGCATGTTCAGTGTGACATTTGATGCTTTCTGGTTTCATTCAGACATTGAAGTCAAATGAATCCAGCCATTTTTCCAAAATGACTCATTTGGCCAGTCCTCAAGGCAGAATAGCATATACATTAGTGGCCAAAAGTAATGTCTGGAGGGGATATTAATTTTAAATAACCCTACAAGTTCAATTGAACCATCAAAATATGAGGAAAAATATATATATATTTTTTAAATATGAAGGAGGAACAAAACGCAAAACTTGGTTAAGGTATTTATCTGGCAAAATTATTTAGCAAAAAAGGCAAACTACAGCTACAGGATTTATTTTATTTTATGCGCACTGTTCGCCATGATGGTTTTAAATTGCTTGAAATATGATTGGAATCACTTCAAAAAGGAAAACACAGTTAAGTGCAACGTGCAGCGCAAGTCTGTCATATTGGCTACTTAAAATTATAATAAGAATACTACTGTAAATGGAAAAGAATGTGTGAATTCTTTGTACGCCGTGTTTTAGCTCTTAGGGAAGAGCGCATCCACTCCTTCATGACTAGCACAGTCAAGTCTGCGTGTGCATTCGCATTTTAAAGCATTAAAGCATTTCTCGCTTGTTTTTGCATGTTGATAAATTCTTTGTATGACAGCCTGGCCAAAAATGATGTCTGTACAATTTGGCATGTTTCATTGCGTTATCACAAAGAAAACAATTGACTCCAAGCAAATTGACTACATAATATCCTTACAAAAATTGTAATAATATTTTACAAAGGGTGAAGTTGTCAATTTTCCAAGGCCAGACATCACTTTTGGCCACTACTGTATTAGCATGCTACTCGGACTATTTGGGCCGAATAAAGATAGTATAGTAAGATGACTTGCAAGGATAAGATTGCACAGTAAAGTAACCTCATACACAAGTGTCCTCAAGACCTAAAACTGAGCTCTCAGCATCCTTAAACAAGAGACCAACTTCATCCTCAGAGTAATCTGATACTTTCCTGTGTGTGTGTTTGTGTCTGTCCCTACAGAGCAACAGAAGCGGGAGCAGTTGACCAAGCTGCTGGACGGGTTAAGCCACACCCAGCATGCAGAGATGCACATGGACACTTATGAAAAAGCACCATGAATGTCTCACACATTTCGCAAACTTGAGTTGAGTCCCTATTGTATTCCAACAAATGCTAAGATAGAGAAGTTAGAGAAGCGTTTTTTCTATTGTGTTCTATTCTTCTATTTTAACTTGTTGCCATATGTACTGTCATTGTGTTATGCCATCAAAAAAAAGTACAAATACTGATATAAACCTCAATCAAATCATACCCATACCTAGAATATAAACATTTCTAAACCATTTATTCAGAATTTATAAGACACAATAAAAAAGTTTGTAAACAAGCCTAAATTCCCCAAGATTTGTATTTATATACATAAACTGTATCAATGACACTATCAAATTCAAACTCCTCGACCCGACGATACTCCTCATTAGATCAACTTCCGGTTTCCATAAATCAGTCCTATGACACATCCAGCAGGGCACTCTGGGAATTCTTTGGTGTTCAGTAATACCATTCTATCTTAATTTCATTTTGCATTGACAAAATACAGGCCAAAGCCCAGTCCTGAGAACATCTTTATCAACCTAATATTTTACAGATTCTCGTGACAACACGGTTCATGCAGGAATGTACATGTGTAGTAGGTATGCAGCTATTATACTGCAAAATCTGATTGCCGCCGGTGTAATAAAATTCATTCAACTTCCCCCAAATCACTTTCTCAGCTTTCAATCCATTTCCTTGACAGCACCGTTTAAATAGAGGAAAAAAGGAATGAATAAGCCTCCTTTCATTTTCATACATCCCTTACATACTTTCCAGTCATTTTCAGTTTCAGTGTTCTTTGCCTTCAAAAGTTGAAGCGTTGTCTACCAACCATCTCCGTTTTCCTTTATGCCTGTGATCCATTGGCACAGTCACCACGAAAGCATAATTTCAGCATGACGTGTCCTGGGCTGTTTGTGTGGTGTACTTTAACAAAGGGTGTGTTTTAGTGCCTTTAGAGTAGCATATCTCAGGTTCTGCCCTGACATGTTAATATCCTTTACCAGAGCTGAAAATGGCATACATATGCATCACAAGGAACTAAAAGGTCCAGTAGAAAAAGAACAAGCTGAGAAAAGCCTCTTGACGTTCGAACCCTCCTTTGGCCTGATTTTGTGATTCTCTATCCTGCAGGGATTGTGTGCGATTACTGTTGAGGTATGCCCTGATGCCTTATAAGGGCAAAGTAAATCATCTGTGGGCTCAGATTGGCACAGAGCGAGGAATATTTCTCCTGCTGCAGCAAGACTCCTCATATTTGAGCTTGTGCTATTTTGGTGGTGTTTATATGAGATCCATGGACCATTTAGGTTACTAGTCATTTAGCAGACGCTTTTATCTGAAGCGACTTACTTGCTCCTCTGTCAGTTCACAGCAGTATTGGGGATGTTTGGTACAATTTTTAGTTCAGTTTCAGGCTCTCTTTGCAGTTCACTGTGAGGAACATTGGCCCCTTCCTCCAAGTTTTGTTATCCCAGGTTATTCCCCATCTGTTGAAGTAGAGTGACAGATATGTGAATGAAACATCCCACAAATAGTACAGGAGATTATGTGATAGTCTATTCCATTTATTTCTATCATAAATGAAACCATAAATAGATGAAAGGCAGCATGAAATGGGATATAACGACACTGCATTTTTAATGTTGAAATTTAAAGAGATTTGTTGATTCTATGCATACCACAAGGCAAATAATAAATAAACAACGTAAAAGGAAAAAGACAATTCGTCAATAAATATAACTAGACATTAAATGCTACATTAAATGCTTTGCTTAGAATTTATATATTTCACAAAATACATTACAAATATTGTACAAGAATCTCATGTGATTAATGTAGTCAGACTTGCTCTGCCTTCTCTTTATTTCCCTGTTCCCAGCAACACTCTTCTTGGTTACGAAAAAGTACCTCAAAGCGACTGTAGACTTTCTTTTCTTTGCGCATGCTCTCTATTCTCTTCAGCAGATTGTCCCTCTCCTGTGGGTTGACTGGAGTTCGGCTGAACCGGTTCCTTGGAACCTGTAAGGATGAATTGGAAACGTCGTCTTCCTTGCTCCCCTCGCTTTTCCCAGACTCTTCATTCTGCTGTCTGTTCTTCTGGCTATTTGCTGAGATTTGCTCTAGGATCACCTTGGTATCATCCCTGAGGTTGCTACTGAATATTACATTCGAGGTAGAGGACTGATAGCGTGATTGAGTCGGTTTAGCATTGGGCTTGTTGGTCTCTACTGTGGTTAAAGATGATTTGGATTCAGAGGGTTTCTCTTTGTCTGAGGGATCCTCTTGCACCTCAGGGACTGTTTTCATTGACTTGTCCTCTTGAGAGTTGGACACTCCTGAGTGCTTCTTTTCTCCCTTTGGCCCAAGGAAACCTTTCAGTCTCTGTGTTTGTTTCTTGAGGAAGTCAAGGGCCTTTGTATCTTTGCCATCAGAGCTCCCAAAGTTTAGGGAGCTCAGGCTTTCTTTGGACTCTGTGCGGGACATGCCCGATGAGCTGAGGCTGCGGGACTTCTTAAGCTCGCTCTTTTGAGCATCTGTCGCATCCGTGAGAATCTCTTCACCGCATGAGATCCGACGATAAGAGGACTGAGAGCTTTTGAATGGTTTTAAGAACTTGGGTGAAGGGAAAGGCCGGGGTGACTTAGTTGGTTCCTTAGCGGGCTCTTTCTTTGCTGCATCAGCTGGTTCCTTAGCGGGCTCTTTCTTTGCTGCATCAGCTGGTTCCTTAGCGGGCTCTTTCTTTGCTGCATAGGCTGTGCTCTCTGTCAGAGATTTGCTGTTTATGTATGGCCTGTCCACACAGACTTCAGAAGGTTTTGGATTTGATGTGAATGCCAGGTGCTGTGTTACAGGATCTGATAGTGTATATGAGGGTTCTTGTGTCTTTACAGTGGACTTCTCTGAAGAAACAAGCACATTTGGAAGTTTGGTTGCTGTATCAGAGAGTTCTGGCTTTTTCATGGCTTCTTCTTTACTTTTAACCAAATCTGACTCTAATTTTGAGGTCTTTCTCTTTTCCTCCAGATCTTTGAAATACTGAAGTCGGCTTGCTGGATCATTCACGTTTAGGGAAGAAGTTGTTTGCTGAGATGTCGAAGGCTTGGTTGGCTGTGTAACTTTGTTGTCCTTTGGTTCAGGGTTGTCAGGTTTCTCCTTTTCTTTGATGGGCTCCTCTTTGGAGTCTCTGATCGTAGTCAGGTCTCCTGTTGATGCGTTTTTAACATCTTTTTCATCTGCTTTTTTATGCTTATTCCAATCAAATGGCTCTCTTGACAGTGATCTCCTCTTCTCGAGAATCTCTGCTACAATGGATGAGTATCGAATAGGCTCACTCTCATCTCTCTCCTCTTGTAACTCCCCACCAGACTTAGCTTGCGAGGAATTGTGTTGCTCCAGCTTTGAGGAGCTGAAGATTAAAGAAGAACGTAATCTTGAGCTCCTTTGCAACATTGGGTTAATTCGAGAGCGGAACGACTCGTGCTTGGTAATGCTGATTTCCCTTGGTTCCGCCTCCTTCTCATTGTCTGTTGAAGATGCTAGTGATGAAGTTGAAATAGCTGGCTTTAATGTATCAGTACTTGTGGGACCCAGGTCAGAGAGAATATCTTTTACCTGATTCCTATCTTGGATTATGGGTTTACCAAAGCGCGGTCGCAAGTCAAGGTTTGGCTTAGTTGGGATATTTGGTCGCTCTCTATTGGGAAAATTAAGGCCTGGCCCCTCTGAACCATAAAGTCTGCTGTCAGGTTGTTGATGTGGCTCATCAAAAGTATCAGGACCCATGGGCTGATGCAGGCCCTCCTCTCCTGTATCTTCACAAGTGCTGAGAAAAGAGTTTATTCTCCAGCTCCGCAATCCCTGCTTCACACTGGGATCCTGGGACTGGCGTACCTGCTCTCCAGAGGAGAACAACTGCTTCTGGTCTGGAGGATGAGGCTGAGTTGGCGAACTCTGACAGGCATATGAGTGGCCCGCAGCAGGCCTCTTGTGGCTATGTGGATCATAGCGTCCCCCTCCTGCGTAATATTGTTTTTCTGAATCACTTTTGAGGTCATCAGAGGATAAAACATTCATATTTCCTGGTGCTTCAAGTTCAGGGGGATATGCAGAATCAGACTGTTGATCTGTCTGGTACGTGCCATAGTTAAGGCGGTCATATGGCCCACGCTCAGAATCAGGTCCCATGCCCTCGCTCTGATAGTAATGTTGTTCTCGCTGGTAATGCGATTCCTTCTCCTCCAAGTTGTTCATTACACGCTGTTTCATGTACTGCCGGGAAGAGGCGTAGGTCTCGTGGGTTCCCTCTGCATAGCTATGCCTCTTAAAGGCGTTCATTTCCAGCTGCTGGGACGCCATCATTGAGCGTCCTTGATCCAAGAATGAATGTTGCATCCTGAACTGCTGTGTTGCATATTTTGTGACCTGCATAGCACCTGCACTTGGTTCAATCGTATGGCGGAACGGGTCATCCCTCCGAAAAGGTAGTAAAGACTCAAGACGATCCCCGTATGGGTAACCAGTAAGTTCAGGTTGGCGAGGATATCCTCTGGGATTTCTTAGTGACTGAGTCCTTTTAAAGCCAAACTGGCTGCCAAGGTAACTATCTTGTGGCATGGGAACAAGGGCATTTTCAACAACAAGAGGCTGAGACTGAGCAAACAAAATACGAAACTCCTCATCAAAAGTGGAAACTAGTTCTCCGAGGAACAAATGGGCGATGCAGCGGTGGATCTTCTCAAAAGACCACATAAAGCTGGAAAAAGAGAGAAAGAAACATTTAGAATGTCATACAATACAGAGAAGAATTCATATCTGCATTCAAATGTCACTGAGCTCACCTGTAATTTCCACTGATCACTGCTCTGCAGTCTGTCAGAAGAAAGCGGTCCATCACTTGACCTTTAAATGATTTCCCTGAGCGGCAGAAATAGGTAATCCCTGCAACTGTCCGTACCCGCATCATCTGTAACCAGTGAAGTCACCATTAAGCCTGTGTTTTATTAAAATTGTAATTAAAACTTAGGCTAGTTGAGATCAGCTAAACTTACATGGATCATATCCAGGTTAACTTTAAAGCTTGCCACCATGTTAACAAAATGATGGGCATTTTGTTCATCCAGCAAGATATAGACAGGCACATGACGTGCTGTAGCATCCAGAAGATCAGAAAATATATCAACATCTGTGAAAATATCCATCACCACTGCAATGACCTGTTAGAAAGAGAAAGAAAAAGAATAGCAATAAGGAATCCCCCTTGACAATTAAAACTAGTCAAGTTACAAGATACTAGCTTTTTTGCACTTTTACTAAAGTTTACTTACAATTCAAGTTTGTAAGAAAGAAAAAAATTAAAAAGCATAGCTTTTACCTAAAAAAACCAAATGATGATGTCTAAATCTGATTTAACATGACATGCAATTATGGCACAAAATTAATATGATTTACGTTTTCAAAAGGTACACTCAGTCATTTTTATGCTGCACTGACCAATCTCAATGTCAGCGATATCACGATCAGCACTGATCACACAAATGTCTTCATTTACTGAAGCCATTGCAAAAATGCCCTATTTGCAGCCTGACATGATCATTTTATTCTATGTGCAATAACCAACATAAAATGAGTATTATTTGGCTGGTCATAGTTTTCATTTCATATAAGTGTTCATCATTTTAAACATGTTTTTTTACTGAGGAAAATCCAGCCTGATGCTATTTATAAATTAGAAATCACTAACCTGATGAGCATTTTTGATGAGTCGCCGTGCCTGCTCCTTAATACCAGGCACTTCGGGGTCACCAGGGTTTACCAACATTGTGACCTCTGTGGGTCCCACAAAACAGTGTTGCTGCAGAGGCCAGCCAAGGTCTAGTCCCGGTGCATCCAAGTCAGAATGCAGTGGCCAGTATGTGTCAGAAGACCCATCCTCATCTATTTCTCGATATGGCAGTTCTGGTACATTTCCAGCACACTGTGGTGAATGTATAGTGCTTTTAATATGCTCAATCTCTGACCTTGATAAAAAATCCACTATATTAGCACTTTGTAAAAAGTTGTAGTAGCCCTCAGTGTCCTCCTCCACCAGGGCATCAATAGCCATGCGATACTCTTCCCGGTAACGCGGACGCAAATAATTGGGATCCAGGGGGTTGTCTCCCAATGAAGAACTCTGGGAGCGGTGGGCCATGGTGGAGCAGGGAAAACAACCTAAGAAACAACATTTTTCAATAAATAAGCACGTGGACTAATCGAATCAGAGCATCTGGAAACTATTCTATTTCTATTACACTATTTTATCCAATATAATTGCAGAAAATGTTCACAGTTTTAGCACAAACATGTTTGCTTTAAGCAACGTCTACCTACTACTAGGCAACATTAACAAATAGGAAATAACACTTTTATAATTTACTATATGCACTATGATACAACAGGATCCAGGAAGCACAAATTCTGCATGCCAACCATGCCAATATTATTTGTTGTTCAACTCAGTCAAAAGACTAGAAGTGTATTATGAAATATTTATGCAACCAAAAAAAAAAAGTGCATGCAGCATGCTAGTTAGAATCGACCTGCCGAAAAACTCTGCTGGACTCATTGTGTACATAAGAAATTCCTATCTGTTCTGGGGCCTTCAGACAATGTCCCCTAAGCAAGGTTAGGCCACAGTATGAACGTTTTTGAAGGTTGTGTGGCCACTTGTGTACATTTGTTTGTATTTTAGACATCACCATGGAAACGGTGTCAGCCTGTTGGCGAGTGACTCATTGTGGGCAAGAGGGGAAGCGAAAAGACATAAACAGAAAGGGAAAAACTGAAGACACATGTGACTGAATCAAAGAAGGGAGTGTTTTGCTGATGCTCTTGTGAAAGAGACTCGCTGCGTTAACTATGCAAGTTAGAATCAGACTTTGAGCAGGTCATAAATTAACCAAGACATGTTGTGGCTAATTCATAGCATGTCTATTATATGTTGTAAACTCCCATATGTGCAAGAGATTCATAAAAAATTGTTAACAGGAATGTTATGTGATGCCAAAAAGAAAAATGCATCTACTCATGACTTGCCTTGATTATCATCATATTCATAATAATTTATTTTTTCAGCTAATCTGAAACCTGTGCTGTCAGCATGTTTCCTCAAGAGAGTTGACACCCAGACCAGTAAATCATGTAGGAGTGGATTCATCCACACTGCTTCATTGTATTCTGAACTAAATTTAAACCTAATGACTGACTTCTAATAATAATTCAGATTGTATTGGTTTCGCAAATGGATGGCTAAATGTGAAAAAATACCTAAAAGATGTTATTAAATGACATTGAACCAGAGCAGAGAAACTTTATACCTGTGGGTCTACACTGCAAGTGCCAACAGTTAGACATGAGTCAGTTTTACTTTTAGAGATTATGCATGTCTGCACATACAGAATTCTCATATTTCAGTGAACTATCCCTTTAACAACAAGCAGTGAGACTGACAGTCATTATTTCAGTATAGCTTAGTTTTTGTAATTATTTTCAGCAAGCAAAAAGAGATTTTTGCATGGCCAAATAATTTTCATAATGAACCCTTGACTCTTTTATGAAGATTGTAATATTCGGCTCATAGTGAAATTCTGTTATATTTACAGCTGCAACAAATTGCATATGATATTCAAATGAAGAACACTTCAGAAATACTGAATGCGTATGTATAAACATCTTTATTTGGATGCTTAAAAGGACAGTTTAAGCTATTTCTTTGGTTATACTGACTAGACGCACAATATATCAGTACCATAGTTGGTTATTAGCTGACATTAGAGATCTTATTAAATGTATTGGTATCAGCCAATGTTGTATATTCAATTGTTATTTTTACATTTAGACCTTTGCCATTATCTAATTCTAACTTACAGTTAATCTTTATAAACACGAATAATTCAATAACACTGTTGCATGTAATCTTGAGCAAATCTCAAAGTGAATATCCCTTTTCATACTGTGCATTATAATGTTGTGATGCCTACATTATCTTGTATTTAGAAAAACTGATTTTTAGTGTTTTATTTGTACTTTTAGAAAAAGTAGAATAGAATTTCAGCCATTTGTCATTTGTTGGCCATAACATTAAAATAATTATTGTTTTATAGGTATCATCCCGAATCCTGACATGCTCTTCAAAAACACATTACAACATCCAGTTTTCTAAATTCCTGTCCAACACTAATGTGACATTGAATATTTCTTTTGATTTTCAATTGTATTCTTTTTTACATTTTACATGGCTACTTTAACTTTCGTCCATCAACAGGTTCTAGATATTTGTATCTCAGCCCATGGAAACATCCAATAATTATTATGATGTACCAACAGTAAGTTAGTTTCTGTTAGATTTAGTCTGCTGGTAATCAACTACTAACAACACCCTTTTAGAAATTTCCTACAGAGCTTCGTGTTTCAACAAGTGAAAAAATAAAATGTCATATCATCATAACTCAAGCTCAACCATGTGTATGACATTATGAAAGATGGCAATGATAGAAATGCACATGCCTGTTCATGGTGAGGTTTACCTGGGCCTCAACCACAAAAAGAATCAGTGCAAGTACAAAATACAGATTGATAATTTAATATTTCGAGTTGTGCAATGTTTTAAGACAATGTAAGGAGATGACATCCTGAACCAATCCCTAACCAAAGTCCTACTTGATAACAAAGGAACAATTTCTGTGCACCCACGACACAGAACCATTTCAAAGATCAATAGTAGACTTACTCTAATAACATACTAATATTTCGTAGTTTTAAGAACATTTAAATGATGAAATGATCATGTCCACGCACAGATGTCAAAGCTTCACTCCTCCATCACCCCCAAAATGACTGTCCAAACAAGTTATATAATAGGCTACTCGATTGTTTTAATGCTTACTTCAAAGTCTTTCAAATACTGGAATAGTTAACCATTTCGTATCTGTTTCAGATTAAAGTGCAAAGAACGTTTAAGAATAAAAACTTTTGAAGCAAGCTTGAAGATAGTTTCCATACAAAGTTTCTGCGCTGTCAACCCTCAACTGCTCTTCAACACTTTATGACTCTCTTCTGTTTCATAAACTTGAGACTTTCGCGCTCGTAACTTGAGACTTTCGAACTCGTCCTTACCTTTACGGTTGGAGTAACTTGCAGTCGCCGGTGAATATACTTTTTTTCCGTCCCTAAAAAGTCGGTTATTTTCTCCCCCAGTTCAGCGAACGCATCCGCGATACATTCCTGGTGTCGGTGGAAACCCCACCCTATGCTATTGAGCTTCAAGGCGAAAAGCAGCCCTGGCGAAACCTGTTCGCGCTCGGCCGAGTCCTGCCCGCTCGAACGTCTCAGCGCCGATAGGGTCGGTTCGTACATCGTAATGAACTGCTTAACCCTTTCAGTTGTGAAACTCCTCCCAACCATCGCCAGCGTCAGCGCTCACCTACACCCACAGCTACAAAAAAATGACAGGTTTTAACTGCAGGCTTTGTTTGAGTTTGTCAATTTGCATAACCGGCGAAACGTACAAAAAATTTGCCCCGTGGAGTTTCACAAACGCACTCCATATCCCAGCGCTCCCTTCTCTTTCTCCTCTTCCTCCTCTTCCTTCTCTTCCTCTTTCCACGGCGAGCAGACAGACAGATGGTGGATTGTTGCTCATGGGACAAAGCAAAGGCGCACCCAGGTCATGATCACACTGTTGAGAGAGAGTTGTGTATGTCTGCCATGCCATAGATGGTATACTATAGATAGAAGATTAATTATTCATTCATAATGAATGTTTTAAAGCTCCCTTTTTCCAACTAAGCTCCCATCAAAACAAGTTTCTGTGCACCTTAAACTAAAACAATATTAAAAAGCTTATTAACAGTTATTCAGGTATTTTTCCTAACAACAAAGATCTTCTTTTTCAATAAATGTAAATATGATTATAAATATTGACTATTTATTCTTTCCATTTGTAGATTTTATAGTGGATATTAGGCTGTATTTTAGTGCTGTCAAAGCATCTAACATAAAAGATTGTGTTTAAAATATAGCCTGTGTGTGTGTATACAGTATGTATATATATATGTGTGTGTGTGTGTGTGTGTGTGTCTCTCTCTCTCTCTGTGTGTGTGTGTGTGTGTGTGTGTGTGTATATCATACACATATATTATATAAACACAAACTTTTATGTTAGATGCGATTAATTGATTTGACAGCACTACTATATTTTATCAAGGCTTTGCCTGAACCATTTTTACATAACTTTATTTAAAATGAATTTCATAAATATACAGTTTTTTATTTACTATTTTATCTTAAATTGATTAAAGTGATTCTCTTTTTTTATGTTTTAGACAGAAGACTCTTCTGCTTGCCATTTATTTGATCAAAAATACAGTGAAATATTATTACAATTTAAAATAGCTGTTTTTTTGCAGTGTAAGTCGCTGATCTGTCACACTGAAAGATTTCCTGAAAACATTATTAGTAGATCTACACAACCTTTCAAAAGTGATTATCTTTTTAACAAAGTGTTTAATAAGCATTTACACCATTATATATATAGGAATGGAATCCCCCCTTTGGAATGACCTATGCATATCAATTATTATGGTATAATTATATTTCAATATAAATAGACTTCAGGTTAATATATTTAATTAACAAATGAATTTTTAAGTGAGAACAAAGTACAATTTGATCTGTAGTATCAAGATATCTTAGAAGCAATACATTACAACTTTATGAGGCCGTAATGATTGCTTTATTGCAATTTGTTTGCATGAGTAAGTGTGTAATTGACATGCATGGAAGTGCACATGTGCAGGGGTGGAGAGAGCCGGAGGATTTTGCTCCACCTTGAAAAGGAAAAGCCTAAAACATCCTCATTCTGCCAGACTTTCACCCCTGTATGGGGAAGTTTTGTTCAAATTCTTTGAAGATTTTGCTGTGAGAACAGTTTCATGTTCTCTTCCTCTGGTTTATAATTGTGTGATTGATTCTGAAAGTTTATAATCTTGTCAGTGTGTGTCTGTATTTGGTTTACCTTAGCAACCACTCAGGTAAGGGAGGGTGTGAGAAAGGGTGCGGCCCGCTGAGGAATGTGCCAGCGCAACCGAGACATTTACCACGCCTAGGACGCGCTCATTCCTCACACACACACACACACACACACCACCATACTTACCTTTTCTGCTGTGTACATAACCTTGCACACATTCACTTGAGGTCACACAAATCACATAACAAAAAAATCATTACTTGTACCATATGCAAATACTCCCCCAACATTCTCATACTTGTTCAGTCATATCAAAACATTCAGTTTTCCAGTAGGCTACAATACATACTGCCTGTGATATGTGTGATGTGTTTCTCAGCAGTGTAGGCCTACATTTAGGCCTATAAACAAGCCGGAGGGCCTTTTACTATAAAGACCAACAAAATTCTACCTCCCAGCTAAAGGATTTTATTGAGAGTAGCCAATCTAGAATATGTCGAAAGACAGTTTGAGATCATTTTTCTGCAAACTCTATCTTGTTTCATAACCTAAACAAGTTTTAGCATGATCTGCATCCATCCATCCGCCGAAGAGTGATCTTTAAAACTGTGCTGTGTTCTTTGAAACAGGGTGTCCTTTAGCTGTCTGGCAGAGTCCCACCCACAGTTCCCCTCTCCTGCTGTAATATCACACCTGCAGATCATGTGACACGGCAGCACTTAAACACACACAGATGCACATAAACAAACTTTCATTATTCAATGTAGTGCAACGATTAATCGCATCCAAAATAAAAGTTTTGTGTTTACATAATAAATGTGTGGGTACTGTGTAAAATTATTTTGTATTTATAAATACACACACATGCATTATATATATATATTTATATTATATATACATATTTGATATATAAATAACACATTTGATATTTTATTAAATATTTACATGCATGTGTGTGTATTTATTTATACAAAATAATTTTACACAGTACCCACACATTTATTATGTAAACACAAAACTTTTATTTTGGATGCCATTAATCATTGCACTAGTAGTTATGCATAGTTTACATTTTCTACTCACACCATTTAATTTTTTGGTACACAAATTGTCCCTTGCGCGTATCTCAGTACAGCCAAGTGAATATTCACTGTGTCCATTCACGTGTTATGTATTCGTTTTGTCATGTTTTTAATTATTGTGTGTGTGTGCTGGCACATTGCTGTTACATTACTGATAAGTGCAGGTGGTTTGTAATGTAAGGCTGAAACCTGAAAAGTAGCATGTTTTCACATTAAATGTCAAACCCCTGAAGCTATGAGCCAATAGCAGTTTAATGCCTCATCTTCTCCTGTAATCATGTACACCTCGGGCTGTGTCGCGTTGAATTGTATTTTATTACCTCACGCTCCGGTCCATGTTCATCACACAATCCAAGCACAAAGAAAAACAATTCAGCCAAACCAGTCTCCTATCTTGATATGATATCTCCGAAATGTTAGACATCAAATTCAAGAGCATTAATGATTATGACCGGACACTTTTTTATTATGCATGTTTAAGTGTGGGATAATTTTATATATAAGTCTGAAAGTTTTTCATGTACGGTGTCTCATGTGATCTGATCTCTATCAACCAAATGCTTTAAATACCATTAGGTTGTAGAAGCAGTAAAGTTATCTGAGTGACTTAAGAATTCGTGTCAGTCATTTAGCCATCATTGCTGTCATGTTTTCAAGAGAAGCCGGTTCCAGCACACTTATTTCAGCTTTACTGGACTCTTTTTGCCATTGAGATGACAGAGAAAGTGTGCCTGAATTCACCCCTAAAGAAAGACGTTGCAGATACCACACAAATAGTGACTACAATGTTTTACTATTAGTCAACTGTATAGTTATAGGACTAGTTTCAACAGACAAATAGGAAAAAAGTTACACATAAATGTGATTTGAACTGATCTAGCTCTGATTGAGTTTTGCAATTGAATTTATTTTTAGTTTCTATAGTCATGATCAAACAGAAGAATGACCCATCCACATTCACAGATATATCATAAAACAAAATGCTAATGTATTCTACATAAACCGACCGTCATCATTCATCACATTAACATCCTCACACAAACGCCATACATGGTATACTGACTTTTCATTATTTTGTATCTTTACATTTTTTTATTAGAGCAAAATGTCTGAACTAAGTTAAACAAAATATATGTAGTTTTTACACACCTATTTTTTCATGTAATTTAAACATTATTATTATTATTATTATTATTATCAATCAACAGCATTTGAGATTGAGTTTTGGTGATTGATTTCTCCGAATTTTTATTTTCAATGCATTTCATTTCATTCTGTCTAAAATATGTTTGTGACTGACAAATTTTGTGGAAAAATATTAGAATGTTTGATAAAAATTAGCTGGTCTTTAATAACATTCTCAAAATGTTAGCAAAGCATTATGTTAGGGGGTAACAGTTTAGGACCCAAGGACCGAATTATAATAAAATGAAAAAAAGTTTTACTGAAGATAGTTTGCAGTTTCATCAGCAGAAGTTCAGCTTCAAGACTCACACGGGAGTTCGTAGGCCGCCCGGTCTAAGCTACAGTACGTCCTTGCTTCAGGTTGCAGTTTCTGATTGGCTAAGAAACATATAAACATATAATTTTCCACCCATATACAGATAGACGGAAGCATATTTCCATGGATTATGCAGCTGACACTCGGACCCTGAAGTTAGGCACGTCGTGACCTCCCAGGTCGCAGATTTGGGTTGCTGGGCGCCAGCCTGTCCCGAACAACAACTCAGTCAATCTTGAATAATGCATTGCCAGTGGTTCCTTAACCTGTAACCTAAAGGACTAACACACACACACACCGACACACAGGTTTTCCAAGGTTGGATTTGGTCAGGCTCTCACTGTAAACAGGAGAGTCGTCTCAAAACATCAAGATAATGCGTTCTTTCTCTCAAGGAGAGATACACTTTAGTCTAACTGAAGTGAGGCTTTAACAAAGAAATGGTCCCTTAAACTATTGACTTCAATGACCCCTATATGTTTTAACACGTTGAAGACCTTTCTTAAACACAAAACAAGTCGAGATATCAAATATAGACATTAAAGAATTCATGAAAAGAACATTTCAGTAATCACACTGGTAACTTCTATAACAAAAAGTAAAATCTCCAGAGAAGTCATTCAACTCATTTGATATTTAAGGAAACATATTGATTAATACCTTGATTATAATCACTCATGACACATACATTGAAGCAGCAGTGCATTCCAGAATCCACCCCTTCAGTTATTTATACATCGTTCATGGAAATCGTTCATTTATTATGAATCATTTTAGTTGGACGTTTAATGTTTTTCAAGCATTACTTGTTTCAAAACGTTCAGAGAACATTCGAAAGTAACATTCTCATAATCGTTTGCACTAAAATTCTAAAATGGAATGTTAATGTTTTCACTAACGTTCGCATAAACAAGTTTTTTTGTCTTTTCTTTTTTTCTTAGAACATATTTTTGGTAGCTGGGAATGACTGCTTATTAAAGGTGTTGTAAATGATTTTTAAATAATCCATAAAATGACAGATTTCACTAAAATCCCACCCGTCTCTGTAACAGCCCTATAGGCTCTGTAAACCAAGCTCTATTATACCTTGAGAAAATATCCGATAGCATTCCCATTCATCAGTGGCAGTTATTCGGCTGAACCATGATGTCCTGAAAGTACTGGATTTGTATCTTGCTCATTGGCCTCAGTTTCAGATAGATTTCTGAATCTGAGTAAATTATAACAGAATTGTCTTTTTGAGGTAAACAATTATGTACCAATATGTCATCAGGAAAACCTGCTTTCCCAAAGGCATTGTTGCAGTGAGGAGTGAGCCTCACTGCTCAAACACAATACTCAGACCCGCCACAGGACATGCTCTTAATCTCCGGCTCCATTCGCAGTCATATGGAAATATCCTGCCACGGTTTAACATGGCCTTTCACACACAAGCTGGATGGCCAATGCAAAGTATGCATATATCTACACAAGAAGCAAGTGTATTCCCTCCCTTGCTGATCTCAGGTCATCGTGCGGTGCCACAAGTGACATGGAAATTTAAGATGCAAGTGGTAAAACTGATCAATGCACTGGAGAAACCTGTACTGTTGAATACACAGATGGCTTGTTACTGATATTGATAGCTGTGTGTTTGTTTGAAAGACAGACCTGGTGTGACCTCTGACCTTGATGATGCTGTATCAGTTCTTCAAAGCGTCAAAGGGCTGTAAATCCTCAGAAGAGAGCAAACAGTCTTCTGGTCATGACATCATTGATAACATCTACCCACCCCGACTCATTCATGACTAAAGCCCCAGATGTTTCCCCAGGACATGCAGCATTCTGTCAACTTCCTGGCTATACACTTCCAGGATATGTCTGATAGAGCTTGAAAGAACTATAGGCCTATGGAAAACACAAAACTATATAACACAAATAAAATATGTGAATTATGTATGATATCTGCTGTTTTTCAAAAGCCACCTTTTGCCTAGATTACAGCTCTGCACGCACGCTCTTGGCATTCTCCGATTCATGAGGGCCCTGCTTTTTTCTCTGGCTCATTGCTAGGAAAAAAACATAATAATATTAATTTTTGTTTGTGTATAGCATTTTTATGTCATACGTATAACATTTATATTTCCCTACATAGCTAATTTTCCCCACACCAGTCCAAATTTTTTAATAGTAGCCTACTGTAGGTCTACATGTGCGTGGGCTTGCATTCCCCGCCTTATAGCCTATTTACATTAAATAGGGACAGATGGAGGCAAACCGGAGACAGTCAGTTTTTAATGTGAGACTGGTCGTCAGAGAGAGAGAGAGAGAGAGAGAGAGAGCTAAAGGCCAGCAAGTAAGATAAACAGCGCTCTCTGGTGTGGTGAAATAATATCTGGGGAAAAAAGAGTCCAGAAACCAGCGCTAACACACATGAAAAAAACAAAACAAACGAAAACAATAAAATGCTTTTAAAAGGGATTCAGTTTTCAGATGTCAGAAAATATTGTTTTATATACGTTTTAACCCTAGCTATAACATATACAGATATAAATCTGATATTATATATCATATATATAATAGGTTTTATATATTGGAGCGAGAAATTAAAAACGGAAGTGACGTTTCGGGTAATGTTTTCGGCCATGTTTGTGAGTGGCATATTCGTTGCGTTATAATTTCCTAAATGAATTGTATTTTTAAAACTCTATTGATGATTTTATATATTGATAACTTGCACTGAAGGTCTGTTTTGTGATCGAATTCCAACGTTTTAAAACGACGACTCGGTGTGCGGGGCGGAAATGCGACGGTTCGCCGTGAGCGCGCGTCTGTTTCCGTCCGTGTGAGTGTGAGAGATTACTGACCCAGATCGAGATGAAAACAGGTCCTGCTGTAAGGCTATAATGTCATTTTGCGCCACAGTAATCTGACTTGACATTGAGCAGGTGAGTGACATATTTTGACACTGTTTGTCACAATATATCGATAAACACAGAGTCGCGTGATGATGTTGGCTCGTTCGTGAGTTAGTGGTAACTAACACTAAACAGCTGTTAGCAACCTGTCCACTGGTAATAACCAAAAACTGCATTATACGCGCGAGCTTCAACCAGTCATGCATAAAAAGAAGCAAAATACATAATTTCGACTAAACGTGACGTTTTTGGGGGTTAACCTATACATTTAATATGCATCAGTGCGCAATGTGAGCGTGTCCAACTTGTAAATAGTGTATTAAAAACGCATTAAGATTCTGAACTGACATCCATTTTAAATATAATGAAAACAGTGAAGATGATTAGTGCCATACAGTAAAATATTAATTTGATTATTTTAACATGTTGTCATCGACATTTCTTAATTATCCGGTCACTCAGTTAAATGACATTGCAAACTCAGCATGCGCTCATACGGTAAATAAAACCTGCATGAATTACCCTAATGAATCCGTTTACTTGTAATTGTATTTGTGTTGGCGCATAGAAGGCCTGTAATGACAGCTTGCCAGCCCGGATCTTAACACGTCTTGTACACACACCTGTCTCTGTCTCAAACGCGACGCGACGCGATACTGTCACACCATCGCGTTTGCGGCGCGTCTGACAGACTTGTCTGTCCATCATAACATCAAAAGATTTAAAACCAGTGTGCTTTAGAAACTCTCTTTGAACTATTTTGATATACATGAAGTGGGTTTAAAGGAAGTCATCCATAAATGCGAATTCTGCCGTCATTAATTCGCCTGTATGTTGCTAAAACCGCGAAGGACAGTCTTTCTTCTGTGGAAAAACTGCTTCTGTCACCTTTCACTTTCATTGTATGTAGAATTATGTATTTAAAACGAACGATGATTGAAACTGCCATTCTGCCAAACCATCTCCTTTTTTGTTCCACAGAAGATTGAAAGTGTACAGGTTGGAAACAATATGCGGGTGATTAAATGACTTAGGGAATAGTTTGTGTGTGTGTGTGTGTGTGTGTGTGTGTGAGAACTATCTCTGTTCATTCCTTCACACCCTGATAAAACCAGCCATTGTTTGTTTGACATTTTAAGAAGTATGTTACTGTTTGTGAAGTAATGTAACCAAACGTCTTTGAGATTTGAGCTTTTGTTTTTATTTTTCAGTCAAGTGACATATTTTCTCCAAAAATAGTTTATTTCAGTTTCTTACTTCCTCATAAGTTGTGACATCTGCATAAGCCTGGCTTTAGATTGTTAAATTAAATATTAATTTTAAATATGTTTGAGAATATATTTAATAATTTATATTGTTTTATTTGTATTATATATACTTGTATGTATAATAATATGTAATATTATATATTCATTATTTTTATTCTATTTATTTTAAATTACTTTTTAGTGCTGTCAAATTGATTAATCGCATCTAACAAAAGTTTGTAAATATATTAGTGGTGTCAAATCGATTATTTCACATCTAACATACAAGTTTTATGAATATATATATATATATATATATTAGTCCTGTCAAATAGATTAATTGCGATTAATCGCATCTAACATAAAAGTGTTTATATAATATGTGTATATATAAACATATATATATGTATGTGTGTGTGCATGCGTGGCTGTGTTTCTATGTATACACACATATATTTATACACATATATGTAACGTACTGTGCATATATTATATAAACACAAACTTTTATTAATTGTGATTAATCGATCTGACAGCATTTTTTTTTATGTGGCATCACCAAATTGTCATATTTTTGATATTGCAGTATTGTCTGAGTTGTCAGTAAATCAAAATAATAATGGAAAAGTATTAATTAGATTAGGACACATTGATACATAAAAGTTTGTTGCTTTTATCAACACTGAGCTAAGATTTTTGCCCTAAATCTCTCGCCCCGTTTGTTTAATATGAATTGTCCAACAGAATTGGCAGCGCTGTGGTGCCATGCGGCTGTGGCTTCAGGAGGTGTTTGTGTGGACGACTCTTCCCCTGTCTGCTCACATCTCACATCATTTACCTCCCTGTAGCGCTGGGGTTTCTGGATCATTTTTGGGGAAAGGTTTGACAAACATTCTCTGCTATTGCAAGCAACTACAACACAAACTAATGTCTGTTGTAGTCTTGGCTTTTGTTTAATGTACGTAAGATGAATTCGCTGTACGAGTTTGATATCTTTTTTTTTCTTTCCAAGGTCTGTGCTCTTAGTTAGAAGATGCTCAATGCGGAGCTGAGGATGCGCAGATGGAAATGGCCCGTCCAGTTTACCTCACTGTACCTGAGCTGTCTGTATTTCTTCTGTTCAGTCTCTGGTAAGCAAGTCCCGTAGTCATTTCTGTGATCTCTGTATGAAATAACTCCAAATCAGTGGCATAAGAAGAATGATCTAAAGAACTGCATGATAATTAAGGGGGTGTTCACACTTATAGTTCGGTTCTCTTAGTTCTTTTGGTCTGGACCCCAAAAAAATTATACATTTAAAGGGTTAGTTCACCCAAAAATGAAAATTCTGTCAGTAATTTCTCTCCCTCATGTTGTTCCAACCCCGTAAGACTTTTGTTCATCTTCGCAACACAAATTAAGATATTTTTTATTAAATCTGAGAGCTGGCTCACTCCTCCATAGGCTTCTATTGTAATTGAAACCTGCCGGCCCAGAAAGATAGTAAAAATAGTCTGAGTGACTAAAGTGGCTCAACCTTAAGTTTATTAAGCGACGAGAATACTTTTTGTGCGCAATAAAAACAAAAATAACTTTATTCAACTATTCATCCTCTGAGTGAGTTCACGTAGTGCAACAGCGCAGCGCTTCGTCAGAACGTAGGCTCACTATTGGCCGACGCTGGTCATGAGTGTGATGCTGGCCAATAGTGAGCCTACGTTCTGATGAAGCGTTTTCATTTTTGCGTGAACTAACCCTTTAAAGGGGTCATATAATGGTACATGCACTTTCACAAGTTGATTGTACTGAAATGTGTGTTGGCAGTGCCTGTACACAAGGATCATATAATGATAAAAATCCATCCAGTGTTTTTGTTTTAATCTCCTTATATGTTTTCCCCTGCCTCAAATCGAGCCGTTCGACCTTGTGACGTCACACGCTCGGAAGCCCCTCCCACGATTGTTGATTGACAGGCGCGTTTCAACACAGACCCGCCCTCGCTCATGAGGGAGCTGTCAATCATACTCCGTGCGGACCGGCGCGGTCATTGTTGATATGCTGGAGCACTGTCTATGAGCAGAATGGCGTCTAAGCGATTGTGGTGTTCTGTTCTTGGGTGTAATAACGAACACAGCAGTCATTTTAATGTTCCTAAATCCGAACCGCTGAAGACGCAGTGGCTGTGTTTGTTTTCGAAGGGAATATTCCCCACGAGCAACGTCAATGCTTTCATGTTTGCGCGAATCATTTCTCAGCAGACTGCTTTATAAACGAGGGTCAGTATAAAGCTGGTTTTGCTAAGAAGCTGCTCCTGAATAAAGGATCGGTACCAGCTATTCGTGTTACTGCTGAACCTCTAGAACAACTGAAGTGAGTGTAACGTTTTATTAAACTTTATATTAATATATTAATCTTTGCAAATCGCTTCACGATGAATGCGTCTAAGGTTTACACTCAGGGTACATTACTGCATGTTTTCTATGTACGACGTTCTCCATATAATTCATAATCCCACGTTTATAATGAACAATGCGTTATGGTTATTGTGTTACAAACGTGTATGCGCAGAACAGAGGGGCGGGGTGAGCAAAGCTCATTATCATTTAAAGTCATATGCACTGAAACGGCGTGCTGAAAACAGAGCTGTTTTTGACCAGGTAAAATAACTCTTTTCTTACAATACTAATGAGAATTTGTAATTAAAGTATATTACAAACTTTTAATTTAGACCCTATAGAATCATATTAGCTTGTACAAAAATGGCATTATATGACCCCTTTAAAGGCACACTATGCAAGAATGGTACCTTAATATAACAGCTTCAAAGTCATTTCGGTGGTAAACAAACACATAGTAGTGCGAATCATCCTGGTAGTAAAGCTTGGGGGGGACGCCGCTGGAAAAACCAGCAATGCAAGTTTGAGAGGAGCGCCCCCGACAAATCTGGCAAGAATCACGACATGCTTTACGGCAACGACATCACACACATCAACCACAACATGAAGCACAAAGACACTTGCGCGCATTTCAGACGTGATACTCGACGATGGAAAAAGCAAAGAAAACGCAGTCGGAAGAGACTAGGAAAAGGAAAAGAGAATGAGCCTCTCAACCCGTAAATAAATGCATCGATCCGCAAGTTTTGTTTGAGTCCTTTAATGGTCTAGTGGTAGATCTTTTGCCAAGCGTGTCAGAGGTTACAGGTTCTAAGTTTTTTCTCTCTCATCAAAACTGAATATGTTCATCAGTGGTTACAGTCTATATCAAGCAGGGACACGTTTTTGTGCATTTTATTTTGAAATTTCACCGGAATGAATAGAGAGTCTCCGCAACTGTGATAGATTGAAGAGCGCGTCAGAGTGAAGACTGTGCGCGCGCCGCCACAAGAGACACTATGTATCCATGACACTGATAGCAGCGGACACGAGCGCTCAGCTTGAGTTCAAAAACACATTTTAGTGCTAGATCTCTTATTTAATGCAAAAAATGCACACCATGCAGTAGGGGTGACCCCGAATAGTCGAAGATTCGATGCTTCGATAGGAGGAGCCTGATTCGACTACCAATCTCACGGTCGAATCTTCGCAGATGTGTTATTAAACGAGGATTATGTCATTTTGGCTATATGAGTGTGCTCAATGTCTGATTTCACATAGAACTACTGGTTTTCTGTCAATATGTTAATATACAGCCTATTATGATAATGCTGTCGATAAAAATGTGCAAAGAAAGAAGCTTTTAATAAATATTTTAACGTGCGCGCAGGGTGAATAAATCCAAACACCCCGTGACAGATTTAAGTTTCACTTTCGATATCCGTGACCGACAGAGGAGCGTCTTGTCGGCAGGGATTTAAATCTTTAAAAATGTCTGGGATAAGACAATCTAAAGATGCACACCATCAGAAAGGATACACTCCAAGGCTGGATTTAGCATCAGGAAAGCACTTCTGCCGGCCAACGTTAACAGGTTGGTTTTCCTCGGGACGTTCTAAAACGCTTAACGTGAAAAAAAGCTTTTAAAACGCTTAAATGGCACTTGTAGGTGCTTAATGTATGTACACAGTAGGCTACACACCTTAAGAAACCATTCTATGTGCAGATAAGCAGATGAACCCAGAATATGAACGCAACGCGTTTCTCCTATTGAAAGTCACGTAAAGCTTTTTCTTTAACGGTTTTCTATGGGAGGAAAATGCTTAACGTAGCCTAAGTTATAATAAAACGCGTTGCGTTCATATTCTGGGCTCATCTGCTTTTCTGTAAGCTATATAGTATGCTTTATTAATATAAGGTGTGTACAGAATTTGATCTTTTAATATAACAGTTTTAGGACAAAGCCGTTAAGCGTTTTTCACGTTAAGCGTTTTAGAATGTATATTTTATCCGCGCACACAATTTGAAAAGACTCAAAAGGACACAGGCCGATTGAAAGACTGGATTTCGTTTTTTCGATCAGGTATGGATAAGTGATTTCAAAACATTTCAGCCGGTTCTAATTAGATTTTTGGATACTGTGAACACGTTATAGCTAAAAAGACTGCCGCTCCAGTTTAGCGTTTATTGTTGTTTCTGCAGTTAAAAAGACAAAGTTGACAATCCTGGCCATACTTTCGTTATTTTAATAATTTCTTTATTTTTATTTTATTAATTGATCACTCAGGGTGATCTAATTTAACTATTTGTGAATTGTGACTTGTGTTTTGAATATTTGTTCCCCTGCACTTTAGGCATTTTGCACACATTTGTTCTGCTTCTTGTGATTTGATTCTGACTTATTTCGTTTTGTATTTTTATTTATTATAAAAGTATATTATGTTCTTAATTGTTGATTATTTTTCAGTGCATCGATGCGCTGTAGGCCTACATAGAGCATGCTCGTACAGGCAATTCAGCCGATTTAATTTGATTTGCATGTGAAATGCAAATCCTATCTGCAGTGTGGCCTTTCTGCAGTTATTTATGTTATTTCTTAGTTTTATTGATCCAAAATGTTTTTATACATTTTCTTCTATATCTTTGTGTGATGTTCTGTACATCGCGGCTTTAAAATGTTAAAGCCCCGCCCCCTCCCCAACACCACACACATGATTCGACTATTAGTCGACTATAGGCAGGACCTGACGAATCTGATTCGACTATGAAAATCCTTAGTCGGGGACACCCCTACCATGCAGGTTTTGTACCTTAAAGGGATACTCCACTTTTATTTGGAAATAGGCTCATTTTACAACTCCCCCAGAGTTAAACTGTTGAGTTTTACCGTTTTTGAATCCATTCAGCCGATCTCCGGTTCTGGCGGTACCACTTTTAGCATAGCTTAGCATACATCATTGAAGTGGACAAGACCATTAGCATTTCTAAAAACAAAATGACCAAAGAGTTTCGATATTTTTCCTACTTAAAACTTGACTCTTCTGTAGTTACATCGTGCACTAAGACCGACGGAAAATGTAAAGTTGCGATTTTCTAGGCTGATATGGCTAGGAACTATACTCTCATTCCTGCGTAATAATCAAGAAACTTCACTGCCGTACCATGAGTGCAGCAGGCGTAATGATATGACGCAGCGCCTGAAAATAGTTCCGTTGTGTTGACGGAAGGTGGCCTATTTTCAGTCAGCAGCATTATTTGACTAGTTGGATGTTAGAACATTGTTGGCCTGTAGCATGTATATGTTTGTGACTTGTTGCGGTGATGAGTGATGGCACTGATTAGGAGGATTACAAAGTGGGAAGCATAATGGACACACTGTGTTCGTTTTCACAAAGGGGGGAAATCGCACAACAGGCCTATAGTCCCCCACCCCGAAGAAAAACCACACGGGTGGGGCTTCCAACTGTGTCCTGCAGTTTAAGTTTCACTGCCACCCCATAATTAACGACCCTCTGTTGTCATGGTAACAGTCTTCAGAGACAAAACCGTGTCTATGAAGGGATTGGGGAAGGGGGTGGATGTCTAACTGGACTCTGACTTCCTGGAACTTGTCAGTGCAGCCGACAAGTGTAATGTGTTAGTGACCTGTATGATAAACAGCCTTGTTTTGCAGTGGACAGGCATTATTTCCCATCCAATCAGGGCTAGATGTGAGTCTGCATGCATGGACTGTCAGTAGCCTATTGTTCTAAGCTCTGCAGTTGAGCTTAATTGAGAGACCTGGTGTTTTCTGTATTTAATAACCAATTGCATTGCATATGTTTTTTTTTTTGTATATTATTTAATAACCAATTGCATTGCATATGAATTTTTTGTATATTACTTCTGATATATCTGCCAATATTAGCATATATTTAATTGTTCATGCTGATTATTTGTTATTGTATAATATATTATTATTTTTTAGATTTAAATTACCTTTGCTGATATCTTGTGCTCACTTAAAATGATAAAATAATAGTTTTCATTTATTTTTTATTCCATTTAATTTAATACAAATTCAAATGTATTATTTAATTTAATATTTATTAATGAAAATAATTTAATAACACCTTTAAATGTATAGCAAATCCAAATATTTTTTTCCATACTGTACATTATAATGTTGTGGTGACTAAAGTCACTTTTGGTATTTAAATGATGAATTTAATTAAATTAAATAATTTGTTTATTTGCTTGTTTGTTGATAGTTTATTTAGACAAAATCGTATAGAATTTTACTATCAGACTGGTTATTAGACAATATTAGAGGTTTTTTTTATACATATCCTAAATTGGATATTTGATGACACATGGTAATTTAATTTAGTTTAATGAGAAATATATAATTTATTTATTTAGTCTGTGCATTATAATTTTGTGGTAACTAAAATCACTTGTGACATTTAAAGCCATGGATTTTATATATATATATATATATATATATATATATATATGTATATGTATATATATATATATTTTTTTTTAGACAAATTTAGCCATTTATCGCTTATCTGCCCTAACATAAAAGTATTTATCAGATTATTGGTATCCTGATATTTCTTTTTTTGATATCCCAGTGCAAACAGTCCAAAACATTGACACCTTTATTGTCATAGCTTTGCCATATTCAGTAATCTTTTCTCCCTCATAGCTCTATTTTCTCCTTGTCAACCTTTATTTTTGCCTCGTTTGTCCCTCTCCCAGGGGTTTCGGGCAGCATGTGCACAGTAACGGGTGGTGTCCTGGGTATCCACTGGAGCAGCGTCATCGGTCTGGGCTGGCAGCCACTGGCAGTGGACCATTTAGGGGCTCGATGCTGGGAATCCTGCTGTATGAAGCCCTCCTGCGGTGCCGTGTGGAGCCTCGGTGGACGCTGTGTGTTGCTGACCTGCACTCGAACGAAGGGCTGCGGCATTAGGTCTCTTCCTCAGCCGTATGTAGAATCTCTGGGGCTTCTTCAGCATCTGAACACAGGCATGCGCAGTAAGAGGGACGTTTTCAACGCTGAGGATGTCAGAGTAATCCGGGAGACGGAGCGTGTAAGCCATATTATATGATCTCGAACGCGTTCAGTAGTGGGTCTCATTCACTAATAAGTGCATATAGGTGTTCTTACTAATAGATGTGTTAAAAATATCCACCGGCAGGGTGCGTATGCTTATGGTTACCCTCGTTCTAATGTTGATGAATCTGGATTATTCTACATGAGCTAGTGAATGAGACCCACTATCCTAAAGAATAAAATATTGCACTAACTGTTGATTTGCAACATATACTGTATAAATTGTCTGATTAATGGATATTTAATTGTGCATGCTCATTTCCCATATTTAATGGCAAATCTCAAAATGAATATGACTTTTATTTTATACTGTATATGGTGACTTGTTGCATTTACAATTTCGGATTTTATTTATTTATTTTTAATTTATTTAGACAAAATTATTTAGACAAAATTTAGACAAAAATATATTTTTTTTATTCTATTTATATTGTATTTGTTACATTTAATTGTGCATGCTCATTTCCCCTTTTTTTACATTTAGATCACTGTACATTATGTTGTGGTGACTAGTGGAATTTTCAAATAGGATTTTATTTATTTATAATTTATTTATAATTGTAATATCACTGTCCTGAAGCATAAAAACTTGCACTTCAACTCTTTATTTGGAGCATATATGCATTTCATTTTATATAATTTCCCATATTTTAGACATATAGATTACCTTTGCCATCATCTAATGTTTATTTTTAAGTTTTATTTAATAAGTCTGTTAAATGTAATATAAAGTCTCAAAATGCTTAATACTGTACATTATAATGTTGTGTTTATTTGGACAAATTTGTAATTAAATTTTAATACCACTGTCCTAAAGCATAAAAGTTTGCACTTTTACTCTTGATTTGCAGCTTATCTCTGTGAACTAACTGATATTTTCTCCCTCACAGGACATGTCTGTTAAACCCACAGTGCCATTGACCACATCCCATGATGCAGCGCTTCCACACACACCCGGTGAGATCTCCATCCAGTCCACCAGTGGCAGTGGCGAACATGAAGCCGTCTCAGTAACTGAGCATAATTCAACACTGGATGCAGACACTGGAGATCATTCAGCGTTAAACAACAGTAATCAGTCTCCACAGTCCACGTCTGACACACATTCAGTGACTCCAACAACAACACCAGCTGGTACGACATACTCTATAGTTATGTGTTGTGTTGTACTGTACGTATTTATTGCCTTTCATGTGAGGTTTTCAAAGTGAATGAAAATCAAGGTCTACAAAGCAGACTTATCTGTGACGTATTGTACCAATTGTTTCAGTGCGGGAGCTGGTCGTGTCTGCTGGTAAAAATGTGGAGGTCACTTTACCCCGCAGTGAGGTGGAACTGAATGCTTTTGTAGTGCCAGAGCCGCCTTCAGGTACTGCTCTAAATACGCCATTGCAGTTGGCTTCTCCTTTATCTTTGTTATAATTTCTCTGTTAATTCCTTTGTTTAGGGGCTAACTATGACTGGCGTTTGAGGACACATCCAAAAGACTATAGTGGAGAAATGGAGGGTAAACACAGCAAGACGCTTAAGCTCAGTAAGGTAAATAAAAGTGTTCATTGTCTACAGGAGCTCTTCAGGAGCAGGATTGGACACCCCTGGCCTAAACGTTATATATATATATATATATATATATATATATATATATATATATAAAATAAAATCAAACCTTTTAGACCTAGGTTGTCCAATCCTGCTCCTGGAGAGCTAGTGTCCTGGGTAGGGTTGCACCAGCCGTTCGTAACTTCTTTCTTAAATTGCAACGTAAAGTCCACACTAGAGGCTTAGTAACTACTAGCTAGTTTGTAACTAACTCACCCCAGGGGCCGGTTGCACCAGCTGTGCGTAAGTTACAACTTAGCCTAGTTTTGACGTAAATGGGCACTAAGTTACAACTTACGCACTACTAAATATTTTTCCGTTGCAACATTAAACTTAGTTTAAACGTAACTCTACGTTCCAACTAAATATTTACGGCAGCTCCGATCAGGAGTAACGGTTGGAATAAAATATCAGACAGACTGAACTTCATCAATAAGCTCTTCTTTTACCTGACAGACTTCAATTCCTTAGACAAATATGATAATGCTGACATTTACACTCGCTTACATTTTAAGAGAGAGAACATTATGTGAAAAGATTACTTTGTTAGCAGCTCTTTAACACGAACCCGTCCTAAACATAGACTGTAAAAAATAGGTCCTAAACAGCGCCGCTGTGTGCATCGGTCCATGTTGTGCATGTCAAATATCAGTCATAATCAATAAACGTAATTTCTTGTTTTTTGTATGAATATTTATTTATTGATCCTTATTAATTTCATTTCAAATACAGTTTCTGAATGTTATTTATATATAAAAACACTTATGTTATTCTTGATCAAGTATCGTATTAAATGGAAACTTATTTTTACCGTTAGTAACGTGAGGCAAAAGAAGTTAGAATGAAGGATAAACTGAAATTCACGGCATTTCAACACAACTTCTGCTCACGTATTTGAAGGCTGCTATTGGTTCATCGAGGCTAAACGTCATATTATGCGACTACGCATTACTTTACGGAGAGTTAACGACCTACTAGCTAAGTTCTACCTTACGAACAAATGGTGCAACGGAATAAAGTAGAGTTAGTTACAAACTAGCTAGTAGTTACTAAGCCTCTAGTGTGGTCTTTACGTTACAATTTAAGAAAGAAGTTACGAACGGCTGGTGCAACCCTACCCTGGGGCCGGTTGCACCAGCTGTGCGTAAGTTACAACTTAGCCTAGTTTTGACGTAAATGGGCACTAAGATGCAACTTACGCAGTACTAAATATTTTTGCGTTGCACCATTAAACTTAGTTGAAGCGTAACTCTATGTATAAACTAAATATTTACAGAAGCCTCCGATCAGGAGTAACGGTTACTGCATCAATAAGCTCTTCTTTTACCTGACAGACTTCAATTCTACATATATTATAATGCTGACATTTGCACTCGCTTACATTTTAAGAGAGAGAACATTATGTGAATAGATTACTTTGTTAGCAGCTCATCAATACGAACCCTTCCTACAGTGTGTGCATCTGTCCCATTTATCCTTATTAATTTCATAACAATTCTTAACAGTTTCTGAATGTTATTTACATATAAAAACACTTATTCATGATTAAGGGTCCTATTTAATGGAAACGTTTTTTTTTACTGTAAGGCAAAAGAAGTTAGAATGAAGGATTAACTGAAATTCCCAGCATTTAAACAATTTCTGCTCACGTATTTGAAAGCTGATGGATCATTGAGGGTAAACGTCATATTAGCCTACTTTACAGAGAGTTTACGACCTACTAGCTACGTTCTGCCTTACGAACAAATGGTGCAACGGAATAAAGTACAGAGTTAGTTACAAACTAGCTAGTAGTTACTAAGCCTCTAGTGTGGACTTTACGAACGGCTGGTGCAACCCGACCCAGAATATATATATATATATTCTAAACATTCCTATTAATATTCCACGTTTCTCTTAGCTGACAGTGGGTCTCTATGAGTTTGAGGTGGTAGTGGATGGTGACGGTGCTCATGGGGAGGGGTACGTCAACGTTACTGTCAAACCAGGTAACTTTAGTATTGATGAACCTGCTAATTGTATGCTGGAATCAGTTTTCAGAGTTTTGTTTGGTCAGCCCATGTAAGTCCTGCTTTTCTTGCTTCTACAGAGCCCCGAGTGAATAAGCCACCTGTTGCTGTAGTTTCTCCAAAGTACCAGGAAATCTCCTTGCCTACAAGCTCCACTGTGATTGACGGTCAACGTGCGTATCACACTTTCTTTTTTGCTTTCACTAAACCAGTTTTTACTGTTGTATGAGCCACAATAGCCATTATATTACTTGCATTATTTAAAAATAAATATAAATAAATGTACTCTATCTTTCGCCGGCAACTCCTGCGAGGACGCAAACTCTAAATCAACATGCACCAATGCTAAAACCTTCTATATGGCATAGTCATTTGTTAAGAGCTCATTGTTGCTGCCTTAAATTATTACATTGTTTAAATTAATATATATTTTTAGCCCAACTGTGATTTGTATTTGTACATTTCTGATATATATAACTCATGCTTTTTCTGTAAAGCTGCTTTGAAATGATGTGTATTGTGAAAAGCGCTATACAAATAAATGTCAATTTAATTGAAACTTTCAAAAAATTTGGGATCAGTAAAATATTTTGTTTTTGAAAAGTTTTTTAATGCTCACCAAGGTTGCATTTAATTGATTAAATTTACAGTAAAAACAATATTGTGATAGCTTATTAAACATCGTGCACCCCTACTTTTAACACATTGCGAAATATCTTTAAATATAATGTTCTCTGCGGTGGCCAAGAATGTCTAATGAAACATTTGTGATCATTAATGTCTTGTTTCTCAGTGAGTACTGATGATGATAAAGTGGTGTCGTGGCATTGGGAGGAGGTGAAGGGGCCGCTCAGAGAAGAAAAGGCCTCAGGTGATACTGCTGTTCTCACCCTCACAAACCTGGTTCCTGGTAATTACACCTTCAGGTATGTCTTATATCCATTTTTTGTACATACCCTGTATTACGGGGCATATTCAGCAGATAACCACTGCAAAACCCAGCAAACCAGTCTGTCCTCTGGCAAACTGTTTAAAGCTGCAGTCCGTAGCTTTTTTGGGGTTAAAAATGATCCAAAATACATATTTGAGCAAGTACATAACCAGCCAGTGTTCAAAACTCTCTGCTTGCCTTAACTCGATTCAAAGCGGTAAGCTTGTAATAATGTTTTTAATTCCAGTGGTACTGGTGGATTTCCACGGGAGATTCGAGCATGTCTTTGCGTCATTACATCACATCTGTACACACACATATGTACACACACATCTGTACACACACACATCTGTACACACACACACACACACATCTGTACACACACACATCTGTACACACACACATCTGTACACACACACATCTGTACACACACACATCTGTACACATAAAGAAGACTCTCGGCTAGTTGGCTATATTGCGTGTGAGGATGTTGGAGGTGGAGATTTATAGCCTTTTCTCACAGCACTTGATATAATTAAACTTATCAATTTGATGGCGGATCCAGAAAGGTTCAAACGACAATAACCAGTGACAACTAGAGATTCACCCGCTGTAAAATGCAAAAGACTTCGTTCGGACTTCGGAGTGGCTACAGAAAAAAAGAGACTGCAACCGGACCCATGCGAAAACAAGGATACATATCGGAAGGACATTACATGTAGTCACGCAGTGCTGACGTTGTCTAACATTAACAATTTGAGAACAAAGTATAATTTGCACGGTTTTACGTGATATGATAAGCTATTGTTAGATTTAATCAGTGCGATTTACTGCAATGTCAGAACCAGAACAAAAGTGGATGTTACTCACTTGTTCAGACATTTTCCGTTGAAAATTATGATGTTGGTCATACTTCCAAAAATAATAATATGTGATTCTGAATGCCAGTATCGACACCGGCGCGGCGACTGACAGCCGCACACTCTCCTCAAACACTGTGTTCATCCGCGCTGTGCCGTCTCGAGGGTGTCGAGGTACAACTCACGTAAAGTTGATGATTCCGCGAATGACTGCATTTGCAGATTTCGAACAGAGATGGCGACAAAGAGGAAAAACTGCGGACTGCAGCTTTAAAGACACTCCAAAATAAACAACAAATAAAAAAAGTTGTTATACTATATCATATTTTTTCTCTAACAGACTCACGGTGACTGACTCGGATGGAGCTCAGAATTCAACCCAAGCCATGTTGTTAGTCAACAAGGCCACAGACTACAAGCCTACAGCTAACGCTGGACCCAACCAAGTGATCACACTGCCACACAACTATATCATACTGTACGGCAACCAAAGCACTGACGACCATGAGAATCTGTCCTATGAATGGTCTCTCAGCCCTGAGAGCAAGGGCAAGGTGGTGGAGATGCAGGTACATGAGAAACACAAAGCCAATAGAGCTGCATGATGACGTAATCTCGATTCAAACACCCACACGATCTTATTCCTAAATGATGACAATTCGGCTATGTCTATTAAACCTTTGACAAGTACGATCACAGCAAACATTCAGATCTGTGTTCTGACCCAAAGAGAGCGGTTGTCATGTACAGATGTGAAACAGCGTCACAAACAGTCTATTCAACCACACAGTATCAATATTTCTGTTACAATAATTCAAATTGTCTCAGAAGTACTGTGATAAAAGTTGATCGTTCGTATATAAATACTGATGTCTACAGTAGCGATCAAAATAGAGTAAATCACCTTCACTTCAAATAAAGATTGTATCATTACATTGTTACACCAGTAGGTGGAATGCATGTAATTGAATCATCCACTCAAGAGATTTGTTCATGCAGTTGTGCAAACCTGTGTTCGAAATTGCCCTCTATAGCTCATTCACTATTCCCTACATTAGTCCACTAATATAGTCCAGTTGAAGGAGTGAATGAAAACGAGTGAGTGAATTCGGACACTGTGTGTGCCGGAAGGGCTGCCGCTTTTGCATAGTTTGTGTTTGCTGTTAAGTAATCATTTGAAACGTAGCAAACTGGCAGCTCCAGTAGTAATGAAAACATTTATCTTGAACTACCCTCATTGGACCAGCGGTTTTGGAAATGGATGTATGGATGATTCAGCTGGGGCGCCATCTTCTGGCGAGACGTGGTAATTCATTCGGCGTGACTGTTACAGTGCATTATGGGTATTCTCTATTGTGGGACTGAATGACTGCAAACGATAACATCCACTATGGTTTCGGACACCACTACAAATTGCTGTCCCCTCAAATAGTGCCATGTTTAAGGGGTGATTTCGCACACAGCCCAAGTTTTTAAGAGTGAGTCGTTGAATCATTCATTCAAACCGATTTTTTTAATAGTTCATTCAAATTAATTAGATATTTTTTTAAATAGACTGCAGCAATTAACGTTTTGTCAGAACCTCTAGTAAATTACATGTTATTTTGTTTAGTTGTCAGTTCAGAATCGTGATCTCTATTAAAAAAAAGAAAAAGAAAAAAAAATTGACTTGCAATTTTGAATGCAATTTATGCTGATTATTTTTGAGTGCATTAGTGAGCATTTGTTCTCCATAGGGTGTGAGGACGGCCACTCTGCAGCTTTCTGCCATGCAGGAGGGCGACTACACCTTTCAGCTGACCGTCACTGACTCGTCTGGCCAGCAAGACACGGCTCAGGTCACTGTCATTGTCCAGCCAGGTATCTTTTTAAATGCAGGACACAATGATTCATACTTAACTTGTAAATCTACATTTGAAGCTTATGTTTGAGCTTGATCTCTCTCTCTCTCTATGTGAAATCCCTCCAGAGAATAACAAGCCCCCTGTAGCGGATGCTGGTCCAGATAAGGAGCTGACGCTGCCTGTCGATCGCACCACACTGGACGGCAGCAAGAGCACCGACGACCAAAAGATTGCCACGTACCACTGGACAAAGAACACGTCAGTTACACACGATCACTCTTCCCGCGCTCATTTCATGAATATTTATAATTCGTAATAATTAAAATGTTCTTGTACAAAATGTACAGTCTAATTTTATGGACTGGATTTATTTTGTTAAGGCCAATTTAACACATTTAACATACAGTACCATTCAAAATTTGGGGTCTGTAAAGTATTTTTTTGTAAGAAATACTTTTATTTAACATTCAATTGATCTACAGTGACAGTATAGACTTATAATGTTATGAAAAATTTCTGTTTCAAATAAATGCTGTGCTTTTGGACTTTCTATTCATCAAAGAATCCTGAAACAAATGCATCACTGTTTCAATGAACATTTTAAGCAGCACAACGAATGCAGCATATAAGAATGATTTCTGAAGGATCATGTGACACTGAAGACTGGAGTGATGATGCTGAAAATGCAGCTTTGATCACAGGAATAAATTACATTTTAAAATATAATAAAGTAGAAAATGGTTATTTTAAATTGTAATAATATTTCACAATATTACTGTTTCTGCTGTATTTTTGATCAAATAAATGCAGCTTTCATGAGCAATTAGAGACCTTACAAAAACATTTAAACTTTTTAAACCAATTTTTTTTCCAGTAGTGTGTGTATACTGTATGTATATACTGCATATTACAAAAAGTATTTACTATTCAATGGCTTACTCATCTACTACAGTAGTGTGATGTCTTTGGGAACTGTTGTTTAGAAAATATTATTATGAAAATATTTTTAAATAATTAATCTGCATATGTTGAATTCATTTTTAATTGATTTACATCCCTACTTTTTGTATCAAATGTCTTACTTTTCAAATGTACAGGGTAGTAAGGTAGTTATTTTAGTTGTAGACTCGTGGCTTACATGTTTTTGATGGTGTCACAGGGGCCCAGAGGGGGTGAAGATTGAAAATGCGGACACTGCGATTGCTGTGGTGACGGGTCTGCAAGAGGGCGAGTACATTTTCATGTTGACGGTGACGGATGAAAGGACGCTGGAGAATTCTGACACCGTCTCTGTCATCGTCCGAGAAGGTGTGCGTCCTTAATTAAATCCAAGAAAAGTTTTATGTTGGTGTTAGTTAGAAAACTTCGTTTAGTTCAGTGGTTCTCAACCTTCTCTCGCAGGGACCCCCAATAGGACATGTTTTTGTTTTTACCCTGAAATGGCACACCTGATTCAATTAGTCAGCTACACATTAAGCCTTTGAGCCTTTAATAATTGAATCAGGTGTGCCATTTCAGGGTTAAAACAAAAATATGGCCTGTCATGGGGTCCCTGCAGGAGAGGTTGAGAACCACTGGTTTAGTTCTGTTGTGGTCTGTCATATTAGAAATAATTTTGCTTTTGGCTTGTTCAAATCAGAGGATGATCAGCCACCTGTTGCCAAAGTGCTGTCCAGTCCTCCGATCACTCTTCCCATCCGTACAGCGGTTCTGGACGGTTCTCGATCATCAGATGATAAGGGTAGCATCAGCTACCTCTGGACCCGTGAAGACACAAGCCCGGCTGCAGGGGTCAGTACTGTTTATAAAGCAGTGGCATTCACATTAGATTCATAGCTCTGGTGAATATTCAAGCATACTGTGAGGTGGTGACAGAACAAGGCAAACCGGTTAATTTGGTACAGTTCCTCAAAGATTGAGGAGCCATTAATCAGGACCAGAAAACGACACTGTTGAAATGTGCCCTCTGTTTTTCTCTTCTAGGATGTCCTGAATAACTCTGACCACCAGGCAGTGCTTTTTATTGGTAATCTGGTGGAAGGGAAGTACAGTTTCACCCTGACTGTAACTGACAGTAAGGGAAAGACCCATGCTGACAAAGGCACTGTAGAGGTTCGACCAGGTCTGTATGCTTGCCATTTTTAATAGCATTGTATTAAAGAGGTTCTATTATATTTTCAACTTTCTTTAGTGTGCAATGTTGCTGTTTGAGCATTCAAAGTCTTGATTTTGTTTTTGGGCTCTACTAGAATTGGTTGTTTTAATGTAAAAAAAAAACACTTTATATTTCCACATCTCTGATATTGTTGCGGCTCCTCTCTTCCCAGTCTGTCAGTAACGCTCTGTTTAGTTCCTGTCTCTATGAAGCTCCTCCTTCTGATAAGCACAATGCGCTCTGATTGGTCGGCTGGATCAGTGTGTTGTGATAAGGCAGTCGCTTTGAGCGTGTTTGAGAAATGTCCCGCCCCTTACCATAACCGCCAGTTTCAACACACTACTAACTAACTAACTCAACCAGGCCCCGCCCCTTTAAAGAGGACCTATTATGCCCCTTTTCACAAGATGTAATATAAGTCTCTGGTGTCCCCAGAATGTGTCTTTGAAGTTTCAAAATACAAAAATATTTAAGTATTTTTTTTAAATACCCCACTGATCATTTATTTTATTTTTTCAAATTTGCCCCTATTTGATGTGAGCAAAAACACACAGTTTTTATGTGTCTCTTTAAATGCAAATGAGCTGCAGCTCCCCTCCCCTTTCCAGAAGAGGGCGGAGCCAAAATGTCAGAAATTGTCAGTAGCTGTGTTCAGCCTTGTGTTCAGCGCGTTCAACCGGAGACACAACCAACCATTATAGGCTGGTTGTTTATGTTTACACACGCTGTGGATACACATGTGTTCAAACGCCTTATGAAAGTGAATTTAGCATAACAGGTCCCCTTTAAATGAGGAATATTGTGACGTGTTCGTTCCCGGAAGAAAACTCAAGACTACAATGGAGGCGTTTCAGGGAGTTCAGAAACACTGACACTGATATAGAGAATAACTCCCGCTGGAGGAACTTTGTGTTATGCAACTTTGCAGACATTTTTCATGCTCAAACAGCAACATTACACAGTGACACAAAAAAAAAGCATAAAAGAACCCTTTTAAGTAAAATATATTAAATTATACTATAATTCTCACGTTCTTCCTCAGATGTTTATGTGCGAGACTTGGTGGAGCTGATCCTAGACGTTCCTGTGGATAAGGTGTCCCGCAGACAGAAGGATATGTTCATCAGGCAGGTTGGCGTCCTTCTGGGAGTCTTGGACAGTGACATCATTGTGCGAGAGATTAGCGCTTTCAATGAGCACAGGTAAGTCCGGCTTAGCGCAAGTTAAGGCTTTATAGGCAGCGCTAAAGTTAACGCCTCATCTCCACTGATCTGATTAAATTGCTTGATGGTACTGTAAAGAAACCACAGAAGAACTTTGTTTTCACATAAATAGAATATAGCGCTGCAGTGATGACGTATTGCTGTATTTCTTCAAATAAACTCTGTGATCAACAAAAGTTTATGATTCTTGCACATTTTGTTCATCGTGATAATTTTCACAAAATAACACACATATTATGAATTTTGAAGCCTAAATTCCAGCAGCAGAAGTGAAAAGCTAAACATAGGCTATAATAAAACGACATTACAGTCGCAGCTTCAACGACACCATCACTAAGATTCTCACAACTCTTGCTTTCAGTCTTTGTGTGAAAACATTTCCCCTGAAAATTCGAGTTATAATAGTTTGCAGAAATTTTAGAGATTTAAATTCCCGAAAAAAAAGTATAACCTTTCACTGGTGAGAATGTTTGTTTGTTTTTATATGTATTATAGGTTTTTACTATGGTACTTTTTAATGTTTTTACATTTACTATGGTAACTTTTAATGTTGTGTTAGCTGACGCCTTCGTCTTGTATTGTGTTAGTTTAGCAAAATCATCTGCTGAAGTCTATTGCAGATATACGTAGATATTCATACATAAGTATAACTCTGGTTGCAGATGCTCAGTCAACTTGCTCTCGAATTTTCATGGCTTTGACCGTTCCATACGTACAGCGGCCCATAGAAACAGCCAATAATGAGGCATCGGTGTAAATAACTATGAATGGAACCGGAAGTGCTAAAATGCTAACTTGTAACCAAATTTGTCATCCCTGCAGCACTCTATACAGTACTTTTGAAGTAAATGTTTAAAATCATGCACACTCACATGTTCCAGTCATATCAGAAGTTTTATAAAAGCTGTTTTATGTGATATATGTTGCATATATGATGATTACTTATGTACTTTACAGCACTCGCCTGGTATTTCTGGTATCTGGAGGTCCTGGACGACCTCCATTGACTGGCCATAGTGTTGCTATGGAACTACGCAACAAATTTCGCAAGCAAAAAAATGAATTCCTTATTTTTAGGGCCCGGCGAGTGGACACAGTTAGTGAGTATTCATATTAAACGACCTATTAACCCATGTTTATATTGTAGCAGTGGTCATGTATTAACCGTCTGATCTTTCCCCAGTCTGCCAGCTGAACTGCTCCAGTCACGGGGAATGTGACTCCTTTACCAGACGTTGCGTGTGCCACCCGTTCTGGATGGAGAATTTATTCAGTACTTATTTTGGGGATGCTGTGAGCAACTGTGGTGAGGGGACACTACAAATTGTTGAGGGAATCTGCTTTAAAGAGGACCTATTATGCCTTTGATTTTTTTTTTCTGGCTCAACTAGAATAAGTTTTCATGCTTGAACTTTCAAAAAACACAATTTTTCACATATTCTCCATTGTTGCAGCTCCTCTCTTCCCAGTCTGTCAGTAACGCTTTGTTTAGTTCCTGTCTCTATAAACTCCTCCTTCTGAAAAGCATGATGTGCTCTGATTGGTCGGCTGGATCAGTGTGTTGTGATTGGTCAACTGCTTTGAGTGTGTTTGAAAAATGTCACGCCGCTTACCATAACCGTGAGATTCAACACACTACTAACTAACTCAATCAGGCCCCGCCCCTTTATTTAGCTTGGGCGGGAATTATTTAAATTAGAAATATTGTGACGTGTTTATTCCTGGGAAGAAAACTCAAAACTACAATGGAGGCGTTTCTTTGCAACTTTGCCGACATGCTTTTCATGCTCACACAGCAACAATACACACTAAAGAAAGTTGTGTGATGTGGTTTAATGGCCTGTTTATGTTTTCTTTCAGAATGGAGCGTATTATATGTGACGATAGCATCATTCATGACCGTGGTTGGCATAGCGACTGTAATATGGGGTATTGTGTGCTGCTGTCGAAGGTAAGGGTTAGACAAATGATAAACTGTTTATTAGGTTTTCTATTTGGAGTTTATTGCTAGTGTTTATTAAAAGTGTTCTTGGTGTCTCGAGCAGACGGAAGAGCAAAGGGAGACGAAAGAGCCGCTATAAAATGCTGGATGGGGATGAACAAGAGGCTCTGGAATTACAGTTACCAAGACCTGGTAATAAAATGATCTGGCAGCCGCTGAACAATGTTTTAAATGAATAAATTACGTAATTAATCACTTATTTAAAAATGTATTTCCAAAGACAGAGTAAAGAATTGAATATACACTACCATTGAAGAGATTTAGGGGCAGTAAGATTTTTTTTTTATTATTATATTTTTATTCAGCAAGGATGCATTAAATTGATCATACAATGTTAATACATTATAACGTTACAAAATATTTCTATTTCAAATAAATGCTGTCCTTTTGAACTTTCTATTCATCAAAGAATCCCCCCAAAAAATTATTGCAGTTTGTACAAAACATTAAGCAACAGTTTTCAACAATAATAACAATAAGAAGAAATGCCAATAAGTGACATTTTGAAATATATTTCACAATATTACATTTGAGACTTTTCAAAAACATTCAAAAATCTTACCGACTCCAAACTTTTGAACCGTAGTCAATATATTTGGAACAGTATTAATAATGCTTTTTAATATTTTATTCACTTTATATTTTTTTATTTTAAATGAATAAATTATTTTAAATTAAAGGGGTCATGAACTGGCTTTTTATATTTTTTTATATTGTTGTCTGAGGTCAACTTATGACGTTCGCTTGGTTTTTACATTCAAAAACATCAAAATGAATAAGTAATAGGCTATTTTCTACCCTAGTTTTGAGCCTAGCTCAAAAACGCTCGGTTTTTATGGGCGTCTCGCATTGAAGACTTGGAAGTAAACGCCCACTGCTGTGAGTGGATAACAGTTTTGCATATTATAATGATTTTGGTGTAATGCGCGAATCGGTGGGCGGGGCTAAACCGGCCGTGTTGAAGTAGGCGTTGATCTTCTTCTGCGGGGGTGGTGTTTTATCCTCTTTGTCGTCATAGTTCCCCACTTTGAAAAACGAGTCGTTTGCTGAGCCTGGTGTCAATAAAAGCTTTTATTGGACTAACAAGGACGTTTTCAGTTCTGAAACTTACAGGATATTCTTATAATATGATGACCTCTTAGATGTCAAAAGCTCAAGGAAAATTTGATTTCTCAGTTCATCACCCCTTTAAATGAATGTGTTAAATTGACAGCCCTAGTTTATTTGAACCCTCCATGGCTAAGATGCTTCATCCTGTCCTCGACTGATTCCTCCAGGTCGCTTGAAGTCCGTTCCTGCTCCCTCATCCTCCGCGCTCATGCACTCTGACTCCGATCTGGAGAGTGACGACGGCCAGGCCGGCATCCCGTGGTCCGATCGAGAGCGTGGAAAACTCCTGCCGCCCCAAAACGGATCTCTGCGTAACGGCCAAGGTCCTCATAAACCCAAAAAACAAAAAGACGAGCTGCTTTAGCACACAGACCCAACCTCTCGTATCGCACCAACGCACTGTTCACCCCTCATCCATGACACGTGTCACGACTGCGGGACTTCAGGAATGACCTCTGCACCTGCATCCTCGGGTTGAATCGCAGCCCAGTCTGAGCCGAAATGAAAATGCATTTAAACCCGAATGGTCAGATCTGTAGAGCCATGCACCTCAAAAGACAATGAGAATGTTCCTACTTCATGCCGAGATTTATGTAGTTGAGCATTTCAAAGTAGCTCCCTGAGGAACTGTTCCCCGCCAGAATGTCTCATCTCACCGCGGATAACTGAGCCTGCCTCACTGTCCCCTTCCTACGACACTTCCTGATATGACAGGCAGCCTGTCACATCCAAACACAGCCTGGCATGTCTAATAATTTGTATATTTTTACTTTTGGTAATAATGCAGAGGGATGAGTCCTTAGGCACCCAACAGTGCCATGTATGACTGCATGAGAAGGCAAGATTTGTTTATTTTTTCATGGTTTGCATGTATTAGATTGAGACGTGCGTGTGCTACTCTGCAGTCTTGCCCCTTTAAACACCAGCAAAAGTGACGTCTGCAGCATAATAGCCATGTTTGTCAAGGGTTTCTTTTCTTTACGGAGGAATATCTTACACTGGAAATTGTATTGGATGTTGCACTGGAGCCAGTCTCTTACCCGCTCTGGTTTTGAGGATGAATATGACAAGATGGGGTCTGACTTACTCAAACCGGAACAGCCGCCAAATAATAAATCATGTTTTGTTACACTTGGCTTGCATTAGTACTGCGTTTTACTCTATTTGGATTTCTGATCAGAAATCATCATTTGGTTTTAAAATAGTTTGTTCAGCCAAGAATCTTTTCAGTTCCACTGTTACGTGATGGTTTATTATGAAAAGGTTGAATGTTATTTTGACGGTGTGTGCGCAAATGTTTTTTTTTTTTAATTATTATTAATTTTACTCCCTACATGTCTGAGTTGGGGATGAGTGCATGGGGAAAATGACGAATTTTTTTTTTTAATCCATGCTTTTTTTGTTGTTGTTTTTAGTGAAGAATTCCCTGTTTCATGTGACTTGTTCTAATTCAACTGGAGTAAATTAAAAAATATATATTTACAGCTGTCTTTTTTGTTATACTTGATTTCTGTCCTTAATCTCATAATTGTACACAATTTCTTGTAAACTAAATCACATGTTTACTGCTTTAAGTGGAGCTTAAACTCGCCTGAAACCAAATTAGATTCCACATGCCTATATTTTTGTTTTTAATTATTGTGATCTTAGTGAATGAACAGCTAATTTCTATCATTCAACGGTTTTTTTGCGGGGTCTAAAATTGATCTTTTTTAAAAGTGGTTATTTACTGACAGATTTTTATTTTGAGATTAACTATTTATTTAGATTTTCATATGTGTACATAATGAGGAAAAATAAGCTACACTGTATTTTAAGGTCCCTTGTTTGTAATTATGCTTAGCTTTTACTACTATATGTAACATGCATAACAAGGACACTGTAAAATGGTTATTAAAACTGTTATAACTTTGGAAATTAGTGTTGGAAATGCCCTGGTTTAAAGCACACGGAGCCAACTATTGAAAACTGTCTATTTATTACAAGTCAAAGCAGGCACTTGTTAATTCCATGCACAGTTTGTGCAGATCAAAATTGTGACATCCACACTTCCTGTTTTGGCAACAAATATATGTACTAAATCTCAAATCTCTCCAGCTCCACAAATCATTTTGGCCAAGACTTTAAACCACAGACTGTACAAAAAAACTAAACAAAAAAAAGTCGAACCATAGACTGCTTTAAACCTGCCAGTTAGCAAGAGGAACAACTAAGAAAATAAGCACTTTCATTATTACATAATTATGTCACATGTCTTACATGGTAGACTGAGGGAATTCCTTTTATTAATGCTACATAAAATTACCTAGATTGAGCGAAATCAATATAAACAAAAATTGATATTCGTACTAAATCTAAAGTCTTCCTGTTCCTGTTTTACTCTTTTTCATCACTTTATTACACACTCGTTCTCGCTCTCTCTCTCCTTTGTCCTTATAAGGAAGTGGATCTGTTGGTGGAGTTTGGGCGGAAACGGCGCGCGGTGACAGCTGGGAACTTCAGCACGCTCATACAGGAAGACAACGCAGACGGGGAGCCCTAACACACCCATTCAACATCAAAGATTAAAGCCAGGACCACTGTAACATTTCTCAGACGGTAAAGGTAAGGAGAAAAGCCTGAATGCAGTGTCTAATTGATTAGATATCTGTGTTAAGCGACTTGCCGGCGGAAATCGTGTCTCTGCGCAAATCATGACAACTAAAACGGGCATCGCTCGCGCATAATGCTCTCAAAAGCGATACATTCTCACAGTGGCATTAGGCCTTATAAATAAAACGAGATTTATCATACATTTGCATGTGTGCAGATTTCTTAACTGCAGTTTAATGCGTCGCTTGGAAAAGTTCCTGATCTTGCAGAGCTCAGTGATGGAAAGTCCGACTCATCTCTGCGAATCGGTTCTTTCGAACAGTATGTTTCAAGATCCGTTTCGAACACAAATCAGCGATTCTTTTGCGTCATTACGTCATAGTGTTCCAATAAAACGCTTTTTGTGTGGATAGTTTTCACAGACTGTGATGAGGCGTTTTAACAGTCATCATCAGCATCGTAAAACCTGCAGTTTCTTATATTTTCAATCATTTAAAAAAATGTATGTGAATTTATAACACTATACTTCATATTATATTACCTTTGCATCAAATTACAAAAAAATAGTTTTGATTCTAAATACAGCGGCTGTGGGAGAGACTCTATTATCAATCTCTCTATTTTTTTCCTCTTTTAAAAGTTGTGAAGACACTTTTAGGAACACGAAAAATATATTTAATGTAGTCTCTTATTCACCTCTATTATAAGAAGTTTACCCAACTATGATGACTTCTGCTTCTGAGAAACCCGGAAATGTGAAAATGGCCAATCAAGGTGTAAACATGGATCCATACGTTTTATTTGTAACATTTCTAGTGTCCACCTGCATCAAGTCAATTCCTTGTTCATCGTGTCTCAGATCATTCATTATTCTCGGGTGTTGGTGGTGAGATGTTGATTAGAAAACCGTTTGACAGTTGATTCAGTTTCATTAAAATTTAGACTCGGTTCAACTGATTCACTGAAAAGATCCGACTCAAAAGAACACCGAAAATCGCTACAGCGCAAATGTAGGAAGTGAGGCGGGTGTAAAGGGCAGGAAATATGAACACAAGCTCGTCGCGATCGCTAAATTGTTTCCGTCTTCATATTATTTTCTATAAACAATCGCTCAGTATTGTCTGACTGACCGTGTTGTGCCGGCTGGCCTGATTATTCAGTCAAATCAAATCACATCAAATCTCTTGGCTTGTCTCTTGCTTCGTGTCCTATTGCAATCATATTAATGGCTTGATTGCTTGTCAAAAAACCCAGTAGACTATTGGTCGTGTCGTGTGTGTGTGTGTTTAATAAATTGCACATCTCATGCGCTGTGCCGAGAATGGATGCGATATGGCCTAGTTTTACTAACGTTAGTCCTGAAGCATAAATGACCTGTTTTTATGTCCAGAAGAGCAGCTTACACACCCATATGCTTGCCGTTTCAGTCTTGCCTTTGAATTTACTGTAGTTTTTTCTTATCTTGTTTTGATATGTTTACCTTAAGGCCGGGTGTCACCTACAGAATTTAAATGTGTATTGAAGCACAGAATCTATTGCTTTTAGTCTTGTCTTTACCATTATAAGCTGGGTTTGAAATTAAAGGAATAGTAAAGCATTCAGTTCAGAGTTTTTTTCTTCTTCTGCTGAACACAAAGGAAGATATTTTGAAGAATGTTTGTAACCATTAACTTATACTATAGAGGAAAAAAATACTACAGAAGTCAGTGGGGGCCCATCAACTGTTTTGGGTGAACTATCACTTTAATTTAATGAAGATTATTTTACAATTTAATGATTTAATACACCAGATTATCAAAATCACGGCTTAGATTTAAGTATATTTTTTATTTCTGATGTTTTTGTTTTGGCTTGTAAAAGTTCTGAAATGCTGGTAACTTATACATGTAGTAGCCTGGTGAGTAAAAGTTAATTTCAAACTGTGATTTATAAGTAGTTAATATCATCATTTCATCAATAACATCGTTGGCTTCTCCTCAGTCTGGTTTTTAGGGCGAGGACACTAGGAATTGGTCTGAAGTTGTTTGCCTGAGGCAATGAAATTTGACTACTCTAATTTGAATGTAAATATTTTCTTACAATGTGGAGAGAAAAAAAGTGTAGAAAAATCAAATTTGACTGTAGTTTGACTCCAGTCTGGTCGTTGACTCGTCCCATAATCGCTATTTTTATTATATTTGGCAAAAGTTGAAATTCTGCTTTGCTCATGTGCTGTGATTTCAGTTCTGTGTGATTTAAATGTTTTTTTAATTCCACTTGCCTGAAAACAGCCACAGCTGATTGTGTCCACGGAGGAATCTGTTATTATTATAAGAGTAATGTTGACTAACTTACTCAAATTAAGTAAATTATTACTTCTTTCATGTTGTATTTTCTATGCTAGGGCCATTTAATGTATCAGACATGAACTTGCTCACCTTTAATAGTTTAGTATTACAGTTGTAATGCAGTCTTGGGAAATTTGTGATTCCTGAAGGAGTTAGAAAATTTCCCTCAGGATTTGGTGGATGCTCTTATTAGAAGCAGGTGTGCTGCTCATATACGGATACCTGTGCGTTTCCCAGAAGCGCATTCAGGTGAAAGGCGGAGTGAGTCAGTGAGCCAGATTCGTGTATCAGGTTTCTGTTACGTAATGTTACCTGTTTAGTGTGTGTGTGTGCATGTGAAGGGGCAGTAAAGAGGGACTTGCCCTTTGAAAGTTGCCCGGAGAAGGCAAAGAAGATCTACTTCCTCCTTTTTTTTGTGTATCTAAGAGGTTTGGCTAAAGGTTTTCCTTTATTGCAGATTTTTTTTCTTCCTGTTGCATTCTTGCGGGACGACATGTTATGGCACGTCCTGCGTTCTCTCCAGGCTCGGCACATTGTGCATCCGTGCGTTCACTTGTAATCTGCTCTGCCGCTGGTGCTCTTTTTGTTGATTTTACTATAAATGAGAATAAATAAAATGCTGAAGTCAGAATACAAGAAGAGTCTTGAAAATTGGCATGAAATGAAAATTCACCACAGTTTCTTATTGTGAGCAATGCATACTTTTACTTAAAAAAAAAAAAAAAAAAAAATTTAACTGGCCTCCCACAATCATGATTTTTTTGCTGACGATAAATTGTCATAAATAATGAACAAAACAAAAATCGTTTATGGCATTTACAGTGTAAGCCTAATATTTTTTTTTTACTTGAAATCGCATGATGGAAGACCTTTGACTATCCGTGTGTACTTCATAACAGTATATATATATATATATATACTTTTTTTTTTTTTTTTTGCAGAATGTGATTAAAATTTAAACGCCACAATTTGATCAAATAACACAGTCCGATGGTTAATCACGACAGGCCTATTTTTTATTTGTTTGAGCTCATATTCTCCTTCAAAATCGAACCTTGATCTTCTGGTGTAATGACGTATGCCAGACTACATCAATGATTTTGTCCACTTAAACCCCATCCTTTCTTATAATCAACAGCAAGCTTTCATTCAGATCTGCCTTCATCCAATCAACAACCGACGGTGTTATTTTGTGATTATTCAGAAGAAAAGATTTGTCCATTTCATTTAATTTGTTCTGTTTCATTCATCTCTCTCTTTCTTTCTCTCTCTCGCCCTTTCTCTCTCGCCCTTTCTCTCTCGCCCTTTCTCTCTCTCGCCCTTTCTCTCTCTCGCCCTTTCTCTCTCTCGCCCTTTCTCTCTCTCGCCCTTTCTCTCTCTCGCCCTTTCTCTCTCTCGCCCTTTCTCTCTCGCCCTTTCTCTCTCTTTCTCGCCCTTTCTCTCTCTCTCTCTCTCGCCCTTTCTCTCTCTCTCTCTCTCTCGCCCTTTCTGTCTCTCTCTCTCTCTCGCCCTTTCTCTCTCTCTCTCTCTCTCGCCCTTTCTCTCTCTCTCTCTCTCTCTCTCGCCCTTTCTCTCTCTCTCTCTCTCTCTCTCTCTCTCTCTCTCTCTCTCTCTCTCTCTCTCAGTGAGCAGGTATGGCAGAGCTGGCGGGTCTAGTGCAGCGTTTGGAGGTGGCTGTGGGCCGTCTGGAGTCCATGTCTGGAGGTGGAGGTGGAGTAAGCGGCCCTGCTGCTGGATCTGGAGGTAAGAAGAGCCTTATGTAAACCACTTCTGTCTGAAGATAGCCACTGCCGCTCAGCAAGTGTGCACTTGGAGTTAGACATTTGAACTTAAGTATTAAACTTAGCTGCATAAATTGTCTGCGTCACCTCCAATAATGCAGCTCGTTGAAGATGGATGTACTATTACTTTTCTAACCGTTTGAACAAACATCAAAAAACATTTCTAATCTACAGGTGAAACTCGAAAAATTAGAATATCGTGCAAAAGTTCATTTATTTCAGTAATTGAACTTAAAAGGTGAAACTAATATATTATATAGACTCGTTACATGCAAAGTGAGATATTTCAAGCCTTTATTTGTTATAATTTTGATGATTATGGCTTACAGCTATGAAAACCTTTTTCTAATATTCTAATTTTGAATTTGGGGTTTTCATAAGCTGTTTTCTCAGAATTGCATATATGTTGAACATCCGCAAAATTTGGTGTGGACCCTCCTGATCATGAAAATTACGTCACATGGACATTGGCTGAAGGATGCTTTGGGCTTAAGTGAAACTACCATTGTGGCAATGTCATGGACGGATAAAGTGCTTGTTGCAGAAAGTCTTGTATTGTGTCTTGTTAGAACATGGTGTAATTCTGCTCTTGTTTCTCTTCTCCTCAGCGGTGTCGGCGTATGTTGAAGCCTATGACGGTTTGATCTCTGGCCCTGTGGCTCAGTACGCTGCCCTCAGTCAGAAGATCGGGGGAGACGTTCAGAAGCATGTATGTAATCCTGCACTGTCATTATAGTTCCTGAACACTGGCACACATTGATAACGAGTCCACGCAATGTTCCTTATCCTTTGTTCTGTGTCATAGGCTGAGATGATGAAGCAGGCCTTTTCCTGTCAAAGACAGCTTCTGGTCACTGCCTCCCGTTCTCAGAAACCTTCTGAAGTAAGTATGATGTTACATTTTAAAATAAGATTGGTTACTGCACTACCGCTAAAAATGTTGCATGTTTGAAAGTCTCTCAACAAGGCTGCTTTTAATTGATTAACATATATTAAAACCAGTGAACTATCTCAATTTATAACAATTTTTCTATTTTAAATGTCATTATTCTTAAGATCAAAGCTGAATTTTCAGCATCATTACTCCAGTCTTCGGCGTCACATGATCCTTCAGAAATCACTCTAATATGATGATTTGCTGCTCAAGAAACATTTCTGATTATCAATGTGGAAAACAGTTGTGCTGCTTCATATTTTTTGTGGAAACTAAAACATTTTAAGGCATTTTTGATTAATAAAAAAGTGAAGAACAGCTTTTATTTACATAATAAATGTCTTTACTGTCACTTGATCAACTGAATGCATCCTTGCTCAATGATCAGTTTAATTTCTTTAATTCTTGCTGAAGCCAATCTTTCACACCAACATTGTTCACTATTTTTGCAACATTTTCTCATCTCGTCATCCGTCTGTGCATCTTCTCCTCTGTGATATAGTCCGCCCTGGCCCCTCTTCTGGCCCCCGTGTCTAAAGTGATCCAGGAGGTGCAGGCGTTCAGAGAGAAGAACCGCTCCTCTCCTCTCTTCAACCACCTCTCTGCGGTCAGCGAGAGTATCCCCGCCCTCGGCTGGGTCGCCATGGTAAGTCTGGTGCTGTCAGTGTGTTGCAGTTTTGTAGTTGTGTGTCGTTTCTGTTTGTAATTTAATCAGTTATGGGACTTTTGGACTCTTAACAAATCAATTTCCTCCTCCTCAAGTGTGAACATTTCCTGCTGTGACTACATTTACAAATATCTGGGTTAGGCTGGCATACTTTGCGTATCGTCACTGTCATGCGGAAAACTCATATGCCCAAAACTGCTACTTTTCAGGAAATGGGGGGAAAAAAACCCTATGTATAATTATAAGGGTGTCACGAAATCGACCGAAATTAACTCACAATCTCGAACTTCGAATTAAAAAATGGAATCGTCGATGCTGCCACGCCCCGTCCGGTCGGCGTGCCAAGCGGGAAAAAAAACACGCGTGTTTTGTTGAAGTGCTGCGAGTCTATGGTCAACCTCCTCTAACTTATCTACAGCCATTCAAAATATAGCATGGCAACTGCAGATGCAGGAGACCCATCGACAGAACTTGAACCCCCTCCTCTTTCAATGAAGTTGCAGTTGTGGAAGTTTTTTGGATTTCCAGTGAGTTATGTTAACAACGTTCGCACTTCAAAAAAGCCACAGTTTGCAGACATCCCAATAGGCCGTGAGACAGAGGGTTGATTGGTACCATTTTGAGGGATTAAACTGCATGGTGATTTTTGTGTAGGTATATGACCCTGTATTTGAAAAATGTGTGATAGCATTAGATTCAAGGTAGTTTTTGGACGATTTTCAAACATGTCAAGAAAAAGGATAAATGAATTTATCTTTATAAAAAATGTATACAATTTTATAAAAATTTTATACAATTTTATAAAATTTTATACATTTTTATAATGAAAAAAACTATAAATTTTTTTTAAAATAATTTTTTTAAATTATAAAAGGATACATTTTTCTCTCTTGTAGTCACTGAACACCTTACCTTGAGGTAGGATGATAGGAAGTGTTGATTTCTAATGAAAGCTACCATGGATCGGATGCTATCACACATTTTCCAACACTAGAGATGTGTACCTTCATGAAAATCAAAAAGAAATTTAATCCCTCAAAATGGTACCGATAGCCAAAATTTGGGGTCCCGTCTCATGGCCTACAAGTCTCCCGGAAGTTCCAGGAGTCTCCCGCATATTGATAGCGGCTCCCTGATGCCCGCAAATTAGTTAAAATCTCCCGGAATCTAGAGTGAGCGAGCAAGACAGTCCCTCCAGAAAAACGCGATTATGCGATGGCTGATTATGCATTGAATTCAGCCAAAGTCCGCATATTTATGCGGGGGTCGCATTTTTTCAAATACTCCGCAATTTCGCCGCATAAATTGCTGATTTCCGCGCAAAATATGCGGGCTTGCATGATTTCATAATCCCGCATTTTCGTCGCAAATAAGTCATATATCTTAGCAGAAAGTTGGAAAATGTTGCGTTTGCTTCACACAAGAGCAGCCGTTTCCCCTGTTGCCATGGGAACGTAATGAAGTGACGTAATTACGCGACGTGAACATCATCGAAAAGCTGTAAAACAGGAGCACACTTTATTTTTAAATACTTCATTTATTCATTTTTACTGAAGTTGTAGCATATTCCTCTAGTTAAGCTACAGAACTTGTTTGACTCATCAATGTTTTATAAGTTGGATGTGTTCATTAAGGTCTTGTATCGCGTTGTGTCGGGAAGAAAAATAGGGATAGCTCACAGCTGGAGTTATTGCAGAGGCCAGACAGACTCACGGAGGCGATTGGCATCTCACAACTCGCACTTTATTCCCAAATCGAACTCGTATAACTGTCTGTCACACGTTCTACCGTCCACATCGTTACTTAATAAACAAAATAAGATAAAAGTAGCATCAAACAGAAATTACCCGCACACATGGGGTGTTCGAGGCGCATGGCACATACAATATAATAACGTTACTGCAGACAGTTCAACAGGGAGCGCGCAGCTCTTAAAGGGGCCACACCTTATTTCCACTCGTTACAGTCTGAAATAAAACAAGATGAGAAATGAAATATTTCCAGCACTTTCTGTGATGTAGTTATGCTTGCTTATCATAGGAAGTAATAAGAAAGGACTCTTTACATTAAGGTAGGAGCCTAGTGAGAACAGGGTGTTTGGGGAATCATTTTTTTTTTCTCTTTTTCATCAAACCGCAGTTTTTGCAAGTTGGCGCAATTTTTGCAAGTTCTCGCAATTTCATCGCAAAAAATTTCGGCCGCGTAATCAAGAACCGTTACCTTAGAATCTAAAATTTAACCGAATCGAGGATTTGGAGAATTGTGACACCCCTAATAATTAAACACTGTGTTAAAGGTGATATTGTGGCTTTATATATGGCCAGACACTTGCATGTGTCATTTATATTATTAACATTTTACCAATATCAAGCTCAAATGGAGTTACAAGGTTTTCGATCAGCAAAGATCAGACACGCATGTTTTATCCATCATTAGAGTTGCTGCATCTAAGTGTATCGCATTACATTTTCATCATCTTATGGGTTATAAGGTTTATTGTAGCTATGTGGGCGCTCAGTTTTTCCTGTCATTTGACCAAAATTTCGTTATAAAAGATGAAGTGCTTCACACAGGCTATTAAAAACAGTATTGACTATGACTTGACTACAAATGCTAGACTAAGATGCTCTTCTCCGCTCCTCAAATACATAAATCAGCCTTTAAATAAATATGTATATGTGTTTTGTCACGACCGGCTCAAAGCCGTGACAAATGAGTGGAGGACATAGTGAAGTTGGTCAGGTTGTACGTGTATTTATTAACATAAATAGAAAAATATATATAACAGGAAATAAATTACAACACAACTGCCATTTCTGTCTGACAAGCGGTGTTAAGATGTCAGACAGAACTAAGATCAAATCATAGCAAAGGAAAACAAAACAAACCCAACACAAAAAGGTACGGGAGCAAAAGCTCTCACAATAGTCTTGCAGCTCTGAAGATCTCGAAGCTCCTCCACATTCTCAAAGCCTAAGCTTATATTAGTGTTGTCACGATACCAAAATTATTGTTTCGATACCAATACCAAGTCAAGAATTGCGATTTCGATACTTTTTCGATACTTTTCCTGAAAAGGGAGAAACACTCAAATATCATTGCTGTGCTTTATTTTAAAACTGGGACAACATTCTAATCATATAACACACTAATAAATGAACATATGAACAGCATATAGGCTATATTAACCATTTGAACAAAATATGAAATATGAAAAATATAAAAAATAAATTAGAGCAATGACATTCAAGGTAAAAAAATAAATAAATATAGCAGCATTATCTCAGTTATCATAAGAAACATAAGATTTTATCAATATCAATGCCACTGACGATTCTGCTTATCGATCCGATTCTTTAACGATTCTCTTATCGATTCCTGATAGCACTGTGTGGAAAAAAGTAGTCAAGGGGGGGGGGGGGGGGGGGTTATTTGTTTTAAAAACTTACACTTGAGTATGCAAACTGTAGCCTACTTTTTATGTAATTTATGAAACCTTATTACAAAGTGTTAGCGATTAGTTATACACCGATTCAGACAGATCAGTTGTTTTAACCATTCATTAAAACGAATCGGTTCAAATGAGTCATTAGTTCATGAATTGGATGTGTCATTATCGGACGTGTGCGCGTTGTGTGATTATCCCGGCGGTTAGGACATCCCACAAGATTTGTGTCATCACAGAAAACATTTCATGACTGGATAGTTTTTTTCGTTTATTTAAAGTGTGGTTTATGTCAGCTGAATGTGCGGAACGCTTTTCAGAGAAGATAAGGCAACGTATTTTACCACAATTTACTCCTAGCGGTAATTCAGGAAAACATTTTTTTAATTAATTTGATTAATATGTGCGAGGGAGAGAGAGAGAGAGAGAGAGCAAGACAGCGCTTAGTTTAGAGACGGTGAAGCCTTGTTTATACTTTCGCTTGGCTACGCAGAGAGAGAGTGCGCGCGCGCGACCGGGGCTCTCTCGCGCTCTCTCTCTCTCTCTGCTCGTTCAGTTCACGCGCCCTGTCACACGCGCATGAGGAGAAAAACACAGACGTCCATAGGGAGGCACTGGAAGCGTGCGTTGCACACACCAACATGCAATACTCTCTTACAAATCTGGAACGCGGTCATTCTTAGAAGTATCGATACTAATAAATTTAGGTATCGTGAAGTTTTTAATTTCCGAGTATCGCGATACTTTTGAAGTATCGGTGCACCGTGCAACACTAGCTTATATACAGGTGTATATCACTTGATGATCCTACACAGGTGTACATCATTCTCTTGATGAGTCTCCCAGTCACACCCACCGGTCGACACAGCGGGAACAACCGGAGACCCGTCACACACCCCCCCTAAAAAGAAGAGAGCACAGAGTCTTAATAAAAACAAACAACTCCCACAACTCAATTTGTCCAAGTAGCAATAGTTGGTTCGGCCTGCAATTCTCCCCAATCCCGTCAACTCTCTCACTTTCAGCAACCTGGCGCCTAGGAAGCAAAATTAAGAAAGAAAAAGAGACACAGTCAGAGAAAACAGACTTTAAAGCACTTAAACACGGGACAAGGCGTCAGCAGTTACATTCTCTACGCCTTTAATATGGCGTATATCCAAAGAGTAACTCTGAAGAAACAAACACCATCTCATCAGCCTTTGGTTGGGGTTTTGTAAGGAGTGCAGAAAAACTAAAGGATTGTGATCCGTATAGACCACCAGAGGTCCTTCTGATGACCCAACATACAAGGTGGAGAAGCCCAACTAGAAAAAGGTTCAGCGAAGTCATTTTTAGAATATATTCGATTTCATCATCCAGTAGTTTTTTCTTATTCGCAAACACTCGATAATAACGTTGACGAATTGGGCTTGCACCTCTCACATCAATGTCGTGCTCTATTAGATCTGTACAAGAAGGAGTATCAGAAAACAATGTAACATATTCCTTAGTCAAATTCATCAAATCAGTCCGCTGTACATTCGACAGATGACCAAGCCGAACGCTCAAAGAACTCAGTGCTTCTGAGTTTCTAAGACGACCTTGAAGAACACAATCTCCCGGATAGATTTCACCTTCCTCCCCAGCTACTGGAGTCGGAACCAATTCAACACTGTCATTATTAACAGAAACATCTGCAAACATAACAGGTTTAACACGTGAATCAGGCAGACTAACTTGGTCTTTTGTCATAAGGTCTTCGAAATCTTTACAAGCATAATAAGGCTTTAACAAGTTTATGTGACACATTCTAGTCTTTTTTCTTCGATTTGGCGTATTAATCAAATAATTCAAATCAGAAATCTGACGAGCAACAGTATATGGTCCGACAAACTTAGCCTGAAACGGTGACCCAACAACAGGCAACAACGCCAGTACCTGGTCACCAGGTTGAAACGAACGCAACTCTGTTCGACGATCAAAAAGTAGTTTCATTCGATCTTGTGATTTGCTCAAAGATGACTTTGCCAAGTGGCACGCCTCATAAACTCGTCTACGAAAATCACTAACATATGACAAAACATTTTTCGGTGGATCAGACTTTTCCCAGTCAGCAGATAAAACAGCCAATGGACTTCGCACGTCGTGTCCAAAAACAAGGTCGTTCGGACTGAACCCAGTACTTTCTTGCGCAGCTTCCCGAGCCGCCATCATCAACCAAGGCAGACCAGTCTCCCAGTCCTTACCCATTTGAACACAGTACGACCTCAAAAGAGATTTTAACGTTTGATGAAATCTCTCCAGTGCTCCCTGACTTTGGGCATGATAAGCACTGGAGAGGTTATGTTGAATATGAAGTTGTTTCAACACTTGACCGAACAAATTAGAAGTGAAATTACTTCCCTGATCAGATTGGATAATTCGTGGTATTCCAAATATTGAAATGAACCGAGTCAGCGCCTTTGACTAGTTTTGCCGTCACAGAACGTAAAGGATATGCAGCAGGATATCTAGTTACTTGGCACATGATTGTAAGCAAATACTCACTACCTGCTTTTGATTTGGGCAACGGCCCGACACAATCTACAATGAGATGTTCAAACGGCTGACTAATGGCCGGAATCGGAAAAAGAGGAGCAGGTTTCAAAGATTGATTTGGCTTCCCAGTAAGCTGACATGTGTGACAAGATTTAATATATTTAGACACATCACGCTTCAATTTCGGCCAAAAGAACCGTCTCAAAAGTAATTTGTACGTCTTTTTCACTCCCATATGCCCAGACGTATCATGAGCAGTCTGTAACACTAGCTGCCGAAGTGACTGAGGAATTACAACTTGCACCATGGGATCACCCAATGCAAACTCTCCCTGTGGCACCCATTTTCGAACTAGCAATCCTTCATCTAGGTAATACCCAGATGAAAGATTCTCAATTACGTCATATGATACAACCCGGTCAAATAATTCAACAAGAGTTGAGTCAGTTTTTTGTTTTTCAACCAGTTCATCACGTGACACTGATAAAATTGAAGGGACTTCTAGAGTTTCCTTCACCACCTTCTTAGATTCATATTTTACCTCAGCTTGTGTTTTACTCATAGATCGTGTTATCACACAAGTGGGTAACACACTTGAACAGGTCAAATTCTCACCACCATCTGGTTTCAAGATCATCGGGCATGGTGTTACCACTAGATGTGGTGAATCATTCCGCCAGACACGATCACCAGCCAAGTCATTCCCCAGAATTACCTGTATTCCTTCCACAGGCAAGCAGGAACGAACAGCCACCTCCACTTCTCCCTGGACCAATACAGATTGCAAAATAACTTTATGCAGTGGAACAGACATAACATTCAAGCCAATGCCCTTAATCAGCACATTACTTCCAGTGTAAGAATCAGGTGAAAAAGGCAGCGCAGACTCTAACACAAAGGTTTCTGATGATCCTGTATCACGTAGAACCTTTACTGGTACGACTTTTGTGGAATCTACCAACCTAACAGAACCTTCTGTAACAAAAGGAGTAAATGCTGAACCACAAGGCGAGCAAATTTTCTGCACATTATTCACTGTTGAAGTAGTCACAGCCAACGCCACAGACTTTACAGGAGACCAAGAATTAGATTTCACTTTAGAATTGTCAGCTTTTGCTTTCAATAAGAGACATTCATTCTTCCAGTGACCAAACTCATGACAATAATTACACATATTTGCTCTGTCTTTCTCTTCAACAGAGCTATGCAACTGTCTGCTGGGTAAATCATGCACAAACCTGGTAAATTTGCTAGAACTTCGCCACGGCTCTTTTTTTAAATTTTCTCCAACCGATCTGTAACCAAAAACAGTTTTATGAGACAACGAGAATTCATCAGCCATGACGGCCGCCTCATACGCAGTGCCAGGTTTATGCTCGCTAATGTAAGTTGCAATGCGATCTGAAATGGAACTCTTGAATTGTTCAAGTACCATTAATTCTTTTAAATCGTCAAGTGTTTTTACATCAGAAGCTACACACCAACGATTAAAATAGACCGAAATATCGTGTACAAAGTCAACATACGTCTGTTTTTCACTCTTCTTCCAGGACCTAAACTTTTGTCTATATGCCTCTGGAACTAGTTCATAAGCCCTCAACACTGCTGATTTTACAGCCTGATAATCAGAAGCATCCTCTACACTAAGGGAAGAATACGCTTCTTGAGCTTTGCCTGTAAATACAGACTGCAACATAAGCGTTCGCTCTTCATCTGGCCAACGTTGTGCGTCCGCAACACGTTCAAACAATAAAAAGAAACGCTCAACCTCTCTCTCATCAAATTTAGGAATCAATCTCATATTTCTTACCGTATCAAACTTGTACGAACTTGAATCACGTACTGATTCTCCAGTAACAGAAAGTTTACCTTCTCTTATTAAATCCAAACGATAACGTTCAAGTTCAAGTTGTTGTTGCTGCAATTGGACTTTAGAGATTTCAATGTGATTTTGCGCTTCTAACTGTTTTTCTTTCATCTCTACTTGAATTATCAATAATTGCCTTTGTTGTTCAAATGTTAAATGAGACTGTGTTGATGTCGCATCGACAAAAGTTAACGTATCTTCTGAAGATTGAGTCTCTAAAATGCCACGTTCAACTAACTGTCTTTACCAAGGTTTTAATCTGATCTTTTAGACGTTTATCTTGACTCATCAGATTAATTTTGTAGTATTCTGCAAGTTCTAATAATTGATCCTTGGTTAAGTCATTTAACAAGCTCTCAGACGGTGCGCTAACAAATTCCTCAACGTTTGAGGACATTATGAAAAATGTATGGCTACCAAATTCCAGAAAAACAAAACAAGCTTAAAGACAGAAGTTGGAATAAGCAATTCCCTCTAACTAAGATTTAAACCTACCTAAACTCATCCCTAATCTTCATACAGTTACTTGCAGCGGGTTTTTATACACTATAAACCAGTGTTTGCAATAGCAACCGATTAACGAGTCACTACTACAAACACGGACGTGTTCCCGAGACAAATGCTCTAACTGCTTTCACCGTACAAAAATAACAAACTAAAATAAAAAAGATCGGAAAATCCTGTTAAGGAAATCCCGCTAAACCTACGCAGGGAAAAGCCTAAGCCAAGACACCTCTTTTCTCAAATTTAGTAGCCAATACACCAAATTAAACTCCCGTAACCAAGACACCTCTTTTCTCAAATTTAGTAGCCAATACACCAAATTAAACTCCCGTAACCAACCAGAACAACCAAACCAACCACTAAAACCCTCCACAAGTTTTACTTAACAAAAATTGTCAAGAAAAAAAATCGTTTCTAACGAATTAACCAACTTAACAAAATTAATTTAAACAAATAATAATCATCCAAATGTATCACATTTACCAGAACCAAATGAACGAATGAGTTTCTCTTACCAAAGCGAAGGGACTTATCCACATTTGTCCAAACCGGAAAATATTTATCACCTTAAACTAACAACGGATAAGCCTCCATATTTGTCACACTAACAAACTACGAACGAATCTTCAATTAACAATTGGCGGACGACAAAACTACTAACGAAACTTTATCAAAAACAATCGGCCGGACGAGCCCCCATATTTGTCACGACCGGCTCAAAGCCGTGACAAATGAGTGGAGGACATAGTGAAGTTGGTCAGGTTGTACGTGTATTTATTAACATAAATAGAAAAATATATATAACAGGAAATAAATTACAACACAACTGCCATTTCTGTCTGACAAGCGGTGTTAAGATGTCAGACAGAACTAAGATCAAATCATAGCAAAGGAAAACAAAACAAACCCAACACAAAAAGGTACGGGAGCAAAAGCTCTCACAATAGTCTTGCAGCTCTGAAGATCTCGAAGCTCCTCCACATTCTCAAAGCCTAAGCTTATATACAGGTGTATATCACTTGATGATCCTACACAGGTGTACATCATTCTCTTGATGAGTCTCCCAGTCACACCCACCGGTCGACACAGCGGGAACAACCGGAGACCCGTCACAGTTTCTAGAGTAAAGAAACGGTGTACTTATTTAAACAACCAGTTGTTTATTTACCCTCGCATTGCAAACAAGCAGAGACTCTCCCTAATGTGTGTGGCTCTTCATTCATGATAGAGGTGGGTGGAGTTATGAGGTTTGACTGACAGTTTGAGGATCCAATGGAGTTACGAGGTTTAGTCACAAGCTCTTTTTAATAATTTTCATTCGCTAATTATTTGCAAAACTCACAGCTGGATGCAAAGGGTGACCAATAGTAAGGATTTATGGGAGGGGTGATACAAGAAATATGGTGATTACAAGGTTTCCGCCTGACAGCGATGATATGTTTTTTTTCAAGGATATATGCAGTGGTATCAAAGTCATTTCAAAGAAATATTATTATGCAAAATTATTAAAAATATTGATATGCTCTTTTTGTCACTAGTTGAATGCAAGTAAATTTGCAACTCTGAATTTTTTTTAGGCCCCAAAGCCAGGCCCCTTTGTGAAGGACATGCAGGACGCAGCCATGTTTTACACCAACCGTGTCCTCAAGGATTACAAGGAGAAGTATGTGTCTGTCTGTGGTGTGATGAAACTAGTACAGAAGCTAAATGGCACATCGGTCATTTTCCCACCTGCTTTATTGTCTTATTTTCAGAGATAAGATGCATGTGGACTGGGTCAAGGCCTATCTGTCCATTTGGACCGAGCTGCAGGCCTACATCAAGCAGCACCACACCACTGGATTGAGCTGGAGCAAGACTGTGAGTCTCATTCTCGTGTGCTCAGTTTGTCCCACGTGGTTCAGAATATAGAGTTTAATTGTTTTTGTTGTACAGGGTCCCGTAGCTTCGGCCTCTGGTGGCGCTCCGCCTCCCCCCGGCCCTCCTCCACCCCCCATGGACTTCGGTGAAAAGTCTTCAGGTGGAGACTCTGGAGCAGTCTCTCGCAATGCTCTCTTCGCCTCTCTCAACAAGGGAGCAGATATTACTAAAGGTATTACATGGATCTCTGACTTGATGTGGTACTAAAGTGGCTCCAGTAGAGCCACAAAACATTCAGTGGCACATTTATTGCAGTTTAAATGATGGAAGGATCATCGCTAAAACATTAAACCGTCTTTTTGATTGATTGGAAATGATGCAGATGCTTCCTCTTGATGCACTGTAATGGGAGCATCAGTGTATGTGAAAAGGTCATTGCAGCATTCACAGCAAAAAGGCTTGATCCAAACGATACGGTCCTGTGGCCCTCACTTGTTCACATCCATGAGGCTCTAGGGCGGATCGGCAACCTTTTTGCCATGAAGTGACACTTAAAGGAATAGTTCACTTAAAAATAAAAATTTGACAGTTGATGGACCATTGTCTTCCATAGTAGGAAAAAAAAATATTATGGAAGTCAATTGGGTCTTTCAACTGCTCTAATTTAGATATAGAAACATGGCTTTCAAATAAAAGATTGGCATCAAAAAGCACACCTAGGTTCCTTACTCACGACGAAGACTTGACAGAACATCCATCAAGTGTTAGACGGTATTCTAGGTTACTATGTGCAGAGGTTTTGTGTCCAATAATTATGTTTTTTCAGAATTTAGTAGGAAATTACTAGTCAGAAATTCCAATCCTAATGACAAAGATAAATTGATGATTTTAAGAAGAGGACCAATGACCTCTGGAAGCATCTCTTTCAGTAGTTTAGTTGGTGAAGGGTCTAACATACATGTTTTTGATTTTTAGATGATTTAAAGTCTTTAGACAATTCGCCCTCTCCTATATTTTCTCTCTAAAATGATCAATCTTGCAAGTAAAGAAGTTCATAAAGGCATTTCTGCTGTGCTGTTTGGAAACGTCTGGAGTTGAAGCTTTATTTCTTATCAAATAAATACCTAGGGTTGTATTCGTTTTCTTTTAAGAGGGTGGAAAAATAATCAGATCTAGCAGTTAAGGCCTTTCTGTACGCAATAGCTGGGTTTCAGTCACGTGATTATGCAGGGTATCCGCGGGGTCTTGAAAAGTATTAAAAGGTGATAAATCAATTTTGGGAAAATTAAGACCCTTAAAAAGTATTAAAAAGTCTTATCACGGCTTTATAAAGTCTTACATTTTGAAAGTATTTTTTCTGAATTAGCTGTCCAACAGTTTGAGTCCCAAAAACATCGTAAAAGTGTGTGAATTTAGTCATTTTTATTAAAAAAACGAAGAACTGAGGCACATGTCAGCATGATTGTTGTTGAGGGTGGAGCAAAGTTTTGTTTTGTGTTTTAATAAACTTTACTTTGATTTACTATCCCAGCCTATTTGATTTTTTTTTTTTTTTATCAGAGTGGTCTATAGTCTTTATCACAAACTAAAACTGTTAAGTTAAAAGTATCACTGATGTAAATGGTTACAGCTTGAAGTGGCGGTGAGGTATTAAAAAATATTGAGAAGGTCTTGAAAAAGTCTTGAAAAGGTATTAAAATTAACTTCAAGATTCCTGCATATACCCTGTTATGATGACGTGCGAAATTCAGATAGAGGGCAGGGAGTGAAGAGCGCAATGGACGAGATGGAGGAAAGTCCGTTCTGTACTACTTTCACGCTATTACAAGAGAAAGATATAAACAAAAAAGTCAAACATATGTTGGATTTATGTTATGAAGAGGAGCGATTTTTCAACTGAATTGAGTTTTTCCTGCCATCGAGGCGGTAGATATCAGCAACTACCTCGTCTTACAGACATACTTTGACTTTACAAAGTTTGGAAACTGGTACGTTACACAAACATAGCCACTTAAGTTGTATTGTTTATGTTTGCAAGCCGTTTTTCCCGGAGTTTTTCAGACAATTTCTTGCATTTTCCCCCCTTATGAACAACAACTTTTGGTACACGATAAAAACTCCATGTGGTTTGATCGATTTAAGTAACCATAAACAATGCAAAACATAGGCATTTTGAGTTTGTTATAGTGCTTTCTAAATACAGCAAATCACTTCCTGCCCTCCATTTGCATTTCGCGCCATGGCAACGCAGTGGCGTGACGTCATATGAAAACAAGCTATTGTGCTCTCTTTGCACGAAATGCGAAAAACCTAGTTTAGTTTCTAGTATACAATATACTGTTCCCATCCCTGCCCTGAGTTTACGAGTGATCAGTAAAAACACAGAAGTCAAATGTCCCTTGTATGTCGATGAAAATGGCTGAATTAAGAGGGGGGGAAAACAAATGAAGATTAAAAAAAACAAAAATCTTAATAACAATGCAAAATAAAACAATTCAGGGTGTGTAATTTATTGAAGACTTGTCTTTAATATCCCTATGTCTTTTAACTCCCTGTAAGGACTGAAGCATGTGTCTGATGACAAGAAGACCCACAAGAATCCTGCGCTCAAAACCCAAACCGGTCCTTTGCCCACTGGGCCCAAACCCTTCGCTTCTCGGCCCACGGCAGCGGCCAGCCCGGCCCGCACTCTTCCCCCAGTGCTGGAGCTGGACGGCAAGAAATGGAAAGTGGTGAGTGAGTCAGTATGCCTGTTATAGTCTGTGTATGCAGCTGAGACTATTTTTGGAAATGCCCGTTTGAAAGGTATTTTCCATCTCAGCTGTTTATACAAAAAGATGCTAAAAAAAAGATGTAATGTGTTAGTGCTGACATAAACTAAATATGTGAAGACATGACACTGTTTGGCCAGTTCATTTAACTTCGAATGCGATCCTCTCTTTGGCCTATAGGAAAACCAGGAAGGTGCCCAGGGCCTTGTGATCAGTGACACAGAACTGAAACAGGTGGTTTATGCCTTTAAGTGCAACAACAGCACTTTACAGGTGAAGGGGAAGATCAACTCCATTATTGTAGGTCTGTACACACTACCAGCAGTTCCTCCATTGTTCACATTGTACTGTACCATTTTACAGTGAGGTCTCATTTGTTAACATTGGATAATGCACACATGAACAAACACTTTTATTAACTAACATTAAAGGATAGTGCACCCAAAAATGAAAATTGTAATTTTCACACCCTCAAGTTGTACCAAACCTAAATGATGACAGATTTTTAGTTATTAAAAATGTTTGTTCATGTTAGTTCACAGTGCATAACTAATGTTAACACATACAATGTTTGATTTTTAAAAATGTAATAAATATTCAGTTTAAGATTAATAAATGCTGTAGAAGTATTGTTCACTGTTAGTTCATGTGGTAACTAATGTTAAACAAATGAACAAGTAGAAAGTTTAGATATAAGTGTTGTTGTTTTCTCTGCAGATAACTGTAAGAAAATGGGTCTTGTCTTTGACGATGTTGTGGGTATTATTGAGGTGATCAACTGCAGGGATGTTAAGATCCAGGTGTGTGTGTTTGTGCTTATTACTCTCCTCTCCCTATACATGTACTTGAATGTGGAGTATCCACAGTGTTGTTAAAGTGTTTCAGGGAGTTCAGAAACGGTGACAGACACTGATATAGAGAATAACTTTATATTTTTTACTTTTAATTAAAATGGTCTTAAAAGTAATTCCCTTAAACATCTATGTATCTTGTAATTGAAAGTAGTAGCATTGCCTGTTTTCTTTTCTTAGCACTCCTGTTTTGCATCTGCTCTTTATTCTGAGTCATTGTTCTTCTCTTGACTTCCAGGTTATGGGTAAAGTGCCAACCATCTCCATCAACAAGACAGATGGCTGCCATGTGTACCTGAGCAAAGACTCTCTGGCATGTGAAATCATCAGCGCTAAGAGCTCAGAGATGAACGTGCTGGTGCCCAACAAAGATGGAGAATATGTAAGCAAAGATACGAATTTGTTTATGAATTATAAACATTTCCTGACACTAGAGCTGTTAAAATCATCACGTTCATTTTTGTTATTTATGTTTTTTGTTTGACGTGTTAAAAATGTATAGCGTAACATCCGTTTTTCCTGGCATCCTTTGGCTAGTGTAACGGTATATGTACATGCTCTCATCCGTTCAAGTGCTTTTAAACCATTCAAACATGATAAGAAGGCAATTCTGTACAGGTGTGCTGTTTGTGAACCGGTTCTCTGTGAAACGCACATCCGACACACACATAAAGCCACCTCACCGTCAGCATGCCAGTACCAATTTGAGTTCTCTACCGCGTCTCATCGTGTTTATACGGACAAAAACACACAAAATTATGTCAAAATGCCCGTTTTTGCAGAGAATCCTCATAAGCACAGTCATAAGAAGCTTTAAACGAGTTAGTCTTAAATGAACATCAAGAGTTGGGAGAAAATCGAATGTGTGTGTCAGGGCTTAAAGTGACTGCAGCCTAATAAACCTGATGCAATCTGTCATTGATGTCAATAAAAGAAAATCACTCACTTGCTGCTCTTCACTGAATAACTTTTGTAGCTTTAATAAGGATTTAATCTGTATTTCATTTATACAATTACTGTGCAGTGTTTTTTTCATGCGATTACTTTTAAGATTTTTAGGTATGTCTAAAGGTGATGATAGATACACAGGGCAACTTTTTGAGTTCAATCTTGCTGAGCGATTGTTGTTTGGGCACTTTCACATTGAAAATGGCAATAAATTTCTATCTGGATAATTTAGATTGGTCGTGTGTCTCATCTGGTTGCACGTTGATGGCAACATTGCTCAAAAAGTTGCCCTGTGTATCATCACCTTTACAGTAATCAATTTCTCTATATTTCCTACCCAAATATTAAAGCACTGTTCACAAGGTTGAAATGGATCAAAAACAAAAACCAAGTAAAAATCTGAACCGGCCCGACTGCTATATTAAAGGCACAGTTCATTTAAGTTAACCTAACTTAAAATATTGGAAATAAAGCGTCTTTAGTTAAATAAATGTGAAATTATTACAATATAAAAATGTAATGTTAGGATAAAAATGTGCGATTAATTAGTCGACTGACAGCGCTACTTTTTATGTTTCTCTCCATTTTCTTTCAAGACTGAGATCCCAGTCCCTGAACAGTTCAAAACCATTTGGGATGGCAGCAAGCTGGTCACCACAGCAACCGAGATTGCCGGATAAAGGACCAACCTGTGCGAGAGACCGCCCCCATTGCAGTGTCCTACCTGACTGACCAATGAGCTTAAACTACAAAGTAGAATGGAATGCCAACCAGGTCAACTCCCCTATCAGCCAATCACAGCGGCAATCACATCTTCCTTCAGCTAGTGACATGCTTACCAGAAACACTCGCTCAGTCAATGGCAGGGCATCATTCTCCTTCTATTCCATTGATTAAAACATTAGCACTTGAAATCGATTGCCAACAGTTGGGGTGTTTTCATGTTTTGTTTTTGTCTTGCAGCCATATAAAATAACACATGAATGGCCAACAAGAGGAATCAAGTCATTTTATCATAATTGTGTTTTGTATTTTTGATTCTCTTTTTTTTCCCATTTTGCATTTTCTGGTCAGGGGGCAAGTTTTGGGGGGAGGGTCACTGCGTTTTCTGTTTGACATATGCAATTCAGATATGAAGCACACAAATGTCCCTCTTCTGACCACCAACACAGACATTTACTGTAACTTTTATTTAAAAAAATAAATTAAAAAAATCCAAGGGATAATTAGAAATGAGGATTTGTCAAATCTTATTTAGAGGGTGAATTGGCATTTTGAGCAACTTGCAGAATCACAGTTATAATTCCAATCGTGTCATTGAAAAACTATAGTTGCTTTAGAAATTCTCTTTTCCCTCTTTATTTCATCTTGTATTCTAGAGCACATGCAACATTCCCTGTAATGTAAATAAATTAACATTCCATGGTTCGTGATGGAAAGGTGTGGAAAGCATTTTGATGTCTTGAGTGTTTTTGGCACAAACTGGAGAGGCGGCAGAAAAGACACACAGCCTAATGTTCGGATGCTCATGGTGTCTGATATCTGATGACGATCTGCTGTACAGATAATGGCTTTACATGAGTTGTGTCCCACCTCTTGCTCTCATCACATGCTTTAACTAGTTTAGACCTTAATTCCAACCTCTTAATCTTTGCTTTCCATAATATTGAGGTCATGTGTATGGAATTTCTTTTTTGTATCATTTGTCTTTTTGCTCTGAGATCTAGTACTGGAGAACAAACATCATTAAAACTGTTGCAATAAATAACATCACTTTTTTTCTGTGTCTTTGATGTACTTTATTGAATATAATCGGCTGATAACTTTTGTTGCAAAAGGGCACTTTGAAAATGTTAACAGAAAGGTGATATAGTGTTGAACAACCGTCAAAGAAACAACCAATGTACAGGTGAAACTCGAACAATTAGAATATCGTGCAGAAATATAAGTTGAAAGTCAGAAATTCAACTTAAAATGTGAAACTAATATATTATATAGACTGCAAAGTGAGATATTTCAAGCCTTTATTTGTTATAATTTTGATGATTATGGCTTACAGCTTATGAAAACCCCAAATTCAAAACTTTTCATAGCTGTAAGCCATAATCATCAAAAATGTAAACAAAACAGTTTGCTAAATGCCAATGTTCTTACCTAATAGAGGCACTTAAACACGTCCTGTTTTATCCAATTTACAACATTTCTCTGTCTGAGCAGTTCAACAAGCCTCAAGTATGTTTGATGCAGTTTAATATTAGCCTCCAAATAGTTGGTAATGGACATGGTACACGCTTTATGTGATTAGTAGTAAATAAATACATGGGAAATTGGGCTGGTAAGATTCAATGTTTTATTGTGTGAGAAAAATGAACAGAAAAAAAGTACACAATTAGAAGTAAAATCTATTTCATTAAGAAGGTTTTTTCATCATTGAATCAGTCAAATAAAAATCAGATCGGTGCAACAAAACAAGACATACAGGTCCTTCTCAAAAAATTAGCATATTGTGATAAAGTTCATTATTTTCCATAATGTAATGATAAAAAATAAACTTTCATATATTTTAGATTCATTGCACACCAACTGAAATATTTCAGGTCTTTTATTGTTTTAATACTGATGATTTTGGCATACAGCTCATGAAAACCCGAAATTTCTATCTAAAAAAAATAGCATATCATTAAAAGGGTCTCTAAACGAGCTATTAACCTAATCATCTGAATCAACTAATTAACTCTAAACACCTGCAAAAGATTCCTGAGGCTTTTAAAAACTCCCAGCCTGCTTCATTACTCAAAACCGAATTTAGTTCGTTTCACACTCCATCACTGTAGGTGGCGGTATGCACCTTTAAAGTTGGTTCGCAACCTGCCATAAAACCAAAAGAAGAAGAAGAAGATTACTCAAAACCTGCTCAAAACCGCAATCATGGGTAAGACTGCCGACCTGACTGCTGTCCAGAAGGCCATCATTGACACCCTCAAGCAAGAGGGTAAGACACAGAAAGAAATGTCTAAACAAATAGGCTGTTCCCAGAGTGCTGTATCAAGGCACCTCAGTGGGAAGTCTGTGGGAAGGAAAATGTGTGGCAAAAACCGCTGTACAACGAGAAGAGGTGACCGGACCCTGCGGAAGATTTTGGAGAAGGACCTTTTCCAGACCTTGGGGGACCTGCGGAAGCAGTGGACTGAGTCTGCTGGAGTAGAAACATCCAGAGCCACCGTGCACAGGCGTGTGCAGGAGATGGGCTACAGGTGCCGCATTCCCCAGGCCAAGCCCCTTTTGAACCAGAAACAGCGGCAGGAGCGCCTGATCTGGGCTACAGAGAAGCAGCACTGGACTGTTGCTCAGTGGTCCAAAGTACTTTTTTCGGATGAAAGCAAATTTTGCATGTCATTCGGAAATCAAGGTGCCGGAGTCTGGAGGAAGACTGGGGAGAAGGAAATGCCAAATTGTCCGAAGTCCAGTGTCAAGCACCCACAGTCAGTGATGGTCTGGGGTGCCATGTCAGCTGCTGGTGTTGGTCCACTGTGTTTTATCAAGGGCAGGGTCAATGCAGATAGCTATCAGGAGATTTTGGAGCACTTCATGCTTCCATCTGCTGAAAAGCTTTATGGAGATGATTTCATTTTTCAGCACGACCTGGCACCTGCTCACAGTGCCAAAACCACTGGTAAATGGTTTACTGACCATGGTATTACTGTGCTCAATTGGCCTGCCAACTCTCCTGACCTGAACCCCATAGAGAATCTGTGGGATATTGTGAAGAGAAAGTTGAGAGACGCAAGACCCAACACTCTGGATGAGTTTAAGGCCGCTATCGAAGCATCCTGGGCCTCCATAACACCTCAGCAGTGCCACAGGCTGATTGCCTCCATGCCACGCCGCATTGAAGCAGTCATTTCTGCAAGAGGATTCCCGACCAAGTATTGACTATTGAGTGCATAACTGAACATAATTATTTGAAGGTTGACTTTTGTTTGTATTAAAAACACTTATTTTATTGGTCAGATGAAATATGCTAATTTTTTTAGGTTTTCATGAGCTGCATGCCAAAATCATCAGTATTAAAACAATAAAAGACCTGAAATATTTCAGTTGGTGTGCAATGAATCTAAAATATATGAAAGTTTAATTTTTATCATTACATTATGGAAAATAATGAACTTTATCACAATATGCTAATTTTTTTGAGAAGGACCTGTATATAAAACATAGTGTAAGACATAGTGAGTGTGTGCATAAACTCCCTCAAGCTAATAATTGTTTTGAAAGCATGTTTGATGTGGTTTAATATTAGTCCCCAAATAGTTGGTAATGGTAGTGCTACACCCTTTATGTGATTAGTTGTAATTGTAAATAAATACATGGGCCACTGGGTTCATAAGATTCAATGTTTTATTGTGTGAGAAAAATTAACTGAAAATAGTGCACAATTAGCAGCAAAAAATAATTGATATTCCATTAAAAAAGATTTTATTATTATTGAATCAGTCAAATAAAAGTCAGATCAGTGCAACAAAACAAAACAGGCTTAATTCGTATATGAGACAGTGTAAGACTGACAGTGGAAGTGTGCATTAACTCTCTCGTTGGGAATAAAAGCGAGTCACTGTGTTTAGCGTATGTAGGGAAGTAAATGCTCATTAAACCACTCCCGGGTGAACTGTAGGTGATCTCCATCAGAGGCGAGGAACACCAGCTTTCCTGCAGAATCCATCTCTGCCAACCCCAGGCGATCCTAATAGATACAAAATAACGGTAGATGAATCCCTTATCCATATACACTTAATAAGGGAAAAGGTTCAGTAAATAATGGGTGCACAGTGCTTTCGAAACCTTTACGAATCATTTGTTTCGAACCAATGATTCTTAGCGCGCAAAGTCACATGATTTCATGATTTTTTTTTAATGTTTTATAAATTTGTAGACATTTTTGGCACATTTGTAAAATATTTAATAGCGTTTTAGTCTCTTATTGGACTGATTAATCAAGCTCTCCATAAAACTATGTAATAAATGTCTATGTCTCCTATGTAATAAAATAAGACACTTCGTATTCAATGGTATTAGATTAACTTGTTAATTGCCTTTAATAGATTACACTTATAATAATAAATTTGCAATTGGTTTGTAAAAGGTGCATGTCTTGTATTGTCGTTGCATTCCCACTGTTTTGACCAGCAGGCGTCACCAGCGTGCGGCGTTTTCAGCGCTTACAAACAGTGATTCATTTTGCGAAGCAGTTGATTCAATTGAATCAACGTTTTCAAAGCTTCGTTTCTCACATCACTGGGTTCAATTGAACAGGAAATGCGGTAACAGTATCATCAAAGTAATAAATAAATAGCAATATTATGCAGGATATAAAATACAAAATGTGGGTTAAATGTAGATAATTAATGAGAGAGAAAAGACAAGCATGTTTACCTCTGTATATATTGCACTTTCTTGCAGCGTTTCCAGCTCTTTACCCTGACCAGCTTTATAGAACCCAAACCACTAACGACGAAAATTCAGTTAGTAAGAGATTTTAATTCAATGATAAAAGAGAGATTTAAAATAAACTGTTGATGTACCTCAGAATCCAGAGGATCGACCATAGTGTCCTGCAGGAACTTAACCATGACAAACTTTTTCAGAGACATGAGATTCTTCTTGTAGGTCTCGTTCACCACCTGACAGAAATACCATTCATTTACACCACACAGACGAATATATATATATTTTATAGTAATTTCTCCCTTATCCTCAGACTTACCCGCTCCTGATTGATGTCAGCAAGGAAGAGACTGTACTTTTTATACAAGTCATCATTGAGGGGATCGTGCCAGTACTGTGCCTGCACCAAGCTAACATAAAATCACAATCAATATCACATAAAAAATTAAATATGGCAGCAGCGCTAAGTGTAAATAGCAACAAAATGTATTTTCTTTGCACTAAGTGCAAACAGTAGTTAGATGATATTTTTTTACTTAGTGCAAATAGTGGCAGATAATATTTGCACCTCAGTGTATTGTAGTAGCTATATTATAAAACAGTATGCAATAACAACATATTCAGTGTATATGACCATATTGAATGCAATCATAAAAGCTGGATTTCTTTTGTAATTTTGACATTGGTGGGCGGAGTTCGTGTAAATAGCCTCTGTCAACAAGGCGGCATATTTGCACTTGGTGTGAATAGACACTCGGAAACAATAATCAATTTAGAGTAACATGAAATGGTCTGTTGAGAAGCACATAACCAAGCACACACTGTTTTTGAATCGCATCTGTGTAGGCTCCTGAGTTCAGCTTCTTGCGAATCCAGTCACAGATATGAGAGCTTTCACCAGGACATCGAGGAAGACCAAATACCCCTGTGATTTACAGAAAAGAGGAAGAGAGAACCACATGTCAGACGAAAACAGGATTTAAAAAAAGCTGTTTGACTCATTTAAACTTTATATTTAGCAAAAAAATACTGAAATATGTATCACGGTTTCCACAAAAATATGAAGCAGACCAACTGTTTTCAACATTGATAATAATCAGAAATGTTTCTTGAGCAGCAAATCATCATATTAGAGTGATTTCTGAAGGATCATGTGACTCTGAAGACTGGAGTAATGATGCTGAAAATTCAGCTTTGATCACAGGAATAAATTACAGTTTATAACATATTCAAATAGAACAATATTCATTTTAAACCGCAATAATTTTACATTATTTAAAAAAAAAACGATTAAATTAATGCAGTGTTGGTGAGCATAAGAGACTTTATGCTCTTTTTTAACACTAGTTAGAGATTTTAACATTTTGAACAGTAGTGTGTATAATTTTAAATGTTGTAATAGATCGTGACTGCAAATATTATAAAATTATATTCCTTGTAACTTTATTCCTACTCCATTATTTAAAACAGTTGCATATCTTGAAGCAACGTAATCAAAACAAGGTAGTTATGCCACATTGTTCCCGTAAACTGCTAACCACTTTTAGGAAGTAATTGTTTTTATATGAAGTGAATCACCACAGCGTGAGCAGAGCACATCTGTCACATTACCTTGATGCTGCCCACCGACCGAGATCAGGTTCTTCATGGGGGGGTCAGGACAGCGCTGAGCAACTGCTCGCCTTACGAAAGACAGAGGTAAACGACACAATTACACTTCCGATAATCCTTTGCATGAATATATTTGTGTAATAACCACTCACAGAAACTGTGACCCTTGGGAGAAGCCCATTGCATTGTAGCCTCCCTTCAGTTTAGGGTCCTGGGACAGCTGATCACAAACGAAAGACACCTGCTCATTGACATCCATGAAGAAGCCATTTTCAGTGTCCTGTGAATGAAACAACGAAACAAAATCAGACACTTTTATTCAAAAACAACAACGGCAATGACAAGAATGGAGGGTGTCGACCTGCTTTACCTGTAGAACTGACTTGCCAATCATCAGGGAAAGCACATAAATTCCTGGGACTTCCTCTTCCACCATCTTCTTTATAGCACCCATGCTCAGTGGATTGCAACAACTGTCTCCTGCAAAACACAGTGATAATTACCAAGTATCGTAGTCAATTTTGTGTGTTTAGGTCATTTCAAAAAAAGGCCTTTTCCATAGATCATGATGGTATTTATTAGAATAACAAATATCTTATTCTCACCAAGGCTTTATTAGAATACACAAAAAATAGCAATATTCTGAAATATAATTTCAATTTAAAATAGCCATTTTCTACTTGTCATCAAATCTGATTTTCAGCATCATTACTCCAGTCTTCAGTGTCACATGATCCTTCAGAAATCACTCTAATATGCTGATTTGCTGCTCAAGAAACATTCATTGTAATTATCAATGTTGAAAAAAGTTGTGCTGCTTAATATTTTAGGGAAAACTGTGATAACTGTTATTAACACATATTATATATTTACAACCTTTCAGATTAGATACGATTAATCAATTTGACAGCACTAAAAATGATATATTCTATTTTCAAATGTTTATATAAATTGCATATTTCAAAAAGTTGGTGTCAGTTTTAAGTTGAGTCACTACATGTACACAAAGGCCTTTTTTGTGGAGTGACACTGTACATTACCCCGTTATTCAGTGACTCAGGCCTATTATTCACTAGCAGGTTTGATGTGATGTGTCTTACCCATGCCGTGCCATATGACCAGAGGAACAGAGGCATTAGATCCGCACGATGAGCCGCACAGCAGCAACACACACACAGAAACAGCGATGAGGCGAAGCTCCATGGAGAACCTCATTCTTCAATTTCAGTCTGAAGATTTAACACATTTATCTTTAACAGAACACGCTTATAGGAAGGGAAAGCACTAAACAAGGAAGTGAATAACTCGATATCGTTTCGTTTCTTTAATATGTGCGAATATACAACCGGAAGCCTCGACTTTGCCTAGCTAGGAATGGGTATCTTATATGAATTGCGTTAATAAATGCTTTAAAATTATCAGTTTAAGCCACTGTGTGTACTTACTGTGATTACTTTCTGTTCCTCAATCACATGACAGACGAAAACACCGCTCACTTCCAACAAATTCTATTAAAAAAATATATTAGACTTATCAACCATAGCTTAAAACCTGTCTATATAAACAAACACAGTCAGTCGATCCCGAGCGTTTAGATTATGATGTTTTCCAGAGCAGGAAGTCTCAAGATCACGTGATCAACACGTAAGACAAAACAGATCTGACTGTCTCGAAATCCAACATAACACCGGTCAGCATTAATGTTTCCCGGTATTTTGAACATTTAGTACTTATTTAAAAAATTTAAACGGTTTTGTAAGGTTATGGAGGGGCCGTAAACGAATTGTCTTCTTTATAAGACATCCAGCGGTTGTCCAGAATCTTACATTTGTTTGGGAATGTTAATGGTAAGTATAAATAAAAAGTGTTCAATATGTCATAGGATACTTTGTATATGTATAAATAACGTAATATATAAATGAATATACAACCCTTTGCATACGTGTGTGTGTGTGTGTGTACAAACACACACATACATAGGCTATATAACTTACTGTATGTATATCATCATCATCATTTTTACATTTCGCTGATTTTTTTTTTTTACTTTTTAATATTTATGCTGAGTCAAGTAAAGAGGAGGCAAATAATGCCACCTGTATCACTGATGCTATCGACATAAAGATGTTGGATGTTGTGGCTGATGTTTATTCACAACATGTCAGCTGATCTATTCTAATAACCTTTGTGCTGTTCATATGTTATGCTCATATGCTATCATGTGCTCAAGTTCTACACTAGAGATAATGGGAGTTTAAACCTATATGATATGATACATTACAGTTTCTATAGTGCTTGCACAATTTGCTACACAAGGTTTGGGCTTCACAATAGATGCAGTCCACATCTGAGTGAGTGAACTAATACTATTAGTGAATACTGAATACTATTAGACCTTTTAAATGAAGAGCTTCCTGATTAATTTGGGCAATAGTATTTAATGACATGAAAATCACAAAGATTGAAAGGAGAATGTGGAGATGTTTACATATGTGCAATATAACATATGACCTGAATTGCAATAGATCATATTAAAGACTATAGAACAGATCTGGAGAGGAAAAAAAACAGAATAAAAAAAGCAATGCTAAAAGATGTAATAGTACTTGAAAGGAATCAATGAATAAACCCAAAAGGTCACAAACGAAGAACATTGTCATAGAATTTGTGAATCAAAGAAAACTTAGACAGACACATTTGCATAATGAATGATGACAGGAAGATTTAAAAAATGTATATTGATCATGATGGATGGTCCAACAGAAAAGGAAGAGCCTACAGTGAATGGACTGATGATATCAAACACTAATATGGAGAATTAGACAGAAATATATGGAATTGGAAACAGAATAGTAAATACAGCATCAGACACAATTGTTGATGATGATGATGATGATGATGAAATTGTTTAAGGTTAATGGATTTTAACACCACAAATGAGATCAGTTATATTATCTGAAATTGGTCATGTCAAATCAAGCAAATTTCGGAAACTTCCCCAGCTCAATTATGTTATTTTAATATTTTTTTCTGAAGAAAGACAAAAATAAATAGTGATGAAAGCCAAAATATTAAGTGCAATGAATGAATATTGACTGTGTAAAAATGACTTCAGAAAGATGGCAGCATCTTTATTTTATGATTTCCATATCTCTGGGATTGAACCATATAGGGTTTTAAAATGAAGATGCCAAAAGAAATGTGTTAAGAACCAGAATCTAAAAGGATATTAAGATATCTTTAATACTTCTAGAGTTACAGGCATGCAAATTTGGGGCAACAAACAATAAGTGCTTTTTCCCATTTCTGAACTTTCACCGTTGGCATATAATGCAACAAATATTGATAAAGTCAACAGATTTAACTAATAAACCCACCAATCTAACCTGACCTACCATCATAAAATAATGATGCTGCCTCTTTCTAAAGTTATTTTTAACCCCCTGTAATTTGGCTTCAAATCTCAGGTGAAAATAATCATTTTGACCCCCTCGACAAAACTGTGAATTACTCAGTAAATAAACATCTGTGACATATTTCTTTTACCAGAGGAATGACACAAATGTCTTGTTTTTGTTTCAGGATTTGTGGATGTCATACTTCGACTAGCTCAAGTTTAGCTCAAATCTTCCACCTTAGCGGTTGCGATCATGGCGCTAAACCACGGCTACTCCATTAACTCGAGCGCGGACGACCAGGACAGTGACACTGCGCCACTTTTAGAAAGAGAAGTGGAAAAAACCACAGGTTAGTCAGCGATTTGATCTTTTGCAGTTCATTAAAAATCTGCATGAAAAGTTGTGGTGTGTTTTTAATGAGCTTCATAGGTCTTGTCACACAAATACTACTGTTCAAAAGTGTGGGGTCAGTAAGATTTTGAACGCTTTTCAAAGAAGTCTCTTATGCTCACTGAGGCTGCATTTATTTGATCCAAAATACAGTAATATTGTGAAATATTATTACAATTTAAAATAGCTGTTTTCTATTTTATCTATTTTAAAATGTAATTTATTCCTATTTTCATTCGCCGTTGCTTCATCCATGTTGAAAACAGTTTTTGTGGTCACTGAGTTTATTTTCAGGATTCTTTTATAATTCTTGATCAATAAAAGTATTATTTTTAGTCCTGTCAAATCGATTAATCGCGATTGACCGCATCTAACATAAAAGTTTGTGTTTATTTAATATATGTGTGTGTAGCTTATATATAATTATATTTATATATATTATATTTGTGTGTGTGTGTTTATATATATATATATATATATAGGCCTACACACACACACATATATTATATGAACACAAACTTTTATGTTAGATTTAGACTTCTTTCAAAAAGAAAAGAAATCTAACTGACCCCAAACTTATGCAAAGTAGTGTACTAAGTGACAATAATCTTATATATTTTTTAAATATATAATTATTTGACATTTCAGAATGTGTTTGTATGTGTGACAGTGCCTCCCAAATGCTGCTCAGTGCGATGCAATCTGGCTGCTATGATGTTCTTTGGCTTTGCTGTGGTTTATGGTCTGCGTGTAAATCTCAGTGTTGCCATGGTTGCTATGGTAAATGGAACCAATGACCAGCCGTCATCCAAAAGCAATGTATCAAACGAGTGTCCAGGACCCTCCCATACACTTGACAACAACAGCCAATCAGAACAGCCAGGGGTAAGAATAAACCGCACGCAGCTTTTCATGCTCTGAACCTCGCAGGTCTCCACATATGTCATGGATCTGTTCTTATACACTACCGTTCATAAGTTTGGGGTCCGTAAGATCCTTCCCTCGGGCCATTTTGATTCTAGGAGTTTTGTGCTTGAAATTTTAAAAAGTAACAAATCCTTCCCTCGCGGGTCAATTTGACCCCCTTAGGAATGAATGGAATGCGAGGAATTCAAAATTCAAACTAAAAATGCTAAAACTTCACCAATGATTTTATAATGTCTACATGTATCTGAATGCATACTGAAGTTCATAGACATATACACTAGACGTCACCTTGGGGTTCTAAGCATGCGTCAAAACCGCCGCCATCTTGGAACAGGGGTCTTGTCATAGGAAGTAGCTAGGTAACGCTGCTATCTCTGCCTTTACTTCTAATTAATTGATGGTGGCGGACTTTTGTGCTGTGTATGATGTTCACACGAATGAAATCTGAACTAGGAAGAATGTTTAAAAAAAAAAAAATTATTATTATTTTTTTCTGGAATCAATGATAAATACATGTCTGACCGTGGGAACGAACCAAAAAAACGAGAAAATCGCATTCATGATGATTTATGGTGATTTTATTTCCGTTAGACCTTTGTCTACATTGACGCTGATGCATTAAAGTGGAGGGGCTCCCCTGTTCCAAGATGGCGGCTCTATTGACGCATTCGTTCTAATGAACTGCCGTAGCCAAGGCGACATCTAGTGTATATATCTATGACTGAAGTAAACTGACTTTAAGACCCAGCGGAACAGCTCATTTGCCCCAGATACAGCTATAAGGCCATCTAGTGGCAAGACTATGAAATATGACATGAAATATCATGTTATATTATTATTATTGTCAACAAGGGGTTGGCAAAGACACCCAATGTAAGATATTTTGAGCTGAATTAAAAGGGTTATACATGATTTTTTTTTTTTGTTATTTAGAATTTACATTGAAAAAATGTGAAGAATGGCCTTAAATTATTATTTATTTATAGATATTTATTGATAAAATCTAGTAATTTAAAGGTAAATACAATGAAAAATAACAAAAATGTCCCCCAAAAAAATTGCATCAAAAATGAAATGAAATAAGGTTTCTGGACAAAAAAAAAAAGTATAATTTTTGGCTTTGTGTCATTTTGACCCATGAGGGAAGGATTTGTTGCAAAGTGCGAGGGAAGGATGAGATGTTTTTAAAAATAATATTAATCCTGTTAGCCAAAGCTGAATTTTCAGCTTTATTACTCCAGTGTTCAGTGTCACATGATCCTTCAGAAATCACTCTAATATCTTGATTTTCTGCTTAAGAAACATTTCTGATTATTATCAATGTTGAAAAGATTCTTTGATGAATGGGACGTTCAAAAGAACAGCATTTATTTGAAATAGAAATCTTTGAGAACATTATAAATGTCTTTACTGTCACTTTTGATCAGTTTAATGCTTCCTTGGCTTGCAGGATAAAAGTATTAATGGGATAGTTCACCCAAAAATGACAATTTTCTCATCACTTAGTTGTTCCAAATCTGTATAAGTTCCTTTTAATGTCTTTAAATAACCACAACAAAAATCTTACTCACCCCAAACTTTTGACCTGTAGTGTACAGGTGAAACTCGAATAATTAGAATATCGCGCAAAAGTTCTTTTATTTCAGTAATTCAACTTAAAAGGTGAAACTAATATATTATATAGACTCATTACATGCAAAGTGAGATATTTCAAGCCTTTATTTGTTATAATTTTGATGATTATGGCTTACAGCTTATGAAAACCTTATCCTCACAATATTCTAATTTTGAATTTGGGGTTTTCATAAGCTGTAAGCCATAATCATCAAAATGATAACAAATAAAGGCTTGAAATATCTCACTTTGCATACAATATATCAGTTTCACCTTTTAAGTTGAATTACTGAAATAAATTAGTTTTTGCACGATATTCTAATTTTTAGAGTTTCACCTGTTTAAACAAATTTTTGATTCTTGTCATATTTCTCTCTCTTTAATTTTCTTTCCCAAGATTCCAAGATACGCATGGAGTCCCGAAACACAGGGAATGCTGCTTGGTGCGTTCTTCTTTGGATACCTGTTCACTCAGGTCCCGGGTGGATACCTGTCAGGTCGTTTCGGGGGAAGCCTCTTCCTCGGTGGTGGTGTTCTTGGCACGGCCGTCCTCACCCTCCTCACTCCACTGTCAGCTCAGCTCGGGGACAAGTGGCTGTTCGCCCTGCGTGCGCTCGAGGGATTCGGGGAGGTTAGGGACGCTTTACTGACCAGAAATCCTCCGCACTGATACTTCGGTAACACTTTAGTAAAGGGTTAATTAATGCATTAACTACGGAAGCGTATTGCATTCACTTGAGGAAAAAAAATCTACTCTGTTTTTCTGAATTAACGAGTTAAAGGTGCTCTACGTAACTTTTAGCGGCCTCTAGTGGTGATGTTTCAGATTGCAACCAAATTTTACAAGAGCGCTCGTGCTCAAACTCATAGACAATACCGTCTATTACGCAAATATATCGGCGAATACTAGACGGATTCGGCGAGCACCGAGCTCGTTGGGACCATCTAGTCGAGCTGAAAAGAACCATATAAGTTCCATAGTTTTTGGTGGTGTTTTCGCGGAGATATTAGCAGAAAACCATCGGGCGCGCTGCAAAATTTCGGACGCCGGTGACGTCACGATCTCAGAAGAAAATCGCTCGTATCTCTGGAACGCAAAGACCCAGAGAGCTCAAATTCGGGGGAGGAGGTCCTAGGGGGGAACCCTTGCCCGAACGCTAGAGTGGCGGGCCTCGGGGATGCCCCCTACCGGATCGCCGTTCGCTGGGACCCCCGATTTCCAACGGCTATAACTCGGGGAGCCGGGCGAGTTGGACCTCGGGGGTGGGCTCGTTCGAAAGGCCCCGTCCAGCACTACAACGATTAGAGTCTTGGGAATATTGATCAAAGATTGACTGAGATATAAGCCGAAAAACGTGTGCCTTTAACCGGACGTAACTCCCTGACCGTCTACAATAGACTGTATATAAGGAGAGAGGCTCGGGAGCGCGCATGCTCGTCACATCCGTTGGATTTCGTGGTAAATCCGACCCGGAGACTTCACATAGAAATAGGAATACTGGCCTTCAGAGGTAATAGCAAAACTCGACAAGTGGATCATTTTAATGTGTGATTACAACCCCTTCACACACAGGCAATAAAAAAAGGATTCATTTTAGTGGAAAAGTTACATAGAGCACCTTTAATATCTCAGAATTATGAGAGAAATGTTTCTTAAAATTTTTTTTCACTCTGTTTTTGTAAATTAATGAGTTACTCATAATTTTGAGATAATTAACTCGTTAATTCAGAAAAACAGAGCAAAAACTTTTTTCCATGAAAAATTATCTCGTAATTCTGAGATAATTAACTCGTTAATTCAGAAAAACAGAGCAAAAACTTTTTTCCATGAAAAATTATCTCGTAATTCTGAGATAATTAACTCGTTAATTAAAATAAAACAGAGCAAAAACTTTTTTCCATGAAAAATGATCTCGTAATTCTGAGATAAATAACTCGTTCATTCAGAAAAACAGAGCAAAAACTTTTTTCCATGAAAAATTATCTCGTAATTCTGAGATAATTAACTCGTTAATTTAACAAAACAGAGCAAAAACTTTTTTCCATGAAAAATGATCTCGTAATTCTGAGATAAATAACTCGTTAATTCAGAAAAACAGAGCAAAAACTTTTTTCCATGAAAAATGATCTCGTAATTCTGAGATAAATAACTCGTTAATTCAGAAAAACAGAGCAAAAACTTTTTTCCATGAAAAATTATCTCGTAATTCTGAGATAAATAACTCGTTAATTCAGAAAAACAGAGCAAAAACTTTTTTCCATGAAAAATTATCTCGTAATTCTGAGATAAATAACTCGTTAATTCAGAAAAACGGAGCAAAAACTTTTTTCCATGAAAAATTATCTCGTAATTCTGAGATAAATAACTCGTTAATTCAGAAAAACAGAGCAAACACTTTTTTCCATGAAAAATTATCTCGTAATTCTGAGATAACTCGTTAATTCAGAAAAACAGAGCAAAAACTTTTTCCATGAAAAATTATCTCGTAATTCTGAGATAATTAACTCGTTAATTTAAAAAAACAGAGCAAAAACTTTTTTCCATGAAAAATTATCTCGTAATTCTGAGATAAATAACTCGTTAATTCAGAAAAACAGAGCAAAAACTTTTTTCCATGAAAAATTATCTCGTAATTCTGAGATAAATAACTCGTTAATTCAGAAAAACAGAGCAAAAACTTTTTCCCATGAAAAATTATCTCGTAATTCTGAGATAAATAACTCGTTAATTCAGAAAAACAGAGCAAAAACTTTTTTCCATGAAAAATTATCTCGTAATTCTGAGATAATTAACTCGTTAATTCAGAAAAACAGACCAAAAACTTTTTTCCATGAAATATTATCTCGTAATTCTGAGATAATTAACTCGTTAATTAAAAAAAACAGAGCAAAAACTTTTTTCCATGAAAAATGATCTCGTAATTCTGAGATAAATAACTCGTTAATTCAGAAAAACAGAGCAAAAACTTTTTTCCATGAAAAATTATCTCGTAATTCTGAGATAATTAACTCGTTAATTTAACAAAACAGAGCAAAAACTTTTTTCCATGAAAAATGATCTCGTAATTCTGAGATAAATAACTCGTTAATTCAGAAAAACAGAGCAAAAACTTTTTTCCATGAAAAATTATCTCGTAATTCTGAGATAAATAACTCGTTAATTCAGAAAAACAGAGTAGATTTTTTCCTCAAGTGAATGCAATACGCTTCCGTAATTAACTAACATGAACTAACATTGATCAATACATGCGTTACTGTGTTAGTTAATCTTTGTTAATGTTAGTTAATACAAATACAGCTTTTCATTGTCTGTTCATGTTAGTTCACAGTGCATTAACTAATGTTAACAAATACAACCTTTGATTTTAATAAGGTTTTAGTATATGTTGAAATTAATATTTTAAATCTCTTTAGTAGTTTTTCTGCTTGGAACATCAACAGATAATAACACTGAATTTATGAAATTATCATTCCACACTGTTAATACCCCAATAAGACCCTCCCTCAAATAAACAACCTACAGCTTCCAATAAGGAAAGAAAGAAAATAAATAAATAAAATAAAACAACAACCGACACAATATTGATATCTTGTTGAAACTAATACTAACTAAGATTAATAAATGCTGTAGAAGTATTGTTCATTCTAATGTTAACTAAAGAACCTTATTGTAAAGTGTTACCCATGATTCAAGTGGAGAGTGTGTAAAATGTGTATCTGTATTTGAGTGTGTGTGGTGTTCTTGTGTCGAGGGTGTGACGTTTCCTGCCATGATGGCGATGTGGTCCCGCTGGGCTCCTCCGTTAGAGAGGGCTCGTCTCATGACCTTCTCCGGGGCAGGGTCGAGCTTCGGTGCCTTCGTGGCTCTTCCTCTCACTGGCCTCATCTGCCATACTCTGGGATGGCCCGCAGTCTTCTACTCCTGCGGTGAGGGATGCAAACGTTTTGGGTCAATAATAGAAATGAATACAAGGATGCATTAAATTGACATTTATTATGTTACAAAAGATTTATATTTCACATAAATGCTGTGCTTTTGAATTTTATATTCATTTAAGTATGCTGAGAATTTTTTTTGATTATGGTTTCTGCAAAAATATCAAGCAGCACAACTGTTTTCAACGTTAATAATCATAAAATATTTCTTGAGCAGTAAATCATCATATTAGAGTGATTTCTGAAGGATCATGTGACACTGAAGACTGGAGTAATGATGCTGAAAATTCAGCTTTGATCACAGGATTAAATAAATTAAATTAGAAAACAGTTATTTTAAATTGTAATAATATTTTGCAATATCAGTGTTTTTACTGTAATTTCGATCAAATAAATGCCGCCTTGATGAGCAGAAGATACTTAAAAATTATTTTTTTTTTAAATCTTACCGACCCCAAACTTTTGAACAGCATCTAGTTGTTTGCTCCCGTCTTCATATTTTTAATATCATGCTTAATGTAATATAAAATTATATCTTGTATTTTTAGTATCCAAACATATATGTATTAAAGTGTTTTTTTTACCACCAGGTGCCGCAGGGTGTCTTTGGGCAGTGATTTGGTTTCTCCTGGTATCGGATGAACCCCGAACTCACCCAAGAATTAGTGACAGAGAGAAAGATTACATAATTACCTCAATCGGTTCACAGGTATGATCTACTTTTGATGATGCATACAGTTTGGTCGTCTCCTTTATTCATCAGGGGTCAAGTCAGTCACGCTAAAGTCCTCAGGTCTTTACACTGGCTCCCAGTTACATTTAAGATTGATTTTGAAGTATTATTACGGGTGTATAAATCATTTAATGGTCAAGGTCAACTTTATTGTAAATTTCTTCACATATACCAGACATACAAAGAAATCGAAATTGCGTTTCTCACTAATCAACCCACGGTGAAATAGAAATAAAATAAAATACAATACACTACAATTAAAAAAATATATATATATATATACTTAAAAACCAATACAGCAGAGAGAAAACTTCCTGTATTCTAGAAAGATAGTGCAATATTTCTATATACAAGAATTAGCAGCAACCCAGGTTTGGGCTAGGAGCTCAATATATTGCAGATATACTCACTGAATATAAACCCAACAGATCATTAGGATCATCAGCTAGAAATACCAAGGGTACTGTGCATTTACTGCATGAGCTCTGTGTTTTAATTATTTATATTTCTTTTGATTATTTTAATTTGTGCTATGTAAAGCACTTTGAATTACCATTGTGTATGAAATGTGCTATATAAAAAACTTGCCTAAAAATAAAATCTAGCATGATGATATGTAAATGTGTTATTGTGCTTAGAACTAATCATCAAATAACATGAATTTCCAACATCATAATTAATGTGTGGTTTAGATCTACAGGCATTTATGATGCTTATTTTTCTCAGTTTTTACTTTATTTCTCAGAATTGTGAGATATAAACTTAAAATTGTGAGACGTAAACTCGTAGTTAAAGAACGTATTTCTCTTTTTATCTCACAATTCTGTCTTTATTTCTCTCAATTATGACTATTTCTCACTAGCTATTTTCTCTGTTTTTAGGGGACTCCTCATGGTTGGTCAGTGCCTTTAGTGTCTATGCTGTTCTCTGTGCCTCTTTGGGCCATAATCATCTCACAGATGTGCTCCAACTGGTCTTATTACACTCTCCTCACCTCACTTCCCATCTACATGGACACTGTGCTCCACTTTGATTTGCAACAGGTGAGGCAATCGGCGTATTTCGATTGAACCAGTCTGGTTTCTATACTGGGTCTCACTCTATCTTGTCATCATCCAGAACTCGTTCCTCTCTGCTCTGCCGTATCTGTTTGGCTGGCTGTTCTCCGTGGGCTCAGGTGTGCTGGCAGACGAGCTGCTGGAGAGGGAGCTCCTGAGTATCACCGCCATACGCAAGATATTCACTTTCATTGGTGTGTGATTTGAATGGAAGCCACGGAATAAAACTAAATTATGGAGCCGACGTACAGACAAGAAATGTACATCGTGGCCACGAGTTAAGAATTCGTTCTCTCGTTTTAGTGAATTTTGTAAATATATTTAGAAAAACATGCTAAATTATTAGTGTTACGACCCAATATGATTTAATTTTTGTCTAGGGATTTTAAGGGAGTAACATTTATTTTGACACTCAATATCTCTAGAAAGTAGCAATGCAAACAGTGGTAGTAATAATAATAAAGGAGAAATTGGAGTATGAAGTGATTTATTCTTCCCAGCCCATAAACACAATAGGAAAAATAAACTTTAAATATTTCCAAATATAACTAATTAAACAAATAAAGAAAAATACAATGAAATTCACCAAATGAAAATGAAGAGCACGAGTGTTGCCAAAATCAAAGAACTAAATAAAACAAAACACCTCTAACTACAACCATGAAATCTAACCTCACTAAATCAAAATAAAAAAATATAAAGAAACATCTTCGGCGTGCCAAAGCACCCCTTAACTTACCTCCACTAACTAACAAACAAAAATTACAACACGGCAACACTCTCTAAACTAGTGAACTAATACATAACATTCGCTATGTAGCATGATGTATGTCACGTGACGTTCTAGCTTGCTCTTCGTAAGAAAACACGAGGACACACGGTCAAACCCTATCAAAATAAACTGAACAACAGATACAAACTAAAGAAACAAATTAACAACAAATGAAGGACACAGGTCTAACATGGGCTACATAATGAACATCTACGAGAGGGGCGCGCGCGCGCACACACACAGCCAAAGCCCAACCAAAGCCCCCGCCCTTCTTGAAGAAAGCTGGCGTCGCCTTTTATAGCCAGCTTCCGGCAGAGCGTCATGGAGACGAACGAATCCCAGAGGACTAACAGGATCTGAAGCCAATCAGAATCTGAGAACAAAAAAAAACAGATCACAAGTACAAAAACAATCGTAACAATTAGTAAGTCATGGGAAAGAATCGTTAATTCGTGGCCATGATATACTTTGCCATGATGTCATGTGTGGGGCTCCATACAAAATTAAAAAGATAATTGCAACTTCTTATCTCACAATTCTGACTTTATTTCTCGCGATTCCAAGTTTATAACTCGCAATTCTGACCTTTTTCCCTCAAAATTGTGATATAAACTCTAAATTAGGAGTAAAAAATTCAGAATTCTGAGATAAAAAAGGTAATTTTGACCTTTTTTTTTGTCACAATTCTGACTTTTTCTCACAATTGTGATTTATATCTCGCAATCCTGACTTTACAACTCGCAAATTTGAGTTTATATCACAATTCTGAGGGGATTTTTTTTTAAATTCTCAGTTCTGACTTTATTTATCAGAATTGTCTCACAATTTTGACTTTTTTTCTTGTAATTTTAGGTTTATATCACAATTCTGAGGGGAAAAAATTCTGTTTCTCTTTATTTTTCTCAGTTCTGACGTCATTTCTCAGAATTATGAGATATAAACTTAAAATTGTAAAAATTGTGAGACGTAAACTCGTAGTTAAAGAACGTATTTCTGTCTTTTTATCTCACAATTCTGACTTTTGTTCTCGCAATTGCGAGTTTATCACAATTCTGTCTTTATTTCTCTCAATTATGACTTTATTTCTCAGAATTGCGAGTTTGCAGTTCACAATAGCTATTCCAAGTTTATATCTCACAATTCTGTTGCAGTTGCGCGTTTATATCTCTTAATTTCTCAGAATTGTGAGACAGACTCGGAATTGTGAGAAAAACTTTAGAAAAATTGTGAGATAAAGTCACAATTCTGTGTACGGACAATTTGGGACTTTTTTTTTTGTCACAAATTTTAATGAATATTTATGGTGACCAAGTGTAAGAGGACACAGATACATATACGATACTGACAGTTCACTTGTAATGCAGCTTATAGGCAATTTTGTTGATATTTTTTGTGTCTTGTGTCCCATAGGTCTGTTTCTTCCCGCTGTTTTCCTGCTGGCGGTGGGCTTCTCGGGCTGTAGCGCTGTGATGGCCGTGACGTTTCTGACTATGTCCAGTGCGTTTGGGGGTTTCAGTGCTGCTGGCGTCTTCCTTAACCAGATTGATATTGCTCCACGGTACAAAAACTAAACCGCTTGACTGGCTGAACAAAGCTGTTCAGTCGTAATGTAGATTTGTAGGCTATGAGTTCCTTCTGGAATTTCCTATTGGTTTTTGAAGAATTTCTAATTTTTAAAATCAAGTCTGTGGTTAAAATGATTTGTTATGCTATGCTAAATCTAACATGCATCAGACAATAAGTACATCTTCCAGTTTTGTTGCACCAGTTATATATCCATATTTTCTCAGGTACGCGGGAATGCTTCTAGGAATCACAAACACTTTTGGGACCATCCCTGGTGTTCTTGCACCAATTGTAGTGGGTTACTTGACCAAAGATGTAAGCTGTCCTTTTATACATTATATATCTACAGTTTGAAGTCATTTTGATATGTTTTTTGATATATTCTCCTTTTCTTTGCTCCGACCAGCACTCGGTTACAGGATGGAGGCATGTGTTCTGGTTGTCAGCTGGAGTGAGCGCCTTCGGAGCCATCTTTTACGTCATCTTTGGCACTGGAAAGATTCAGAGCTGGGCAACGACAGATGAGGAATCAGACACAGATACACACAATTAAACATTCCAGTTGACCAATTGAGAGGGATATTAGGGATATGTTCAGAGGGATATGTTACCAGTCAAAAGTTTGGACACACTTCGTTTTTTTCATGATCATAAAAAAAAAAAACACACACACATTGGTAACACTTTATTTTACAGTGTCATTGTTATATAAATATATATATATATATATATAATACATGCAGTTACTATTGTAGTAACTATAAATTGTGCTTAATTACATGCAACTAACTCTAAATCATACCAAACCCTATAGTAAGTACATGTTGTTACTTAATTTTCGGTACTTAAATGTATAATAACAGTGTAACAAAGACACCTTAAAATAAAGTAACCAAGAATTGTGACTTTAAATGCTTAGACAAATATAACATGTGCCTACTACTACCAATTATTTTAAATGAACCAGATAGTTTTTTTTTTATGCCACTACATAATTTCCATACTTTGAATACTATTATTTATTTATTTTTAAACAAAAATGCTATAAAAAAATGTCTGTCCAAACTTTTGACTCTGATATTAATTATATTTCACTCAGGGTTTTTAAGGGAAAATCGGAAGTGCCTTAACAACAACAAGTTGCTGTTTATTATTCTGGTGATATTTTACTCGTTGAGTTAATCCTGATGGAAGGATGGAATTGAATGGAATAATTCTGTTTCATAATTCTATTGCTTTTGCTATCTTATAAATAAGTGTAATATGTGTTACATTGATGAAAAGTGACAAATTTAGAGGATTCAACCATATTTTATTGCAATTGAAAATACTTATTAATAAGCACTTTAATGCATCAATAATGAAAATACTTGACTCTTTTTGGTACCAGTGCTTTTCAGGTCATTTTAATCTTGATAATGAAGTAACTACTCTATTAATTGTGTCAGTTCAGCTCTGGCTGCCATTTAACATTTTCATGAAAACCGTGGTCTTTCCGTTTTACTGACAGATAGTGTTCATATTTACTGGCATAGTCCAGACGGAAATTATTGTTTCATTATTGTTTGAAACTTGCCTTCTTCCAAAAGTTTACATGTTTAATGAGTTAAGTCATTAAGTTTCACTTAATAATGTTTTTTTTAAGCACGCAATGTGTCTCAATTTCAACGACATGAATATCTCATTGCTTAGTATTTTAGTTTTATTTTTTTAATTGTAAATCATAAATATTTCTGTACAATAAATGCAATGCAATGTTTACAGTGCAGATTTAGGGTCATGATTTAGAGATCACTAATCAAACATTTGCATTCCTATGTGCGATTACAGAGTAAATAACCTCTGCTACATTGAAATATGATAAAAGATATATGAGCCAATAGACCCAACCACACTCTAATTAAAGGGATAGTTCACCCAAAATGATGTCATCATTTGCTCACCCTCACGTTGTTTCAAACCTGTATGAGTTTCTTTATTCTGTTGAACACAAAAGTCTGTCTTGTTACCAACATTCTTTAAAATGTAATCTTTTTTGTTCGACAGAAGAAAGAAACTCATACAGGTTTGGAACAACTTGAATTTTTAATTTTTGGGGTGAACTATCCCCTTTAACTGACGCTGTGGGGTGACGGCCAGCTGGTGGCGCATCATCACATCGCTGATAAATGGCTAGATTATAAGAATGTCGCAAATTTTACAGCAGATAGTACTGAGTGTTTAAATGCTATATATATTTAAAATGTGTAAGCCTATAACTAAAACAGTCGATGGGTAACAATACCAGATATGCACAATGACACGGTATTTACGTTACGGTTACATCAGCACAGTTGAGAAAACGACCCGGATGTACTTTGCTGAATGCGGCAAGATCTCACGTGATTGCTTATTTACATCAGGCGTGAGTGACCCTGATGTAAGCGTGAAGAATGTAATGTAGCCTGACTGGATGTTTTAACTCTTCGTTTCATTGATATAGTGCGAATTGTGATGTGATGTATCGATTTTATCAACAAGACAGCGGAATATCCTTACTATTTTTAGGCTAGTCTTTTTAATTGTACCTATTGTAAAAGCACTTATTCCTTATTTCCACAATTTTGTGTTTAAATAAATGATCTGTTGGACAAAACTAAGCCTGGGAGAGTCGTTAAATAACCTTTCTTGTGTTACAGTTTTACTAGCTGTTCAAGGGAGCAAAGTATTTGATCTATGAACTTGAACTTTCCATAACATACCCTGTTATATTTTTAATTATATTAACGTAGCTGTAGATGAGTCATATTTTCTTTTCTGCCTGAAAGAGCTTATCGAGGAAACATATTAGGCTTATATAGCCTTTATATGAACTCGTTTTTAAAAAAAAAAAAGGTTTTATTTTGTATATGTAACTTCTTTTTAGCAGTTGTGAAGTGACTTCCTTTCATTCATAGACATTTGCATTCTCACCAAATGTGTGAGACAGATGCATGAGGTTCTCACACATGCAGATGTGTGTTCCCTGACTCCCAGCCATTTGCATTACACCTTAAAAATGCATGGGGGAAAATGCATTGCAAATCAAGTGTAAGTTTGTTGCCTTGAGGGGGAGGGGGATGATTTCTACCTTTTAGGTTAAAGGTTTTTTTTTCTTTGTTACAAGAAGATTGGCCTAATATTTATGACTATATTGGACATTTTGAAGGTACTAACGTTTGAATATTTTAAAAGGAATGTTGTTTTACTGGAGTTTTATTTTTTGAACTAGAGTACAATAATTTAATTATATGTCAAATAATGTATTTCGTATCTGATTTAAAGCTATAAAGCCCAAGGATTCTTAGTCACCACATCAATATTGACCCTTTTTTGTATGGAATTGCAGTATTTCTTATAAATGATTTATCCGTGCACATGATTATTTTCATGTGCCTCATAATCTTTAATCAAAATAACTTCCTCTCCCTCTTGCAGCAACATTTCTTCTCTGATGATGTGTTTACTGGTGGGAGGGCGGAGCAACCTGTCAACATGAGATCAACCAATAGCAACCCATTCTATTCAATCTATTCAATCAATTCCTCACAGACAAAATCAAGTCCCGCCCTACATTTTTTAAAGCTTTTCTTTCTTTCTTTATTTTTTATTCAAGAAACAGATGATGCAAATATACAAACACCTTCAGGGGTACATTAAGTTAAAAAACAAAAAAACATTTGTATGTGAAGACATAAGTATTAAGGATAATCACATGTGTATGTATAAATAAAAGACATAAAGAAAAAGATAAAAGTACCATACATTTTTGTAGGGAAACAATACTAACGGGATAGATAATTAGGGAAAAAAAACAATGTATAAGAAGAAAAAGCTAAAAACAACACTTATTACAAAGGAATCTTTCATATTATTTCAGGAATCTATCATATTTTTTCATTGCTATGTTTAAACTAAAAGACTTAAGCAGTGAGTTTACCTCAATCAAAAAATGTGAGAGAGTATGAGGCAGGCCTATAAATGTCTGTTTATGGATAAAAAATAATGACAAACAAAATAAAAAAGTTTTGTTCATGTTCCCGAAGCTTTTTCATTCAGATTTATGTCACAAATATGGGGAAACTTCCATTTCATGCAGACTTTAAAATAGATCCAATATAGCAATTTACATTACATTTGCATTTATTCGTTTAGCAGAAACTTTGATCCAAACCGATTTATGAGGCAAAACTCATAAGCATTGCTGCAATACTTAAAAAGTAAGCCATAAGCAATCTTGCACTGAGGACTTCTGTGTTTGAGCCTTGAGAGAGGGAGAGGGAGAGGGAGAGAGAGAGAAGTTCAGGCCTTTCCCTCTGTATTGCATGACTCAACACTGATCTCATGCCAGACTCTGACGTTGATTCGTGGCACACATTCCCTGCCCTCCCCCACACTTGTGGAGTGCCTGAGATAGAAACCAAATGGCAATTTATCTGGATAAATAGCTATTAAGCCTGTTAGCATTGTGCTGCTACATGAACCAGGCAAACCGGTCCGACCAGACCAAGAGTCGCCCCTATAAACAAAAAGACAAATGTTCAGTGGTTTGATATGCTGAGCTGTGTTTGTAAGTTGGGTTGGGACTCCAGACAGCTGTGCTGAGTGAAAAGTAATCATCTTTGGGCTGTGTGTGAGGAAAAGTGCGAATCACCGCAATTCACTTAGTGAATGTGCCAACTTTTTTTTTTCTCAATTGCTGTAGAATCTCTTGTTTATTTCAGTCATTGACTGGTTGCTTACACAATTCTGTTACCTTCATTTTCTATAAAGAGATTTTTAAATGGATTCGTTTGATTATTTTCTTGCCCTTGTAGCTTCGGGTTGACTTAATCAGAGTATTTATTTATTTAGATTAGCTGTTTCGCAAGCATCAAGTTGACAGGTAAACTAACTTATTTTTTTTATTAAAATAAAGTTTCTTACCGGTGTTTCAAAATGATGTAACACCAGCCGCAAAGCATGCAGTATTGAAACAAAATTGCAATGTGGAAGTAAAACAATTTTGATTGTGTGTTAAATATATTTAGCACATTAATGGAATATTTCATGAACGCATCAGTTCTTTTCCATGTTTCATTTATTTATTTAATGCAGTGGACAATGCGTAGTAGTTTTATCAACTGATGTCTTTTGTGGACATAAATAATAAAATTCCAATGTCCTCCTGAACCCACTAAACTTAATTTTCAGTCAATTTATTGCAAATTTTGAAAACTGGTTTATTGTCTCATTATTATTAATGCACATAATTCAGCTTTTTATTTCTATATAAGCATTCAAGCATTGCTTGCATGAAGGACACTGTCTGAAGACAACAGTACTTATACAATTATGACTGATTATATTTTACTCCAATAGACAGTCGATCCTTATCACTGTCGTCTGTGTGATGTGGGGCACAAACGTATGCGACAGTGAAATATTGATCTATTATGCCAGTTCTTATGAATAGTATTACAAGTTATATTTTCTTTTTCTTTTATGACAGCAGTACTTTTGAGCTGCAAGTTTGTGTAAAACCTGTTTTATCATGTTCTCCAGCATTTTTTAAAATCCTGAAACACTATTTATTATTATTATTAGCAGGTTTAAATAAAAAAATCCTAGATTTCCAGTGATTTTTTTTACTTTTAGACT